TACACTAATAACTTGCCAGATAAAACATGAAGTTAAAACACAATTTCTATGCATTTTCATATAAAAGATGTGTCCTCTAAGGAATACTTACCAAGTAAAAAACGGAAGATGAGACGCATACCTCATTTGTCAGCCTGTGAATTGTGGTGGCTCATTTGAAAACAGAAGCAACAACTATTCTCAACATAAGCGAGTGTTCTTATAAGTATAATGTACCTTGCCACGCAGATGTAGTATTTTCAACTTCAGCCATTCTGGCTCTGCTAAAATGACAACAAAAAGGTTTGCCATGCATGAAATTGTATGAGCATCTATTTAGCAGGGGTTTTTTTCTGCTTGGGGGTGGGGAAATTAGTTCAGACGATACATTATCTTGTGTAGGCCTATATGTCCTAAATATACACAGATATTTAGCAGACTATTTGAAAATGTTCAAACACTAACTATGAAAATCAAATGTTTACCTCAAAATGTAAATAAACTTGTTTCATTGTCCATCTCGCTCTGCCCTCCATTAAATCCTATGGTAAAAGAGTGTGACCTGTAACCCCTGTAAACCCTACCCCCACACCAAACCGGTCTAAAGAAGCGCAATTATCAGCGGCCTCAAAGAACACTCTAAACTCAACATTCCCGCGTGTTGTTGTATGTAATCTTTGAGTTAGGGGCTATTGTTAAAGTGCATCTTTTTTCTCACAAGTTATTGGCCTGTTATCTCTTAAATCTGTCAGGAAATGCTTCAAGATAATGTTTCACTGATTGACCAACAACTCGAATGTTGTATTTGATTTCATTGTGAAGGTACTGTCCCATTGAACTTTAACCCACTTGCAAGACTAGCCAGCCAGACTCAACACATTCTTATTGATTAAGTAGGGGCCTATGCTGTTTAAGGAGAAACACATTTAAAAAGTAGCTTTATCATCTTAATAGATACGTAGTAGATTGGCTAATATAGATGTATTTAACTTAATAACATTTAAGAATGTTATATCACTGTATACATCAATGGTTGTGTCATTCAAAACGAATTTGTTAGGTAAGTTGTTTGCCCTCTATAAGGTTGTAGATATATCCCTCGCTTTTATTTAAGGATTCTCAAAGTAGCCTATTGGTCCTTTGAATGTTTAAATTATAAGTTGTTGATCACATATCCATATTCGAATTAAATGAATGAATCTACAAGACATACCTTTAGCGAAATAGTTTATCACTTTGGCACGTTTCTGCATATTGGTTCCTATTGTTTGATCTTTGTTTTTCTTTCCAATAAATCAGTAGTTTGATCTATTATAAGACTACAGCTTAGATCTTATTACTAAGTATGATTAAGAATGATGGAAAGTGTATATATACACATAAATAGGCTATTATAAATCAGTGGATTGGGATGATTTCAATTGTCTCTCTAAACTTTTGGGTTAGTTCAGCAAAAGTCAGTAAAATATGTAAACATAACAACAGAGGTGGGTACAAAGGAATTCACATTGAAGCTACCTTTACTCCAATAATGAAAAAGACAAGCACTGAAATATTTCGAAGATGCAGAAATTGTGAAATTTTGCAAAACAGCTTTCACAACTAAATAATTCAGTGGAGACTTACAGTCTCTATATATAGCATGTCCATGGTTCAAGCAAGCAAGATTGAAACGTGTCGTCTGGTGGAGGAGCATGGCATACCTTGTCTATTGTATGGCCCTTGTCAACAACCTCACATTCACCAGGAGTGTGTCAAAAAAAGAACAGCTTCCTGGATGTGTGCGTCTATTCTCATTCAGCACCTTGAGTGGATCGAAATAGGTTATTAAGATTATTTTTGGTAATGTACAATAACCCAGGTAGGCTATTAAAGTCCAATCCAAAATATAAAGTTAAATTACTTATATTCTTTATTATCAAAAGATACTGAGATCAGTAGAGTATTAGAGTTATTTTTCGAAATAATGTAATTTACGAATTATCGAATAAACTCACTAGACGGGTTAAAACAAAGAGGAAACAGCATAAAAAACATTTCCTTTAGATATTCAATTAAATGAAACTTATGATAGGCAATAGGTTAAATATGATGAATATTATCACTGTTCAAATTGGTGTTCTTTTTAATTCATATAATGCACATGTAGGACTGTTTAAATGTGATGGTATTCTATGGTCATCACAGCGAAACATGATTTATTCTCGTGAGACTTTTTTTTTCTCGTCGGTTTTGATCCAACCGGCGCTCGCTAAACTTCAGCAGAGAGGAAGAGGCGAAGCGAAAGGGTCCACTCCTGTCATAAATCTGAACACAGCAATAAGCAGACCGATATGCAAACCGCCTGCCTTCCCGCCTTTGGGACGACTCTCGTTGTTAGGACTGGGACTAGACCATCTCCTCATTATATACAGTATATCTGGCTTCAGTTCGAAAATTCCCGCCCTCAGCTTTACTTCCTGAAACATAATCCTTTGGTCACAATGTAGTCAAGGAAGTTGCCTAGTAGCTAGCTACAGCCACAGCACTAGCGAAGCAATAAACTAACGCAATCATTCCTCTAGATTTCAATACATAAAGGTACTAGCACTTTTAATTGTTTCAATTAAAAATAATTATAACTAAGCATGCTAAACTAGTTCTTTGTCAATTTAGATGAACATGTAGGCTTTTTAGCCAACCTTGTAGCTAATGGCAGCGGTTTTAAATGTATCCCCAAAAAATAGGCTATTCCTATTTAATCCAAAAAGAAAGGAAGATATACAACCATAATATATATCACTATTAAACATGCGATTAACAATGTTATATTTTTCATGAATAAATAAGCATGAATAAACTATTTAAAACAATGTAGGCTACACAGTTTATTATTAATATAGGAGTAGGCCTGTTTAAAATCTATTTCATTAATTTGTAAACATTTATAAACATTTTAAGTATCACACATTCATAAGGATTTAAAACATTTATAATAATTTAAAGCATTTCTAATAGGATAGGATGAACTTTAATGTCCCCAACAGGAAAATTGTCTTAGACACATGCGGCTTATTCATGAAAGTTATATAAAGTTAACCAATGATATTAACATTTTATCTTTCAACCCTTATTAGAGACCATGGTTGAGAAAGAGAGGGGAGACAACTCACCGAAATTTGATTGTGAATCAGAGGACTGTCACTGGGTGGAGACACTGTTTCCTCCTCACTTCTCCCTGTTGACTCTGGTGGGGGAGAACAATATCTGTGTGTCCGGGAAGGCTGGAGCCGTCAAGGTAACAGAGCCATCATCATCATTATCCTCTCAGAGGAGACTCCGTAGGCAGGACATCTACAAGACTACTCTACAGATAGTACAACACAAAGAGGCGCAGAGGAGAAAGGAAGCGCCATTCCAGAAGATCATCAAGGACGACTTGCAGAAGGAGATAGGGGAGTTGAGCTCTGAGCATGAAGGCCACAGGAATCAAGGGGGAGACCGTGGCTGGGACGGAGAGGTGGAGAGAAGTAGGTGTATCTGGAACATCCAGGACATTGGGGTCCTGCGGAAGGCTATCCATGAGGTGGAGGAGGACAGATGCAGGATGAGGGCTAAGCTGAGTGAAGCAATGGCGGAGGCCCAGATGCAGGGGAAGGAGAGGAAGTGTCTGCAGGGCCTGCTGGAGGAGCGGGAGGAACAGCTGGGCCTGGCCAGGCAGGAGGCTGCACGGAGGGCCCTGCATGTGGACGCACTGCAGGCAGAGGGACACAAGATGGCTGTCCAGCTTCAGGCACAAGCAACCCAGGCCAAAGACATCACGGAGGAGAAGATGAGGCTGCGTGAGAAACTGAAAAAAGTGTCAAAAGAAGTGCAGGAAGTCAGGAGGGAGAATGAGACCTTGGCGTTGGATATCGAGAGGCTTGGAAAGCAGCTGACGATTGAGGTACAGAGGCAGGAGGAGGTCTCGCGGTTGGAGCATGATATAGCTCTACAGAGGCTGCAGAGAGACCTGGAGGAGACCAAGACTCAGCTGAAGCTGGAGAAGGAGAGCCACACACGCAGCTACACTGCCTTGGAATTCCTGCGCAGGCACTTCAATAACCCATCACAGGGCACAACACATACACTGACAGAGAAGATTGCACACATTTAGTAAAGAGTTGCTAGACACTTTTTTGTCCCGTTTTTAACAAACTCACAAAAACATTCTGCAAAAATGCTGTTTGTAGCCTCTCCAATGACATATTGGTGGAAATACTGTATGCTGGATTGTCCTTACTGTAATAAAAAACAAAAACAATGTGGTGTCTTAAAATTTTATTTGTATATATGCTTCCACACTTTCACCTTTTAAAATAAAGCTATGTACACATTTAATCCTCTCCCACAGTAAATAAAGAAAATAATCAGAAACACAAAGCCTATGGGAAAATAGGAAGGCAACAGAGTGAAAAAGTAAAGCACAACATACATTTTACAGTTTGAATTCTGAATCACCCAAAAATAATTTAGCCTTGAGAAATCTTGATATTTTTATTTTGTCATTGAGTTATTATACTAGCCAAATAATTTTTCAGAAAATGATCAGAAATGTTTTGCTTTATATTTTATTTCCTCCAATAAATTATTCAGTTTAAAGTTTTGATCAAACACTGATTAAATGGTTGGTTTACCACAACACAGGTGATCAGGAATTCCAATAAATAATAGTCTGATTACAATGAATGAGATTAAGCCTACAGTACTTCCAGACTAAACTGCACTTTTAGTAAAAAGTCCTGGAATAGTTAATATGTATTCCATTCAAGGTTTATCTATATTCATTAAATCACATTTGCAGTTCTTTCACATTTGTAGTTAATCATTTATTGATTTAATCTGTGCCTGAGAAATTGCCGTAGTTTGGGACTTGAAATGCATTATTTTCTCCCTCATCAGTCCTCGACTTTGAGTAGGAGCTCACCAGAGCTGAGTACCAGCACCTCCATTTTTCTACTGCTTGAGCTCCTGTTCCTCATATAGAATATTAGCTCAAAAGTATTGTGGAGCTCCTGCACCTAAATGTAAACAGTACTGGCAACTCTCTCAGTCAAGTCAAGCACTGCCCCCTTTATTAACTTTGATTAAGAAGATTGAGAGGTTTATACCTCCACATACATGGTCTTCACAATCAAATTACAATTCTGAAAGTAAGGCAACATTCATACTTTTGTGGGGCCAATCCTCTTATTCAATATGAATTGACATTTGAGGCACCCAACTAATACATTTAGTTGAAAAGTCTGGTTTTCCCCTAAAAGAAAACCAGATCCCACTCCCTGTTGAAGTTAAAACAAAAACATTGATTTATTTAGCATGTATAATAGAAACCACTGCTCTTTTTCCAAAATATCAAATAAAATATATTGTCAAGGAAAGTAGAGAACACAGCCCTTGTGAACTCAAAACCCCATGAGGTATATACTAGAAAATTGTGCAAACAGACACCATCTTTTTTTGTAATCTGTTATTATGCAATTTAAGTGACACCAGGTAAGGCAAAATGCTGTTATTTCATGATAATCCCATTTTGTAATTCATCTGGACAACATACAATGTAATTATTGATTGAGGTATTGATAGGTCCTAACCATGAGTAGAGAATCGAGGAATGTGGCCAATTAGGTGCAATGGATACAACATACATAATCCCAATTGGCTCATTTGACAATGCAGGTCATTATGTGCATTCTGTGGCTTCCTGACCAGTGCGTCTGGCTGCCTGAGAGAAGGCCTGAGAGGCAGCATGCAGCTCACGGTAGGCCAATGTCTACTAGAGTATCAGGACTGGGCAGATCCGGCTCCTCTTAAACAGTACAGCGTAACTTTTGTGTTGTATTACTCTTGTCCCATAGATACTATGTGTTAGCAATATGGTTGGAGGGTACATCTCATCTTAATATTATTTAGTGATCATTTCTAAAAGAAAAAACACCTTCCTAACTTACACCAGTTCCTAACTGCACATGAAAACTAGCGAGCGTCTGTGCCAGGGAAAGAGTGAGTGCTATCATTGGGATCAATCAGACTAAAGAATGGATGGCTGCCTAAGGTAACCCTGCAGCCTAGCCTGGGCCCTACTAAAACCATATTTAGGTTCTATTATAGTCCACTAGCCTGGGCCCTACTAAAACCATCTTTAGGTTCTATTACAGTCCACTAGCCTGGGCCCTACTAACATCTAATTGATTTAAGTTTTCACATAGTTTTTTACTGTAATCTCTGTTGGATGGCTCCTATTAGGATAACAGTTGCTGCGGACTCACGTCTTTGAGCCGTCCATTGTCACTTTGTATGTCGTTAGGAGCTGGACTGAAGATAATTACCGTGTTATCAACTAAAGACTACAATTACCTACTCAGACCCAAGAGTCAATCCCAAGATAAGCTATAAACCAAGATATAATGGAATTAGTTAAGTATGGTGTCAGAAACAAGACAGCTACAAAATAAATGTTAACTGAACAACCCCAGCAAAATAATATCTTTATTTGTATATTCTAATTCCTAAACGATCATATAGGACATCTGTCTTTAAAAGCTTACAAATCCATTTAAAAGTTCCTGTAAGGTTTGGGGAGTCTGTGTTGGGGAGAGTCTGTGCCTGTGTCAGGGAGAGAGCATTCGGTTTTATGTTGACCACTTATCCTGGTTTCCCAGGAAATGGCTCAGGTGTGCTACTGTGCTTATTAAAAGAGGCTAACGGTGTGTTTAAGGTTCAATATACCATCACCTGACTAAGTGCATTTATTTCATACCTATTGGCTGAAATAGCTCTATGGTTTAACTAACAGTTCTCGGGTCACTCTTGTTGCGTGCGCCTCAAAATCACCTCCATTCCCACATGAGCATTAGAAAACTTAAAAGGAATGAGGGGGGACTTTGTAAAGTATATTGTTCCTATGTTTGAAGGGCAGAGTAATGGATTCTAGTCAAGCATGCCTCTCTCGCACTATCATTCTTTCTCCGAATGCTCCAAGGCCCCAACCAACATCACCAGCATCACCACTACCTGTGCTTTGGTGGTGTCCCCCTGCCTGTCCCCTCATGCCTCCTCTGGTGGTGTTCCCCTGCCTGTCCCCTCATGCCTCCTCTGGTGGTGTCCCCCTGCCTGTCCCCTCATGCCTCCTCTGGTGGTGTCCCCCTGCCTGTCCCCTCATGCCTCCTCTGGTGGTGTCCCCCTGCCTGTCCCCTCATGCCTCCTCTGGTGGTGTCCCCCTGCCTCCTCTGGTGGTGTCCCCCTGCCTGTCCCCTCATGCCTCCTCTGGTGGTGTCCCCCTGCCTGTCCCCTCATGCCTCCTCTGGTGGTGTCCCCCTGCCTGTCCCCTCATGCCTCCTCTGGTGGTGTGGGCCTCTTCAGGTCGCGGATCTGCTTGATCAGGTAATTCTTCTCGTCGCAGAACTGCTCGTCCTCGGAGCGGTCTGTCTGGAAGTGGCTCAAGAAGTCCACCAACTTGGTCTGGTTCTTCAGCAGGATGTCCAGCACCGGCTGGGTCTTGTTGGGGTTGGCCACAAACACCTAGGACCAGACAGGACAGATCAGGGTTAGGTTTTACGTACCTATAATTATTTTGATGCTTCAGGGACAATATAAAGATCTATTGAATTTAATGGTGCTACAGCATGACAATCTATTGTAGTTGGTCACCTGGTTAATGTACCTTAGTATACACTGAGTGTACAAAACATTAGGAACACCTGCTCTTTCCATAACATAGACTGACCAGGTGAATCCAGGTGAAAGCTATGATCCCTTACTATTGTCACTTCATAAATCCACTTCAAATCAGTGTAGATGAATGGGAGGAGGCTGGTTAAAGAAGGATTTTTAAGCCTTGAGACAAATGAGACGTGGATTGTGTATGTGTGCCATACAGAGGGTGAATGGGCAAGACTAAATATTTAAGTGCCTTTGAACAGGGTGCCAGGCGCACCGGTTTGTGTCAAGAACTGCAACACTGCCGGGTTTTTCACACTCAACAGTTTCCCGTGTGTATCAAGAATGGTCCACCACCCAAAGGACTTCCAGCCAACTTGACACAACTGTGGGAAGCATTGGAGTCAACATGGGCCAGCATCCCTGTGGAACGCTTTGGACACCTTGTATAGGGGATGTAAATGTTAATAATATGTATTTTATGTCAAGTAACCCAAAACGGTGGAAAGTAGGACAGGCAGAGAATGAGGCCAGAATCTGCACCCTCAGCCTGGGCCTCTCCACGAATACAACATGTCTACACACCTTGAAGACGTGGATGGCCTCAAACATGTCTACACACCTTGAATACGTGGAAGGCCTCGAACTGAATGTTGCGGCTGTTGTCTCTCAGCATGTTCATCATCAGCTTCAAGTTCTCAGCCCGGCTGATGTACTTGGTCATCACAGTGAAGTTGTGTCTGTCCAGAAGAAGCTCTCCCAGGAGCTGCAAAACACTTTGGTTAGTAATAGAAAAAGGGTCATCATTGTTTTTAGGATAAGTTAGGAAGATACGGCGCACTCGGAAAGTATTCAGACCCCTTCACTTTCCCCACATTTTCTTACGTTACAGCCTCATTCTAAAATTTATTAAATACATGTTTTCCTTCATCAATCTACACACAATACCCCATAATGATAAAGTGAAAACAGGTTTTTAGAAATGTTTGCAAATGTATAAAAATTAATAAATATATACCTTATTTAGTATTCAAACCCTTTGCTATGAGACTCGAAATTGAGCTCATGTGCATCCTGTTTCCATTGATCATCCTTGAGATGTTTCTACAACTTGATTGGAATCCACCTGTGGTAAATTCAATTGATTGGACATGATTTGGAAACGCACACACCTCTTTATAATGTCCCACAGTTGACAGTGCATGTCAGAGCAAAAACCAAGCAATGAGGTTGAAGGAATTGTCCGTACAGCTCAGACAGGATTGTGTCGAGGCACAGATATGGGGAAGGGTACCAAAACATTTTTGCAGCATTGAAGGTTCCCAAGAACACAGTGGCCTCCATCATTCTTAAATGGAAGAAGTTTGGAACGAACAAGACTCTTCCTGGAGCTGGCCACCCGGCCAAACTGAGCAATCGAGGGAGAAGGGCCTTGGTCAGGGAGGTGACCAAGAACCTGATGGTCAGTCTGACAGAGCTCCAGAGTTCCTCTGTGGAGATGGGAGAACTTTCCAGAAGGACAACCATCTCTGCAGCACTCCACCAATCATGCCTTTATGATAGAGAGGCCAGACGGAAGCCACTCCTCAGTAAAATGCACATAACAGTCTGCTTGGAGTTTGCCAAAAGGCACCTAAAGGACTCTCAGACCATGAGAAACAAGCTTCTCTGGTCTGATGAAACCAAGATTTAACTATTTGGCCTGAATGCCAAGCGTCACATCTGGAGGAAACCTGGCACCATCCCTACGGTGAAGCACGGTGGTGGCAGCATCATGCTGTGGGAATGTTTTTCAGCGGCAAGGACTGGGAGACTAGTCAGGATCAAGGCAAAGATGAACGGAGCAAAGCACAGTGAGGTCCTGCTCCAGAGCGCTCAGGACCTCAGCCTGGGGCCAAGGTTCACCTTCCAACAGGACAACGACCCTAAGCACACAGCCAAGACAACGCAGTAGTGGCTTCGGGACAAGTCTCTGAATGTCCTTGAGTGGCCCAGCCAGAGCCCAGACTTGAACTCGATCTAACATCTCTGGAGAGACCTAGAAATAGCTGTGCAGCGATGCTCCCCATCCAACCTGACAGAGCTTGCGAGGATCTGCAGAGAAGAACGGGAGAAACTCACCAAATACAGGTGTGCCAAGCTTGTAGCTTCATACGCAAGAAGAATCGAGGCTGTAATCACTGCCAAAGATTCTTCCACAAAGTATTGAGTAAAGGGTCTGAATACTTATGTAAAAACCTGTTTTTGCTTTGTCATTATTGTGTGTAGATTGATGAGGGGGGGAAACGATTTAATCCATTTTAGAATAAGGCTGTAATGTAACTGTATTTCTGTTACAGAAGAACATCATCAATGATTCACGTGAGAGGTCAAAACAAACTTTAAATGTTGGGTTTGGTGGCACAGTGATAACAGAAAGTACCTTTAAGGACTGCCGTTTGGTGACATAATTCTCAGAATGCAGTAGCTTCTCATATTCTGTAAACACCCGGTCATAATTGGTCTCCAGAAAATCTGCACACATAATCTTGTGTCTCGTGAGAAGATCCTAGCAACACATTTGAGAGAAAAGAACAGGATATTACATAACATAGAAATAACATGACATATTACGCACACTAGCGTCCTGTACAGGGGATGTACTTCACAGTACATCAAGCTGCCTCACACTACAGAAACAGGAGATGCACCTCCTGCCCTATGGGCCGTTCTGGCTCGGACAAGGCTTAGCACACAGGACATAAAGCCATGAGAAAAGCAGTCGTTTACCTTGAATGAAGCGAAAGCGTCTGAGGCGATGTCGAAGGTGGAGAACTCTACATAGCGGAAGAAGCAGTAGAAGTCCTCAGAGAAGAGAATTGTGCGTGCCAGGGGCTCATGACGCAGGCTCTCCCTTAACATCACCCCACAGTTCAGAGCCACCTCCGCACTCTCATACCTGCAAAGTTGGGATTCATGCCACTAGAACTCAATCTTAATATGTGGGTGTGTTTTGATGGTGATGAAGAATTATTCATATAGTATATGTTGTGGATGTATGTATGGGGGTCTGTAAATGAACAAACAGGTGAGTTAAGCGCCTACAACTTAACTTAATGGGGACATACCTAAATAAAATATATAAATCCTTGCTTCTTGCTTATCTAACTGATCTAACAGATGGGCAGCTTTGAGACTCACCCTTTCAGCAGCATGAAGAGGATCTGTGGGTGTGAGGAGATATACTCAACCGTGGGCGTACGGGTGCCAATCTGGCGCCGCACAATGTTGCTGAACAGATGGACCACATCCTTCTTTCCCTGGAGGACAACAATGAGAAACATTACAATCAATGAAGGAGGGTGATATGCACATCCAAAAAAACACTGATAAAGGAATGACACACAAAATACCGTGGCTCCCCAAGTCCCTCTGCATTTGGGTGTAGGACTAAAGCACTGTGGAGCAGAAATATTGTGTGTGCGGACCTCTCAAACACTTCAATCAAACAGTGGTGTGTGATGTGTGATCACATCGTGTTTATGCTCCTCCCTCTTCTGTATTGATTTGAACTATCCACTATGAACTACTCTAGTATGAAGAATCAATTTCACCCCCCGTACAAAGCTAATAGCTAGAACATTTCCCCACCTCAAAATCAATCCTCTGCAGGTTTGAAATGAGAGCAATGAGGAGGTTGGTGTTGTACAGCTCCTGGGCCAGTTGGGCCACAGCCTCCGTTTGGGGCTCCTTGTCCCCTGAACCACAGAGCACCTCTTTCAGAGATGACAGGTTCTTAGACACCTCCTCTGCAACCTGGAGACAAGAAGATATGAGGGAACAGCGCTTAGTTAATCAAGGGCTGCGTCTGAAATGGCACCCTATTCCCTATACTATAGTGAATTACTTTTAACCAGAACCCATATAGGTCTCTGGTCAAAGGTAGCACACTATGTAGGGATTAGGGTGCCATTTCGGAAGCATCCAATGATTCTCCCAACATTGCTATATGATGTTGCAGTCTGGATGCTTCTATGTGAAAGACCAACTTTAACCAACAAATGCCCACAGACAATTTCTAGTGTGCTCTCAAAACAGCAGTCCACAGGTATCACCTGACCTTTTCACATTTTTTGCTTTCTGCCGCATCCAGCTTTTCCAAGTAAGCCACGTTCTCCTTCAGACTCTTCACAATCTCCGCTGGGTTCTTCTGAGACTTCCCGAAGGGGAACGGCATGGTGACAAGGAGATGAGTCAGGCTGTAGAGTGGAAGTAAGGCACCGCTTTCCCTTCTGATAAAATTGATAACAGACGAATGATGAGCTATTACATCAATACACTGCTTTGATATTATGAAACTACAGGTCTGACTGAGATCATCATGACATCAACAGTTCTGCGACTTGGCCTTTTCCTTCACTGAAAGATCCACATTTTAAGTGATGTTGTTACACACTTTACAGAACTCCATGGTAAGTAACTGATCAATTCCTATACTGACAATGGCATATTTGCTCATCCCGTAACTATGCATCCCTGTAGGCCACATTGTCAGTTACATAACTGGTGGTCAGATAATAGAAAACAGAATGATCAGATCCTAGCAATCAACTGGGTCAAATCGAATGCAGGTAGGTATTGAGTTAGAATGCAGGTTAGGTAGGTAGCTAGGTGTCTATCTGTAACGTTACTGGGCTAGTTCACACCCATAGCCACAGGGAAACTATTATATGGGTCATTGGTGCTTTTCCAAAGTAATATCCGGTGTGTCACTCAATAGACCGTGGCAATGGGTTTGTTGAGGATTAGCTTGAGCTGATTTTGGTTAGCTAGCTATCTAGCTAGCTACTCTTCTTTTGGATGGATAGCTTAGTTTGCTGACATTGTGCCTTAACCTATACGACACTGACAGCTAGCTGGCTAAGGTTAACAAGTCAAGTTCTCATCTTGGCTAGCTAGCTAATATGGCTAGGTACATTAATCTGAATCAAGTTGATATAACCACGGTAACACATTAGTAAAATACAATGTTCAGAGAGTTGCTAGTTAGTTAGCTAGCTATCTTGCAAGCTAACAGTCAAGTTTGCTAACGTTAGCAAGCTAGATGTCACTGTAATATAGGTTAATATACAGATTAAAGGGACGAGCGATTAGCAAACTCGCAGCTGGCTTGCTAGCTAGCGAGCTAGTTTAGCAAGCAAGCTAACGTCAGCTCGTTAACACGCTAGATTTCTTTGACACTCACCAAGTTTAGAAGGCGACCTCGAAAATTGTTAAAATATCCTGTGGGAAATGTAGGATTTTTAAAGGTAACTTATACTAAACCTATACACTACACCTATTTATTAACTTCATAGCTATTTTCTCGTGACCTAAAAAGTATTTCTGCTGGCTAATTATTGTCAGACTACTTCCCCTTTCTCCTAGTTCTGGGGAAGAGGGGCGGGTATGTTATGACAAAATATTTAAACCAATCAAACCGAAATGATGGAACGACACGCCCCTAATCCCCCAACCAAAAAATTGCAACAAAGTTGCATTGATATGGTTAAATGTATCAAAAAGTATAATTTCTTCCGATTACAGTAACAAATGTAACTATTTGAGGATACATTATAGCACAGCCTGGTCTCATAGACTAGACCTAACCAGCCATAGCAAGCATTTATGTACCAGTTGCAATAAACTTGGAACCTTATTTGAAAAGCTTAAAGTAAGTGGTATCAAATACTAAAGACCTATTCCCACCTGGAAAATAAAGTGTATTTCCAGCTATTATAGGCCTACATATTGACAAAACAGTATTGGCAAAATATATCCATCTATGTAAGGGTACTGACATTTTCTAAGATGCAGAAACCAGGTTGTCTAGTTGTACATGTATGATGTTTAAAGAACTGTCATATTCTTACAAATACTTATTGGAGGCAAAAGTAGTGCACTGGACATTTAATAGTGCTGTTTTATCGGACCGATATAGCTTCTGAGGGCAAAAATATATTTTTTTTCTGCACCCCCGGACCGTACGTTATTTATAATGAGGGAGACCTGGAGAAAATCGGACCTCTCTGAAATGAAAATGGATGGCCCTCCATTCAGTAAAATATACATATTTTTTACCCTACCCTCCCTGAAGGCTTGAAAAAAAACAAGTGACCCTTCCATATATCCAAAATAATAATTAAAACATAAAGTGGATAGCACTGTTTACCCTCACTCCTAGGACAAACCAGAGCCTTTTAGAAACTGTTCTTTGTTTTTTTATAAGCATTACATGGCAAAGTAGCCATAAGGTTGTGGATTCACATTCCACTGCAGACAAGGGTAGGGGTGAAAAGATCTCCATTATAATAAAAGCACTGCATAAATCTATCATCTTACTTGCGGAAAAAATAGCCTTTTATAAATGCATTTCATGCAATTCTACATCATTTTACATCATTGGCGACAAGTATAATATTTTAATACCACAACAGAGCATGACAACAAATGAGTGCATGCTGCAGCACCAGAGAGGTTTTGATTTCTATACAGGTTATTGTTAAAAAATAGGATAGTCTAAGTTTGGAACAGTGCTAAAGTTGTCTATCAACTGTAAAAATTGAGCGCAACAGAACCAGTTACAACTGAAGTATCTGATCATCAATTAATTTGAGAAAAAGCCATTCATTTTTTAACACATATCATCAGGTAGGCACTTGTAACTTTTTTCCATTCGGAAACTATCATTTTCTAATTTATTCCATTTTATTCCATGATATTGTTGTTACAAAATAGATTTGTGTTGACTGATTAGTGCATGGGAATATAAGAGCATCTGCTAGGCTAAATTAACAAACTAGGCATGCATATCTCACCACATGATCCTCAAACCAAAGACTGTCTCTAAAAATGAATTCAAAGGTTTAGCCTAAAAAGGCCTTTTTCGTTTAGTTATTATTTAATTCGAAGTAATTATTTTTTTAAATTTCATTTTATACAGCCTAAATGAAAAATGTATAGGCATGTTGTTGAAGTGTTGTTGGTGATGTGTTGTTGAAATGCTGAGCACTCCTTCAAGCCTGTAGTGTGTCACAAATGCTTCACAATTCATTTCTTAAATGGCAGACTATAGCCTTGAAATAATAATAATATGTCCTAAATAATTCATTTCCGTTCCTTTGTAGGCTACCTGGCTTGCTCCTGACTGATTAAGAGTTAGTATGTTGGTTAATAGCCTGTTGAAATGTTGATCAATTGAAAGTGACAAACTCACTTCCCAAGCAAAGTACATTCTTTGTCTCCTCGGCTATAAGGTTGTAGCGCAGCCTCTTAATGTCTTAGAGACAAACCAAAGAAAGGCTATATGCATCGGAGTCACGTCTTTCCCCGGCATTTTACAGCTTGTTTCTTCTAGCATAAAGCATTGCGGACTAAAGCGTTGTTATAAATCTCTTTATGTAATCAGGTCCATTACATTTTTTTCAAAATTTTAAGCTAACTAGGGGTAGGCCTATGCTTTTAGCCATTTTCTTTAACAAAAGCCACAATACCCTCACACACCCTCACATACCCTCACATACCCTCACATACCCTCACGCCTCCCCTCGATTCTAGCCCTGGTTTTAACTTAACACACCAAGCCACCCCTCACTCACTGACACTGAGATATTTAAGGAGTGCATGGTGACTGAAGAAATTTGCTAACAAAATCTATGGATAGTAGACTATAATGTAGACTGTCAAACAGGTAGGCCTACCTCTTATTTCTTGAATAGGAAGAAATAGGCTCCAACACAAAGCCCTCTTATTGTTATTAGCCTAAAGTCCAATTAAAATGAAGACTGGTTAAATGAATTAGGACTTCTCGATTTAGTCTATTTTCAGCACCCATACGCTTTCATTCTCTCCATCTGCCACTTCAAAGTAATTTAAGTTATGTAAATTACTCAATTATGGCTTATTGTGAGGTCAATAACTCTGATAAATAGCTTCATTATGGGCAACAAAACATATTGTTTTTAGTAAAATCAATTATAGCAGTAGCAACCTTACCTCCGCTCCTCCTCCTCATCTTCACACTCTCCCTCTCAAACTGAACAGGTAGGCCTAGTCCTCACACACAAATATTGCCTTTTTTGGCCATGGCTCATGATTTCTGATAGCCTATCCATTGCAGTGTGTAATGTAGTGTAGCCTAGTTTTATATACACCATCCCAGCAGCACAAAAACTAAGGGAAGGAAGTACATTTTCTTAGAAATATAACTTTGCTCTGTGCTTTTCCGAGCATGCTCTTCGCATAGCCTAGGCCTGTAGCCTATAGTATAGGCTATGGATCCTTTTATTGAGACCACACTAGGCTCACTTGATATTGCACGCCCAGCAGAGAATCATGGATGAGGGGCAGTATCGGGCACCCATCGAGATTTAAGTAACTCATTCTCAAACACTGAGCATTATGACATTCAGGGCTCTATTTTTGGCTGGTGTTAAGGCGGCACTAGTGTCAAACCGCTGTTTGTTTGCAATTTCGATCTTTTAAAGTCAGCATTCTGCTGCTTTCAAACTGTTGCACAAGAATGGGCAATTTCCCTCAGATGGGAAGGGTGGAAACATACTGAACAAAAATAGAAACGCAACATCCAACAATTTCAACGATTTTACTGAGTTACAGTTCATATAAGGAAATTCATCAATTGAAATAAATTCATTAGGCCCTAATCTATGGATTTCACATGATTGGACAGGGGCACAGCCATGGGGTTGGGAGGGCATAGGCCTACCCACTTGGGAGCCAGGCTCACCCACTGGGGAGCCAGGCCCAGCCAATCAGAATGAGTTTTTCCCCACAAAAGGCCTTTATTACAGACAGAAATACTCCTCAGTTTCATCAGCTGTCCAGGTGGCTGGTCTCAGACGATCCCACAGGTGAAGAAGATGGATGTGGAGGTCCAGGACTGGCCTGCGGTTATGAGGCCGGTTGGACGTACTGCAAAATTCTCTAAAACGACATTGGTAGAGAAATGAACATTCAATTCTCTGGCAACAGCTCTACTGGACATTCCTGCAGTCTGAATGCAAATTGCACGCTCCCGCAAAACCTGAGACATCTGTGGCATTGTGTTGTGTGACAAAACTGCACATTTTAGATTGGCCTTTTAAAGGCCCCAGCACAAGGTGCACCTGTGTGATGATCGTGCTGTTTAATCAGCTTCTTGATATACCACACCTGTCAGGTGGATGGATTATTTTGTCAAAGGAGAAATGCTCACTAACAGGGATGTAAACAAATTTGTGCACAAAATTTGAGAGAAAATTCCTGGGATCTTTTATTTCAGCTCATGAAACATGGGACCAACACTTTACATGTTGCATTTCTATTTTTGTTCAGTATATTTGAGGTGTGTCCTTAAAAACATTTTCCAAAGTGCTAATTTCAGGCAGCGCTGGAAGGGATATTTAGAACCAACCAAAAGCTGGTTTTCACAGTAACACGGTTGGTTATGGCATGAATTTTGACAGCTGAAACGCAGCCTATCTAGCCGTGACGCACACTGCCATATGCGCATTGAAACAATAATAATGTGCTTTTGGAGCCTGTATACCTCGTATTTAGAAACATACAAAAATACATGTTTTTTTCCCATTTCGTTTTAAAAACCAAGCATAGCCTCCCCTCTTCTCAATGAAGGCTGTTTTCTTTTTGTCCTGCCCAATACAATCAAGTATAGGCTACTAAAGTCTGTCGATAAAGGGTTTGGCTCTTGAGACAGCTTGGAAATAAATCTTAATCCCAAAATCTTTATTAAAAGATCAAGTTTAAGAGGAGCAAAACAGTGAGCTGACATTCCCTTTTTATCTACAGTGGGGGGAAAAAAGTATTTAGTCAGCCACCAATTGTGCAAGTTCTCCCACTTAAAAAGATGAGAGAGGACTGTAATTTTCCTCATAGGTACACGTCAACTATGACAGACAAATTGAGAAAAAGAAATCCAGAAAATCACATTGTAGGATTTTTAATGAATTTATCTGCAAATTATGGTGGAAAATAAGTATTTGGTCACCTACAAACAAGCAAGATTTCTGACTCTCACAGACCTGTAACTTCTTCTTTAAGAGGCTCCTCTGTCATCCACTCGTTACCTGTATTAATGGCACCTGTTTGAACTTGTTATCAGTATAAAAGACACCTGTCCACAACCTCAAACAGTCACACTCCAAACTCCACTATGGCCAAGACCAAAGAGCTGTCAAAGGACACCAGAAACAAAATTGTAGACCTGCACCAGGCTGGGAAGACTGAATCTGCAATAGGTAAGCAGCTTGGTTTGAAGAAATCAACTGTGGGAGCAATTATTAGGAAATGGAAGACATACAAGACCACTGATAATCTCCCTCGATCTGGGGCTCCACGCAAGATCTCACCCCGTGGGGTCAAAATGATCACAAGAATGGTGAGCAAAAATCCCAGAACCACACGGGGGGACCTAGTGAATGACCTGCAGAGAGCTGGGACCAAAGTAACAAAGCCTACCATCAGTAACACACTACGCCGCTAGGGACTCAAATCCTGCAGTGCATAGACGTGTCCCCCTGCTTAAGCCAGTACATGTCCAGGCCCGTCTGAAGTTTGCTAGAGTGCATTTGGATGATCCAGAAGAGGATTGGGAGAATGTCATATGGTCAGATGAAACCAAAATATAACTTTTTGGTAAAAACTCAACTCGTCGTGTTTGGAGGACAAAGAATACTGAGTTGCATCCAAAGAACACCATACCTACTGTGAAGCATGGGGGTGGAAACATCATGCTTTGGGGCTGTTTTTCTGCAAAGGGACCAGGACGACTGATCCGTGTAAAGGAAAGAATGAATGGGGCCATGTATCGTGAGATTTTGAGTGAAAACCTCCTTCCATCAGCAAGGGCATTGAAGATTAAACGTGGCTGGGTCTTTCAGCATGACAATGATCCCAAACACACTGCCCGGGCAACGAAGGAGTGGCTTCGTAAGAAGCATTTCAAGGTCCTGGAGTGGCCTAGCCAGTCTCCAGATCTCAACCCCATAGAAAATCTTTGGAGGGAGTTGAAAGTCTGTGTTGCCCAGCGACAGCCCCAAAACATCACTGCTCTAGAGGAGATCTGCATGGAGGAATGGGCCAAAATACCAGCAACAGTGTGTGAAAACCTTGTGAAGACTTACAGAAAACGTTTGACCTGTGTCATTGCCAACAAAGGGTATATAACAAAGTATTGAGAAACTTTTGTTATTGACGAAATACTTATTTTCCACCATAATTTGCAAATAAATTCATAAAAAATCCTACAATGTAATTTTCTGGATATCTTTTTCTCATTTTGTCTGTCATAGTTGACGTGTACCTATGATGAACATTACAGGCCTCTCTCATCTTTTTAAGTGGGAGAACTTGCACAATTGGTGGCTGACTAAATACTTTTTTTCGTAGAGAACAAGTATTTGATACACTGCCGATTTTGCAGGTTTTCCTACTTACAAAGCATGTAGATGTATGTAATTTTTATCATAGGTACACTTCAACTGTGAGAGACGGAATCTAAAACAAAAATCCTAACAGGTCTGTGAGAGCCGGAATTCTTACTGGTTGGTAGGTGATCAAATACTTATGTCATGCAATAAAATGCAAATGAATTACTTAAAAATCATACAATGTGATTTTCTGGATTTTTGTTTTAGATTCCGTCTCTCACGGTTGAAGTGTACCTATGATAAAGATTACAGACCTCTACATGCTTCTACATGCTTTGTAAGTAGGAAAACCTGCAAAATCGGCAGTGTATCAAATACTTGTTCTCCCCACTGTATTGTAGGCAGGCCTACATTATTTTAGCCATGCTTAAAATCCTCCATAGTCTGCACTGTTTTAATATTATATGCCTACATGGAGCAATTATGGTGCCTGTAAATGTATTTAGACATAGCCTATTTAAAACAAGTTGTTGTTTTGTTTAGAATTTGATTAGAATTATTTGCTCTCTTTGTAGGCCTTATCAATAATGAATGCTATCTTGCTTATTGACAACGTTTGGCATGTTCATGCTCAGCCATAATGCAATTTACAGTAGGTCTAGCCCCTATATTTGTGTGAATGCTATGTAAACTCAGCCAAAAAAGAAATGTCCTCTCACTGTCAACTGCGTTTATTTTCAGCAAACTCAACGTGTAAATATTTGTATGAACATAACAAGATTCAACAACTGAGACATAAACTGAACAAGTTCCACAGACATGTGACTAACAGAAATTGAATAATGTGTCCCTGAACAAAGGGGGTGTCAAAATCAAAAGTAACAGTCAGTATCTGATGTGGCCACCAGCTGCATTAAGTACTGCAGTGCATCTCTTCCTCATGGACTGCACCAGATTTGCCAGTTCTTGCTGTGAGATGTTACCCCACTCTTCCACCAAGGCACCTGCAAGTTCCCGGACATTTCTGGGGGTAATGGCCCTAGCCCTCACCCTCCGATCCAACAGGTCCCAGACGTGCTCAATGGGATTGAGATCCGGGCTCTTCATTGGCCATGGCAGAACACTGACATTCCTGTCTTGCAGGAGATCATGCACAGAACGAGCAGTATGGCTGGTGGCATTGTCATGCTGGAGGGTCATGTCAGGATGAGCCTGCAGGAAGGGTACCACATGAGGGAGGAGGATGTCTTCCCTGTAACGCACAGTGTTGAGATGACAACAAGCTCAGTCCGATGATGCTGTGACACACTGCCCCAGACCATGATGGACCCTCCACCTCCAAATCAATCCCGCTCCAGAGTACAGGCCTCGGTGTAATGCTCATTCCTTCAACTATAAACGCAAATCCGACCATCACCCCTGGTGAGACAAAACCGCGACTCCTCAGTGAAGAGCACTTTTTGCCAGTCCTGTCTGGTCCAGCGACGGTGGGTTTGTGCCCATAGGTGACGTTGTTGCCGGTGATGTCTGGTGAGGACCTGCCTTACAACAGGCCTACAAGCCCTCAGTCCAGCCTCTCTCAGCCTATTGCGGACAGTCTGAGGACTGATGGAGGGATTGTGCGTTTCCTGGTGTAACTCGGGCAGTTGTTGTTGCCATCCTGTACCTGTCCCGCAGGTGTGATGTTCGGATGTACCTATCCTGTGCAGGTGTTGTTACACGTGGTCTGCCACTGCGAGGGCGATCAGCTGTCCGTCCTGGCTCCCTGTAGCGCTGTCTTAGGCGTCTCACAGTACGGACATTGCAATTTATTGCCCTGGCCACATGTGCAGTCCTCATGCCTCCTTGCAGCATGCCTAAGGCACGTTCACGCAGATGAGCAGGGACCCTGGGCATCTTTATTTTGGTGTTTTTCAGAGTCAGTAGAAAGGCCTCTTTAGTGTCCTAAGTTTTCATAACTGTGACCTTAATTGCCTACCGTCTGTAAGCTGTTAGTGTCTTAATGACCGTTCCACGTGTGCATGTTCATTAATTGTTTATGGTTCATTGAACAAGCATGGGAAACAGTGTTTAAACCCTTTACAATGAAGATCTGTGAAGTTATTTTGAATTTTACGAATTATCTTTGAAAGACAGGGTCCTGAAAAAGGGACGTTTCTTTTTTTGCTGAGTGTATATATTTCCACATTGAAGCCATGCAATTACTTAGAACAATGCTGACTGCAAACAAGTTCAAGTGAACATATTTAGCAAAGATTGGATGGGTTTGACATTTTGTTATTTAGTTTCTGTAAGATCTTTAACAAACTATAACGGACTAACATTGGAATTGGAGTTGATTCCAAGGCAATACATAAAATACCATAAATACACAATTTGAAGCAGGGATCGTGAACTAGATTCAGCCACAGACGATTTTTGTATTGAGCGGGTGGGCGGGGGGCCGGAACATAATTACAAATAATTTGTAGGCGAAATATTGACTGCAAGAAGCCCAAACAGATATAATATTTGACTAAAACATAATCATTTCAAACCTTGCTTACATCTTTTAAAGATCACGTTTCTCTCTATTATGCGTGGGAATAATTGGGAACAGATTTTTAAAATTAAAATCACTTGGAGCTGATTTCCTGGTGTTTTTAGTCTATTTTTTTGCTTAAAAAACTTGGGGGGGGACAACTAAAACAACCAAATTTGGAGAACCCTGACTTGAAGCAACCACATATTTAGCCATGGAGCACATTCTGATTAGCCAGTGAGGGGCCAAGCCTAGACACAACCACAACTGGAAAAAATGTATTGTGAAAATAGCAAAAATATTTCTGACACACCCCTGAACCTATAGCGGTACGGCCAGCGCTTAGATGTACCATTGTGTTAGGTTTGTTAATCGATTACAAATGACTTGACCCTCCCCTGGACTAAATAAAAAAATACCAAATCTCCACCTGACTGAAAATGAAAAAGCATGACCCTCCCCCATTTTCCTCAAGGTAACAATGGTGTAAATTTCGACAACTCCCTTATTTGTTCAATGGAATCAGTGCTCTGTACATCATTTTCTGGGGGAGGGAAATGTGCGTGCATTGCGTAGGGGCGTGTTTACATTTTTTTTTTTTTGCAGTGCGCAACGTCACTCGAATGCTACGCAGTGCTGAAACTGAACACAAGCGATCACTGATAAAAAAAAGGGGGAAACTACACACACTTTCACCCTTCCATCCAGCACAGCAACGTGACAGAATCCCACAGAGACGGGTAAGATCTAAATATCTTTCGGCACTGTACTAAAGGAATGATCGGTATTTTTTTTATCAGGTAACAATTGTTAGGTTTTAGGCCGATGGGAATTGCTGGCGGACAAGCTCGCTGAAGTCCCTCCGTTTTCACTGCTGAATGTGAATACAGCACGTATGGCGCTCTTTGCGTAGAAAGCACTCAAAACCTACCCGCGCCTCATCATCACTCTGAACAGAAATATACTAGAATTAATATGTTTAAAAGGTTAGTTAATAACACAAATTAAAGGACTATCTTTATTTTACTGGTACGGGCCTTTCTGTCCTACGACGAGGGCCTGAAGTGTTCGTCTTTCGATGAACTGCCTACCCAAATAGTGTTCTTCTTATACAGTTTAGAAGAGGCACACACACCCCTTTTTATTTCAAAACGTACACTGAAAGAAATAGTATTTTGACAAGATTGTGTACGCGATGTCCCCCCCCACCCCCCCAAAAAAACACAGACCAATCCGATCATTCATCTAAACTGTTCGTAGTACTATCTGTCACTGTGTTTCGTATGTAATTCTTGTAGATTTCATTGATAGTTTGGTAGCTATATATCCGTCGTTGTTTACTTGGCTGGTGAACATGCACGTTGTTGCCGCCCGTCGCTGTGAGATCCTCTTCCTGAGCTATCATGGCAGCTGTGTTTAAAACCAAGGCGTTGCGGTGCATGCCATTGTGATTAAAAACACCCAGTTTCGTTACTAGCAGAACATGAGGTTATAGAGATTGAATGTTACTGTGAAAAATGTTTTACCTTTCTTTTTCTGGTGTATTTCAGATTTCTGTGATCAGTCTGTACAAGTACCTCTCTCACCTTTCAGTGTATGTATGTAATGTCTCCATTTCCTATTAAAATAACGATATACCTTAACCTAATGAATTCTACGAGTTATTGTAATTACTTTTTAATAGATTATTGTTGATTTATGACAATATAGCTGTTCCTGGGGTAAATGGCAGATTTTGTCCTCTACACTTCTAGATCATAAAATAATGTCTTCTAAGGTCTTCCAACAACTTACTTAGACTTTTCTGCTTTTCTTTCCTTCTAACACATGCATGTACACACACAGATATACCACACCTACACCAACAATGGAATTGGCAGTAGCCAAGGGTCTTAACATCCAAAAAACAGGATAATTGTTCCACAGGCCCACTCCTACTTTATTAGTCTCCAAGTCTCTACCACATTCACATTTTCTTTCACTGATGATTACACAACATGTTAGCAGTGTATCCATGAAACAAAGTATGCCACCTCCAGCAACCAACAACAGTATGGTTTCATAAGTAGGCCTAGATTTTAGAAACTTGGAGGGCCTTAAAACAGTTTTTAAAACCTTCAGATATCATTAAATAGATCATTCGCTGACAGCAATATACCTGTACCTTACCTGTCTAGTGTAATCTATAGTATCTATTGGGGTTTACTAACAAGGGCAACTTGATGCTGCTATCAAGTGATCACCTCTCATTCTTTCTGTCCCTCTCACGAACAGAAAAGCTCACTGACCGTCACAGAGAGCTCACTGACTGTCACAGAGACGATACAGGAGACGAGGAGAGACTTTGTGAGAGAGACCGACCATGTCGACACAGAGGAAGGGAGCGGCAGCAAAGATGCGAAAATGTGCCTTCTGCAGGACGAACCGGGACAAGGAGTGTGGACAGCTGCTAGTGTCGGACAACCAGAAGGTGGCAGCTCACCATAAGTGCATGGTGAGAAGAAGCACACAGTCAGTGGTATTGCACCAACTACTGTATGCATTGGCCATCCATAAGGGCTTCTCAATGCCAATCAATTTAACTCTCATATAAAACCATATTTAAGTGTCACTCCACAATATTACAGTATTGACTATCCATGTTACAGATTTTAAAAAATCAATAAAGATTTGAGACGCTGTAGGTCTAGCCGATGTGAAATGGCTAGCTAGTTATTGGTGACGTCACTCGCTCTGAGACCTTTAAGTAGTTATTACCCTTGCTCTGCAAGGGGTGCGGTTACTGGTTACGATGCTTCGTGGGTGTCAGTTGTCAATGTGTTCAGAGGGTCCCTAATTTGAGCCCAGGATGGGGCAAGGAGAGGGACATAAGCAACACTGTTATATAAGCAATCATATAGGGCCTGGACGATACCAGTATCGCGATACTCGTTAGTATCGTGGCAAGGAAACAAAACACAAAGTGGATTTAACTTCTTTAGGAAAACCGCCCTAATGTTGGAAACAAACATCATTATGTTGTCATCCAGAGTTACATTTATTTATTTTCCAAGCTATAGCAGACAATATTTTACATACAGCAGGTTTTTAAAGGACCAAAGAGTATGGTCTGCTTCGTGTTTTCAGTTTTTGCCATGGAAAAGATATTGCGATACTGGTATAGTTACAGCCCTACAATTGTATATGTTTCTATATTGTAGCTTATTATTACAATTAGCATGGAGTGTCATTGTGTCTCAGTTGTGAAACCTTATGCTGCTTAGGGCTTTGCCGGTCATGGAATTTTGCTTCATGGTAATTGGCCAAGCAAATGACAGAGGCCACCATAATAACACCCTTCCCCCCCAAAGATGCAAATGTTATCCTCTCCACTCCTGACCGTATGTGCTGCCATAGAAATAGAATGACTAGAACAGGCGTCCCCATTCAAGTCAATTATGGTATAATGGGTGGACTGGCGGCCATTGCGAGGAGCAAAGCAGGAAGTACCCATCAGTAAGTGCTGTGATTACAAAACGGACATTTAACAAATACATTCCATCGCATGAGCCACATCAGTTAACATCATTTGAATGAACATATTACATTACCATGGAAATTATATATAAATACCAGGCAGCTGTTGCGAGTGTACCAATGAGTTTACCAGTCAAGTTGCCAGGGTTGGAGGTTCCAAGCCCGTTCTATTAATTATATTTCTATGTGTGCTACTGCTGCAGGAAGGGTGGTGTTGCCTAGACAACCGAAGACTTGTTTGCTTCTAGAACTTGCTTGTTTCTGCAAGGAGCAAAAAAGTTTCACCACGTTCTTAAGAGTCCATGTCACCACAGAAACGGACTCGACTGCACGAATGCCCGGCCATCCCGTCTTCAGTCAGCTGTTTAAAAAACAATTTAAAAACGGTTCTGACTTTTTTTCTTTTTCATAACGGTCTTCATCCATAACCGTCAGTTACACAGTAATAGTGCCAGCCTGAGTTCTACTCTCTGAGAAGTAGAACATAGTAATTGCTTGTGTTGTCCAGGTATTCTGTTGAATGATTTTTGTCATTGCCCTGTGCAGCTTTTCTCCTCCGCTCTGGTTACATCTCACTCAGACTGCAACGACAACATCGGGGGGTTTTCTGTCCAGGACGTGAGAAAGGAGCTCAAGAGAGGGAATAAACTTGTGAGTCTCCATGGCAAGATATTAATTTACATTACATTTTACATTTTAGTCATTTAGCAATGTGATTTGTAGTCCTCACATTTGGAATGCGTCCCAAATGGCACCCTACGGCGAGTCTTATAGGGCTCTGGTCAAAACTAGTGCGCGATATAGGGAATGGTGTGCCTTTAAGGACTCATCCCACGGTGAGTTGCCAGGTTCAGCTAGTGAGATGGGAGGTCTGGTTCTTCTCCTACCCTTCAGATGTGTTGGTCCTGCCACCGGCCTGGTGCCACTGTTGGCTGTGATGTGAAGACATGCCGGCGGACGTATCACTACTACTGCGCAGTATGGGACAAGGCCCAGGTCAAAGAGAATCCCTCACAGGGGAGCTACCTGTAAGTGCCCAGTGTACATAACCGTATTACAACACCATTTAGCTTGACGTTTCTGTAAAAAATTATCCTAATATTTCTGTCTTTATATGTAGTGTGTATTGTCGCAAACACCGGGATGCCTCCCAGGATGCCAGTGAAGGTATCTAACTTCTCTTCTGCGTGATGCTCAGCACACAAAGGATGGCTTTTCTTTTGACACTTTTAAAGTAGACCACGAGGATAACTGTTGTTGAGGGTGAATGGCCGGCATATTGATGTATCCAATTTATATTTTTCAGATGAACAGGGAGGTGTGGCCAATGACTCAGACTCCTCCCCTCCGCGGAGTAGGGGGCGTGGGAGATTCGAGAAAGAGCGAATCAAAGTTGGATCCCGTGGCCAATCAGAGGACACACGCTCAACCTCCTCTCAAGGCGTAGATGATGAGAGCTCCTCGCATGTAAGACCACACACACACAAAACATTTGGCCTGAACATGTATCCTGAGGTGTTGTCCTGAACATGTATCCTGAGGTGTTGTCCTGAACATGTATCCTGAGGTGTTGTCCTGAACATGTATCCTGAGGTGTTGTCCTGAACATGTATCCTGAGGTGTTGTCCTGAACATGTATCCTGAGGTGTTGTCCTGAACATGTATCCTGAGGTGTTGCCCTGACCATGTATCCTGAGGTGTTGCCCTGAACATGTATCCTGAGGTGTTGCCCTGAACATGTATCCTGAGGTGTTGCCCTGACCATGTATCCTGAGGTGTTGCCCTGACCATGTATCCTGAGGTGTTGCCCTGACCATGTATCCTGAGGTGTTGCCCTGAGGTGTTGCCCTGACCATGTATCCTGAGGTGTTGCCCTGACCATGTATCCTGAGGTGTTGCCCTGACCATGTATCCTGAGGTGTTGCCCTGACCATGTATCCTGAGGTGTTGCCCTGACCATGTATCCTGAGGTGTGTGTCTGTGTGTTTCAGAGGGACAGGTCCCCTCTGAGGGGCTCTGGGGACGGTGGCCAGCGCTGTGGCTTCTGCCACTCCGGCGAGGAGGAGAATGAGATGCGGGGCGTGCTCCATGCAGATAACGCAAAAAAGGTTGCTGCACATTACAAATGCATGGTAAGTCTTACCTTATCACTTGTCAGTCTGTACATGGTAAGTCTTACCTTATCACTTGTCAGTCTGTACATGGTAAGTCTTATCTTATCACTTGTCAGTCTGTACATGGTAAGTCTTACCTTATCACTTGTCAGTCTGTACATGGTAAGTCTTACCTTATCACTTGTCAGTCTGTACTAAGCTGTAACAATCATTGTTCATCAAAAAAGAAACTAGTTTCCTGCTGAAGATGGTCTGTATACTATTGCTTGTCCAAGCATTACTTTGTGCAAGATGTATGGATTGGAAAAGCACAATCAGTTTTAAAGGTATTTTCTGCTGTACTCTGATTCGTCCTGTCTGTCATCTGACCTGGTCGTCTCTCCTCCCTGGCAGCTGTTCTCATCGGGAACCGTCCAACTTACCACCTCCTCACGGGCTGAATTTGGGAACTTTGACATCAAAACGGTCATCCAGGAGATCAAGAGGGGGAAGAGAATGGTGAGAACCTTGGAGATAGCGCTGTAGTACGGTGATGTGAAGACGCAAGGGTGGCTCAGTGGGACAAGTAGATTACTAGCACTAGCAACTCATTAAATGTTATTTGCAGATAATTTAATGCATTTCTACTGAATATGGGAGAAGTTCCTTGAAAGTCACCAATGCTATGTCAGAGACCTGTTGTATTACCAATCAGATTGATGTACCCATAGAGATCCTATTAAATTAGTATTCTAATTCTATGGATGTACCTTCCTTAGTTGAATGCACTGACTGTAGGTCACTCTAGATAAGAGCATCTGCTAAATGACTAAAATGTAAACGTATATTGATGGTCTCTTCCAGAAATGTACCCTGTGTACCCAGTTGGGAGCCACCATTGGATGTGAGATCAAAGCCTGTGTGAAGACCTACCATTATCACTGCGGCCTGCAGGACAAGGCCAAGTACATAGAGAACATGGCTCGTGGCATCTACAAGTGAGATTCTCCTCTGCTTTCTCATTTTCAGGTGTCAAGTGCATAGTGGATAGTTTTCTTCTTGTTCATAAAATAAACACTGTTAGTTTGCTGTTGGTAATTTAATTACATTTGTATAATTAATAAAGTATAATTTATTTGCGCCTGAAAGATCTAAATTATATTCCTCAAGTTACTATTCCTGTAGGCCTACACGGCAACTTTCTATTTTATTTATTTATTTTATTTCACCTTTATTTAACCAGGTAAGCCAGTTGAGAACAAGTTCTCATTTACAAATGCGACCTGGCCAAGATAAAGCAAAGCAGTCACTCAGGGAACAGATGCCTAATATGTTGTCTTTGCATCACGCCAAAGTTCTATGAGAAAAATAGCTTTGCCATTTGAGAATTGCACCTATGTAAGCCTCACATGCGGTTTGCAACACAATTACCTTGAAGGCTGAGAGAATGTAAACCGACCATACAAGTGGTAGTTCAACAACCCTTTGCCTGTTGTATAAGCCCTTTCTGTAATGATATGTAACCGTTGTAAAGATATGTTATAAGTTGACATTACACTATTGTCTCTGCTCCAGGCTGTACTGTAAGAATCACAGTGGGAATGAGGAGCGGGATGAGGAGGATGAGGAGAGGGAGAGTCGCAACAGAGAGAGGGCGGCCATTGATCACGGGGGAACAGTGCCTCTGCCTCCGCCACAAGTCAATGGCAACTAGGTATGGCACTGACACACCTGCCTGGATCAAATGGCGATGAAAAAGTACCAGTAGTCCAGCAGCTAGGGTAGGCCAGCAGCTATGAAGTATTTGGTATATGGCTGATGTCAATGTTCTCCCTTCACAGGTGATGGTTGAGGATTGCAGGATAAGAAGCGAGGGGATATCCAAGATGGAGCAAAGATATTTTTCTATTGCGTTCTACTCCCGAAGCAGGGGGCCACTGCCAGCCCCCTCATTTGCCCTTTCAGTTTCATCAAACGTCAGACACACACCCCTGCCAGATGCCAACATGTCAGCCCCTGGCTTCTTCACAAACCTCTTTCATATTGTTAAGTTTCATGAAATGGCACGGACGGACTGGAGTACTAAGAGCAAAACACTGCTGCTGGGTGAACGACAACGCATGAGAGTGGTGGTCAGTTGTGGTCTCCCTGTAATACATGTTGTATTGCTCTTAAAGAAGACATGACTGGACAAAGTTATCAACATTCACTGTATCTTGCTTCCCATGTGCCCCACAGCATTCTAGTCCTATACAAACAATATTATTCTTCGTATAGCTCTTCTTCAAGGAGGCTGCCTTGTAATATTTTAGATCCCCCCCCCCCCCTTCCAAATCATGGAATTTGATTTACTTTGTTGTAGCTGTAATCTTCTCTCAAGAAATTCATTTATTTTTACTTCTCTTAAAAAGTGTATTATTTGACTACTGTATCATAATCATGAATACTATTGAATATCTGTGGCTTTCTTTATAGTCAGTCAGGATTGAAGTTATTCTGCTAGCATGCAGCACTTTAGATTGTTTATCCACTATTCATTTTCTGTATTGCTCCAACATACCCACACGGAATTCTTATAAGGAAAAAAGATTGACCTAAGTTTTTGTACTATTCTCATTTTCTCAGCATCCACAATTGTATTCGTAAAGGGTTGCAATTATAGGCTACAATATACATTTTGTATTACACATTTATTATACTGTTGAAATGTTTTTGTCCAACATAAGAAACCAAGAAAATAACATTTTGATGTTGTCCATCAGGTGGCAGTATTTCTTCGATTTTAATATTGTACCAAGTATGTTATTTCGAAAGCTTCCAACTATTTTTTTTTAAATTAACTTTTAAACTGCCAGATCAATATGAGATGCCTCACAAATAGTGCTTGTTGATGGACGCTTTGGGATTGGATGAGTTTTGTTATGGTCAGATAATAAGGTGAGGAATGTCACAGATACCTGGATGTTGACCAGAGCAAGGAGAAGGGCGTCCTTCAGTACTAACCCAGTCAACAACAACGTCTTCTGGGTCCAACCGGCTAGATGTCTAAATGGTTGTCTGTGTTTAGTTCAACCTTGATTCCTATCCAGGCTATATATCGTTTGAAGTAAGTTTATTATTGGCAATAAAAACGGACTACAGTCCGCTGCACAGTAAAGCAGGTTCAAAATGTATTATTGTTTTGGAGCATTTCTATTTAAAACGGTACTGTTAATTTAGAATGGGCATCTTGATCAATTGGGTAGCTAGTATGCTACATTATACGTACAGGTGCATGGTTTGAAGAAATCGCTAGCTAAATGACGTTGACGTTCTCCATAGTCATAGTGATGGGAATAACATGCCGTGTCCGCATTGCGTTTAGGCTACATGATTTTATGGCGATGACAGATTCTATCCAAAATGGGCGGTGCATCAGGATTTCCCCTAATCTGATTCGTTATTCAGTCTACTACAACCAACTACGCACGCCCTGCAGGGGTTTTGCGGAATATCTACTGTACAAAGCAGGCGAGGTGGTCTGCTGTTAAAGAGGTAAAACTCCTTTTAGGTGACAGACTAGGAAAAACAATAATTTTGTCGGTTGTAAAAAGCGGGTCGTGATCTAAACGACGGTACGGACATGGCGTCAAGCAGCCCCTGTGTTGTGGTAAGTCTTGCAATGCTGATTCAAATGGGTGTTCATATTGAGAACATGACTGCTATATCGAGTCAAAGAGGAAGGGGTCGTAACTAGGTTTTTGTACGGAAATACGCGGCATTCGCCACTCTAAATGTACCTTTTCCGAATTATTACAATGTACTTTATGTGTTTCTTTTGAATGCTTCGAACTTGTCATCGCATGCTCACCTTAAAATTACTCATATTTTCATCTCAACAACAAAAATAGCTGTTTAGCTACATAACTAAGCGCGGCCTGGGGCATCGCACGCGTGCTACACGCATGGGACATGTGATACTTTGCATACCACTAATCTTGATTCATACAGTAGGATGAACATAAAGATAAATATTCAATTTACCACCAATAATAGCGTTAGAGTAGTTTTCTATAATATACGAAAAAATTGGAAATTATATCATTTAACTTCGAAACGAATATATATGCATGCCATATGGAGGGCGGTTCTTGCTTGTCTCTCCAACCTATAAAATGTTTTTGTTCTGTTACCCAGAGTAGTTTACATTTACATCAGTTAGCAGACTCTCTTATCCAGAGCGACTTATTGGTGCATTCAATTTATGATAGCCATGGAGCGGGCAGTCCTTCCCCGGGAGGAAGAGCAGCTCCGTCTTGCCGAGGTTCAGCTTGAGGTTGTGATCCGACATCCACACTGATATGTCTGCCAGACATGCAGAGATGCGATTCGCCACCTGGTTATCAGAAGGGGGAAAGGAGAAAATGAATTGTGTGTCGTCTGCGTAGCAATGATAGGAGAGACCATGTGAGGATATGACAGAGCCAAGTGACTTGGTGTATAGAGAGAATAGGAGAGGGCCTAGAACTGAGCCCTGGGGGACACCAGTGGTGAGAGCATGTGGTGCGGAGACAGATTTTCGCCACGCCACCTGGTAGGAGCGACCTGTCAGGTAGGACGCAATCCAAGAGTGAGCAGTGCCGGAGATGCCCAAATCGGAGAGGGTGGAGAGGAGGATCTGATGGTAGTTCATTTTTGGAAAACCCTAGCCTACAGGCTTTTGGGGATTACTGCTGTACTGCAACAAGCATGATGGCCTCATTTCACTGGTATGCATTTTACCATTATATTTCACCATATATTTACCATTATATTTCACCATATTATATTTACAGAAGTACAAGAAGATGTAAATTGCAGAAGAACACAACTCTCATTTTGCTTTTGTAGCCATTTCCAACAGAAGAACTCAATTGATTGCCTTGGTCAGTATAGCATTTATTTTTGCTATCAAACTGGCCCTGTCTATATTCTGGGAGTCACATGCTGACAGTTGTTTATCGATTGATGACACAGACAACATGCTGAATGAAACAGACTTTGCAGACAGCTTGGAGAGTCAGTCCGTGGGGACTGGAGAGACTACAGTGTTACATTCACCCCTACTGCTGATGAGTGGACCCTTGTTTAAAAGAGATAGATAAGAGAGGGCCACTGTGGGTAGGAATGCCTCATGCCATCTTTAGATAGGAATTATTGTATCATAACAACACACATTGTTTTCACAAAGGTTACAAGTACATTTCTCCACACTAGTACAAGCTTACATTCAGGTCAACTTATGATTCATAGCTTGGTTGTTATATCGTCATTTGGAGGGCTCTTTTTGGTTTAATAATAACTGGATTGCACATTTGTGACTATAGTGCTACATAGTAAGACCTGATGTGACGTGCTGTTGGTGGAGCAAAATTATAAGATAGTTTGAGGGAACTGTTCCCCTGGTCTCACACCAGCTGAGCCCAGTACAGCAGCACCTGTTGTAGACAGCATGTGGGATGAAGACTCCTGTAGGGTCTGTGGTCCCCAGACAACTGCCTATTACCAGCATGGCTCACCATCAGTCCTTATTTCTCTGCATGTGGACTTCATCTGTTCTGAGCCAAATCACATGACGACATAGGAATATATTTCAGTTGGACTGGCATGGGAAGGAGAACACAGTTGTCCCACGGTCAGAAAACGTGAGGACATGTCTCATAGGATTATCCACAGTGCATGTAGCTTAGGCCTACATGTAACTACACTGTTATAATAAGTAACCCTTAAATGTGTAAATGTCAGCCAGGGGCCAGGGCAGGCGAGAGACCCCGTGATCACACCCCAATCCCTGGGCTCCTCTGGGCCTGGTCTGGTTGCCACTCTGCTGTCACATGACTCTGATGAAGCTCTCGGGATGTGTCCCAAATGGCACCCTATTCCATATAAAAGTACTGCACTATATAGGGAATAGGTTGCCATTTGGGAGACAACCTCTCTCTCTGAATTCAAGTGCTGGGCTGTTTAACCCTGAGCAGGAAATTGGATTTGAAAACATATGGTGTATATCTCTTCCAGAATTAGCATGGCATCTCTGAAAAGAGGCAGTGTTTATATTAATTGAGAGACTTCTCCGCAGAGTAATCTTGTATTAGTTCAAAGTTGTTGCCAAGGAAGAACAGTGGTGTCTTTAATAGAAACTGGAGGGGTGCGTTAGATGATTGTATGATTGGAGTGGACTGATTCCTCTTTCCTAGCGTTTTTCTCTCACCTGCCTCGGTCAGTATTGAGTGGAGTCTGCGGCAGCAAGTGTGGGTGTGATTTGCTCTGCCAGAAGTCAGTTGCACCAGTGATACCAGCCAGAGGGGAGGGTGCATTGTGATAGTTGTAAAGTGAACAACCTTTAGTGTCTTCACCTCTATCCCCACTGCCCTACTTCTCTCTGTCTCCCGTTAGATAACGCCCCTGTGATTTCTTTAACCCTTTCCCTGCTGTGTCATAGCAGTTCCATATCACAGGCACAGCATTGAGCAGATAGATTGTCAGCATGTGATCTGTGTTCCAGATCAGCGATGACGAGCAGGGATATGACCTGGACCTCTTCTGCATTCCAAAGCACTACGCTGATGACCTGGACCGGGTATACATCCCACATGGACTCATCCTGGACAGGTGGGTTGTTACTGACAGTGTGGTCTTAAGAAATATTGCTGTGAAAGAACATGTCAACTAAGTTTCAATTGCAATATATTCAAGCTGGCCCTTTTTTGTGTGTGCCTATGTTAGTTATTTTACTACTATGTTAGTTGTTTTATTTATTTAGCCAATGCTACTTGTTTACACAAGGATTTAGAGTTGAGCATGTTTTCTTCCTTTACTGAACTTGTCACTGGATAGCCACAAACTATTTTATAATCAAATCAATTAACTGATCACATCCACGTGAGGCTGGCAGTTCAGTTTAGTTGCAACAAGCCCCATGTTCTGCACAAATCCTCAGTCTCTGTTTTTGGAGTGCACTTAAAAATAAGTGTGAGTAAGACTATATATACACTCTTAGAAAAAAGGGTTCCAAAAGGGTTCTTCGGCTGTCCCCATAGGATAACTCTTTTTGGTTCCAGGTAGAACTCTTCTAGGTTTCATGTAGAACCCTCTGTGTAAAGGGTTCTACCTGGAATCAAAAATAGTTATTCCATGGAGACAGTCAAAGAACCCTTTTAGGTTCTAGATAGCACCCTTTTTTCTAAGAGTGTACCCCCTTATTCAAACAGACATAGGAAACAGGAACCAGTGCTGACTGACCACCCTCTCTCTCCCTGACCCCAGGACAGAGAGGCTGGCCAGGGAGATTATGAAGGACATGGGGGGGCACCACATTGTAGCCCTCTGCGTGCTCAAGGGGGGTTACAAGTTCTTTGCAGACCTGTTGGACTACATCAAGGCCCTAAACCGTAACAGCGACCGCTCCATCCCTATGACAGTGGACTTCATCCGCCTCAAGAGCTACTGCGTAAGGCTCACTCTTCACTCTGTTCTTCACATTTGTGTCCCAAATGGTCAAAAAGTAGTGCACTATAAAGGGAATAGAAGCCATTTGGAATGTAGTTCATGAGTAATTACTATGTTATCATAGATGTTAGAAGTATTTAGCGTTCATGTTATTATAATTCTTCAGATTTATATTTATTTATTACAGGCATCGCCAAAAACATGCATATTGGAAAGAATATAATATTTTATTCAGGCCATTGGTTTCACAGTTGCACCTAAGCTTTCATTTGACCTTTGAGCCAAATGTCAACATGCACTACCTCAATCTCTTGCTGAACATGTATTGCCTGACAATCACCTAGGCTTGTAACCAAAATAAATGCTAACTTGGTAAATATTAACTTGGTAAATGCTTGATAAATGCTAACTTGATAAATGCTAACACTGGTTACTATTAGTACTACATTTCCATTAGTTCCATCCATTACTCCCCCCACACACACTCAGCTGCTTGATATAATACATTAAGAAGCAGCCCTAGCAGCTCTTTGTTTGTGGGTTCTTACTGCTAGATACTAGAGATGTCAATAACAGCAGACCTGTCTGGACAAAGTCCCCTATCCCTGTTCACCTGTTTATTAAATTTCTACACAGAATGACCAATCTACAGGTGAAATCAAAGTCATTGGAGGGGATGACCTGTCTACACTGACAGGGAAGGTAAAGAGATCTCTTCAACTGACCTTTTCTATAGATATGTCTGTCAAACATTGGGTCATTCCTCAGTTATCTAGTCTGAGCCTCCACTGTTTGCAGTCAGACAAATGGTAATCTTCTTAAAGGGGAAGTTCACCCATTTTTACATGTGGCCTTATTTTCACTCTTCCTGTGCTTGTAGTTGCTCCCCCAAACCGTTTTCTTTGTTGGTATTTTGTTTAGTTACGTAGAAAGTTGGTTGACACATTTTGCTTAGTCATTAGTTGCCATTGACTATAATGCATTATGAAAATGGGTCTAAAACATGTTAGAAAGCTCCAAAACACTCCAAACCAACTCATATTACGTCAGAATCCCATGACTCAGCAAAATGTGTTAAACAATTTTCTCTGTAACTAAACAAAAATAAAAACTTTGGAGGATCAACTATAAGCACAGAAAGTGAAAATAAGGCCATGTGTAAAAATGGGTGAACCTCCCCTTTAATCTATTTTTTTTTACTTAGCCATAATAGTTTTGAAGGGGTTCCCATGCAGTCTAAAGTATAAGAGGGCAGAACTATAATGGCTGCAGGGTTCACCAGGATACATCCAAGATTACATTCCTAAATGGGTTCTAGAGTAACTTTTATATTTAAGATAGGCTAACAGTTACACTCTGTCGTATCTGTCTCTTATTTTTTAATCTCATGTTTTTACACAGAATGTCCTGATTGTGGAGGTATGTTATGACTACATTTTCCTCATTGTTAAGTTAAACCTTTTGCTATGGCAATGTTATAGACATTTGGCAGCGACACTCACTGTTTTGTCATATTTTTAGGACATTATTGACACAGGAAAGACCATGAAGACCTTGCTGCAACTTCTCAAACAGTACAACCCAAAAATGGTAAAAGTTGCAAGGTAAAGTAATCCCCAAGTCTCTATCTTACATTGCAGTGTTATGAAAAGTTAAATATTTGTCCATACATTATTGATGTAAATTTAGAATACAGTGCAACTCACTTGCTTACAGAGAAGGTATATATGGAAACCTCCAACTGTCATGTTTTCCTTTGTATTTGAATTCTCTAACACCATCAGTCACATGACCAACTTCCTGGTTTGTGCTTTCAGTTTGTTGGTGAAGAGGACACCAAGGAGTGTTGGCTACACACCAGACTGTGAGTTCACTTCAACACTGCTAAATGGCTTTCAGTGAATCATCTTAATCAATAGCCTGAGGCATTGTGCTGTCACACATACACTTATTACTATAATTAAGACAGATACAGTGCATCTGGAAAGTATTACATTGACATTTTAGTCATTTAGCAGACACTCTTATCCAGAGCGACTTACAGTTAGTGAGTGCATACATTTTTTTCATACTGGCCTCCCGTGGGAATCGAACCCACAACCCTGGCGTTGCAAGCGCCATGCTCTACCAACTGAGCTACACAGGGGGTATTCAGCCCCCTTTTTCCACATTTTGTTACGTTACAGCCTTATTCTAAAATGGATCAAATAAAAACATTTCCCCAGCAATCTACACACAATACCCCCTAATGACAAAGCGAAAATGGGTTTTTAGAAATATTTGCTAATGTATTACAAATAAAGAACAGAAATACCTTATTTACATAAGTATTCAGACCCTTTGCTATGAGACTCGAAATTGAGCTCAGGTGCATCCTGTTTCCATTGATCATCGTTGAGATGTTTCTACATCTTGATTGGAGTCCACCTGTGGTAAATTCAATTGATTGGACATGATTTGGAAAGGCACACACCTGTCTATATAAGGTCCCACAGTTGACAGTGCATGTCACAGCAAAAACCAAGTCATGAGGTCAAAGGAATTGTCTGTAGAGCTCAGAGACAGGATTGTGTCGAGGCACAGATCTGGGGAAGGGTACCAACATTTCTGCAGCATTGAAGGTCCCCAAGAACACAGTGGCTTCCATCATTCTTAAATGGAAGAAGTTTGGAACCACCAACTTTTCCTAGAGCTGGCCGCCTGGCCAAACTGCGTGACCAAGAACCTGATGGTCAGGTGGAGATGGGAGAACCTTCCAGAAGGACAACCATCTCTGCAGCACTCCACCAATCAGGCCTTTATGGTAGAATGGCCAGACGGAAGCCACTCCTCAGTAAAATCCCTACGGTGAAGTATGGTGGTGGCAGCATCATGCTGTGGGTATGTTTTTCAGTGGCAGGGACTGGGAGACTAGTCAGGATTGAGATGAACGGAGCAAAGTACAGAGAGATCCTTGATGAAAACCTGCTCCAGGTTCACCTTCCAACAGGACAACGACCCTAAGTACACAGCCAAGACATTGCAGGAGTGGCTTCGGGACAAGTCTCTGAATGTCCTTGAATGGCCCAGCCAGAGCCCGGACTTGAACCCGAACGAACATCTCTGGAGAGACCTGAAAATAGCTGTGCAGCAACGCTCCCCATCCAACCTGACAGAGCTTGAGAGGACTGCAGAGAAGAATGGGAGAAACTCCCCAAATACAGTTGTGCCAAGCTTGTAGCGTCATACCCAAGAAGACTCGAGGCCGTAATCGCTGCCAAAGGTGCTTCAACAAAGTACTGAGTAAAGGTCTGAATACTTATGTAAATGTTATATTTCAGTGTCATATACATTTGCAAAAATTACTGAAAAACCTGTTTTTGCTTTGTCATTATGGGGTATTGTGTGTAGATTGATGAGGGAAAATAACAATTTAATCAATTTTAGAATAAGGCTGTAACGTAACAAAATGTGGAAAAGGTCAAGGGTTCTGAATACTTTCCGAATGCACTGTATCTAACCATCTGATGAAATAGAGGTTCTAGGCCCATTTAAGGGAAACAGCCTGATACTTACAGTTGAAGTCGGAAGTTTACATACACCTTAGCCAAATACATTTAAACTCAGTTTTTCACAATTCCTGACATTTAATCCTAGTAAAAATTCCCTGTCTTAGGTCAGTTGGGATCACCACTTTATTTTAAGAATGTGAAATGTCAGAATAATAGTAGAGAGAATGATTTATTTCAGCTTTTATTTATTTAATCACATTCCCAGTAGCATTGTCTTTAAATTGTTTAACTTGGGTCAAACGTAGCCTTCCACAAGCTTCCCACAATAAGTTGGGTGAATTTTGGCCCATTCCTTCTGACTGAGCTGGTGTAACTGAGTCAGGTTTGTAGGCCTCTTTGCTCGCACATGCTTTTTCAGTTCTGCCCACATATTTTCTATAGGATTGAGGTCAGGGCTTTGTGATGGCCACTCCAATACCTTGACTTTGTTGTACTTAAGCCATTTTGCCACAACTTTGGAAATATGCTTGGGGTCATTGTCCATTTGGAAGACCCATTTGCAACCAAGCTTTAACTTCCTGACTGATGTCTTGAGATGTTGCTTCAATATATGCACATAATTTTCCTTCCTCATGATGCCATCTATTTTGTGAAGTGCACCAGTCCCTCCTGCAGCAAAGCACCCCCACAGCATGATGCAGCCACACCCGTGCTTCACGTTTGGGATGGTGTTCTTCGGCTTGCAAGCCTACCCCTTTTTCCTCCAAACATAACGATGGTCATTATGGCCAAACAGTTCTATTTTTGTTTCATCAGACCATAGGACATTTCTCCAAAAAGTAAGATCTTTGTCCCCATGTGCAGTTGCAAACCGTACCGATACTTTTGTACCTGTTTCCTCCAGCATCTTCACAAGGTCCTTTGCTGTTGTTCTGGGATTGATTTGCACTTTTCGCACCAAAGTAGGTTAATCTCTAGGAGACAGAACGCGTCTCCTTCCTGAGCGGTATGACGGCTGCGTGGTCCCATGGTGTTTATACTTGCGTACTATTGTTTGTACAGATGAACGTGGTACCTTCAGGCATTTGGAAATTGCTCCCAAGGATGAACCAGACTTGTGGAGGTCTACAATTTTTTTCTGAGGTCTTGGCTGATTTCATTTGATTTTCCCATGATGTCAAGCAAAGAGGCACTGAGTTTGAAGGTAGGCCTTGAAATACATCCACAGGTACACCGCCAATTGACTCAAATGATGTCAATTAGCCTATCAGAAGCTTCTAAAGTCATGACATCATTTTCTGGAATTTTCCAAGCTGTTCAAAGGCACAGTCAACTTAGTGTATGTAAACTTCTGACCCACTGGAATTGTGAAACTGAATTATAAGTGAAATAATCTGTTTGTAAACATTTGTTGGAAAAAATACTTGTCATGCACAAAGTAGATGTCCTAACCGACTTGCCAAAACGATAGTTTGTTAACAAGAAATTTGTGGAGTGGTTGAAAAACTAGTTTTAATGACTCCAACCTAAGTGTATGTAAACTTCCGACTTCAACTGTATGTAAAAAAAAAAAAAATGTAAAGTTTGTTTACCACCTCAGAGAAGTAGTATAACTACTTCAAAATGGAAGCCTGTGCACTCACAGACACAATAATGGGACAGAAACAACGTTGCGATCACTATACAACTCTATGCTCTTTACTGAAAAAGACTAAAGGGTGCTTTTATACCTTTCACATGTTCAAAACCAATTAGTGTTCCCTGAGAAACATGGACCGAAAACTATGGTTCCACCCTGTCACACTTACTTCATTTGTTTATTTTTCAGTCATAGGATTTGAGGTTCCAGACAAATTTGTGGTGGGATACGCGCTAGACTACAACGAGTACTTTAGAGATTTAAATGTAAGTACTTTTTGAATAGATTTTCTCAGCTAGATAAAGGATGTTGAGTAAAACATCTAATTGTTTCCTCTGTTTGTTTTCCAGCACATCTGTGTCATTAGTGAAACGGGGAAAGAGAAATACAAGGCGTGAAGAGGACAGCCCTTCACTTCTAGTTGTCTATCATTCTTTTTTATGTTGCTTTCATTTTATATATCTGATTTATATATATTTCTGGTCAGGAATATCAAATCAAGAGTACAGCTCACTCAACTCACGCTCACACACATGTACATGTTCTGCTCAGGGTCCCTGAGGAGGTGTATACACACATTTGACATTGCCCCTCAGATTTGCAAAGCCCCTCTCTCTGCCTCCACATGCTGTGCTGCACACTAGAAACCACACACACCCACACCCACTTTAAAGTGTCAAGATTTTACATTTCTGAGGTGTGACATTGCCTTGGACATAATGGTATGTGTGTGAGTCCAAGTGCATGCTATCATCGCTTTCAATAAATATAACATTTGCTTGCCCTGTTATAAAGATCAATACTCAGAGTTTCTTTTTTTTGTAGAGGAGTAATTTATTGAGAGAAATTCTGCTACGGTAGCAGGAAGTAGAACAAACATTTTAGTCATCATATTGTCACAATTACTTCAGATGTAAATTATTTTCTATTTCACAAAGCTTGATTTTAGCTTGACATTGATTTGAAAGTTTGTATGTCACTTGAAGACTGAATTCCTTTGCTTATACATAATCGTTTCAGTGGTATGGACAAAGGAAGGAGCAGGTATCCTAATACATTACATATTATTTAAAAAAACTAATGTTTGCATAGTTTTCCCCCCAAATGCAAGTGTTCCATCAGTAGTACAGTACTGTAATATCAACTGCGAGTATTGAATAAGGTGGTTCAATATTATGATCATTTATGCATATCTGCTTATATTAAGAGATGTATTTTAAGCTTTAATCTACTGTATGACAATGATTCATGCAATCACAATGTTTTTCCTTTTACCCTCCCAACCATTAAACTCTGTCTCCCTCCCCTTGGATGACTCCTGATTTCCCCCAAAAGGTTTACTTGTGGTACCAAATAATTAAGTGTAACATGATCAATTATACCACTGTCATCCTGTCACCGCTGTCATAGAGGCGTTCTCCCCAACTTTGGCACTGGAGAGCAACTGGGTATATATGTCTTCTTCTGTGGAGTTGTGTCAGCAAAATCAAAACCTATAGGAGCAATATGTATGAGAAAAAGTCCCCAACTGTCATACTGGAGTCAAGAGACCTTCATAGAAAATGACTCAGTAAAATACTACTTGAGTAAAAGTCTAAAAGTATTTGGTTTTAAATATACTTAAGTATCAAAAGTAAAAGTATGAATCATTTCAAATTCCTTATATTAAGCAAACCAGGCCGCACATTTTTTTAATTTTTTTACGGATAGCCAGGGGCACACTCAGACGTCACTTACAAACGAAGCATTTGTGTTTAGTGAGTCCGCTAGATCAGAGGCAGTAGAGATGACCAGGGATGTTCTCTTGATAAGTGTGTGAATTGGGCCATTTTCTGTCCTGCTAAGCATTCAAAATTGAATGCGTACTTTTGGGTGTCAGAAAATGTATGGCTTAAAACGTAGATTATTTTCTTTAGGAATGTAGTGAAGTAAAAGTTATAAATAGTAAAGTACAGATACCCCCAAAACGACTGAAGTAGTACTTTAAATTGTTTTTACTTAAGTACTTTACACCACTGAATATGTCATCTAAACATATTTTCACACTGGCAATGAAAATGTTCTTATAAATAAATACAGACAGTTCCACAGTTGCATTTTAAGAAAACATGTAATAATGGGTAATTTGTATCATGGGTTAGTTAAAATGGGTAACTAATCATGGGTTAGTTATAATGTTGTTGATTTCTGTTGATACAGTATTGAGTAATGCAGTTGTTCATTATAGTGTGAAACACGAAGCAGGCTGTTTTAGTAGGCAGGCCTGACTACAGCAGAACAGTAACACTGGATACCAGAAGAAGCCTGTCACGGCCGTCTACGGAAGGAGTGGACCAAAGCGCAGCGTTTGTAGCGAACATGACTTTATTAAAGTTAAAGTGCACGAACGAGAAAACAATAAACAATGACGGATAGTGAAGTCCTCAGTACACAGACTGAAACATGGAACAAAAACCCACAACCCTAAGGTGAACACTGACAGTATAAATATGGCTCCCAATCAGAGATAACGAGCCGACAGCTGACACTCGTTACCTCCGATTGGGAGTCACATGACGAGACAAGACACTACAACCAAAACCAAACACAACCAAATAAACACACCCTATACCCAACACAACCAAATGAATACACCCTGGCTCAAACTACACAGTCCCGGAGCCAGAGCGTGACAGTACCCCCCCCTAAAGGCGCGGACTGCGACCGCGCCTCAATACGGGCTAAACAAGGGAGGGCTGGGCGGGCATACCTCCTCGGCGGTGGCTCTGGCTCCGGCCTTGATCCCCACCTCCTCTCCAACCCCCCAAAGTACCCCTGGTCCTGTCTAGCCCCGCTGGCCGGAGCCGGACTGACGACACGCGCCCCTGGCTTGGTGCGTGGAGGACGAACGGGCCTTACCAGGCTGACGACGCGCACCACTGCCTTGGCGCGGGGAGCAGGAATGGGCCGGACCGGGCTGACGAAGCGCACCCTTGACTTGGTGCGGAGAGCGGGACCGGGCCGGACAGGGCTGACGAAACGCACCACAGACTTGGTGCGGGGAGCAGGAACGGGCCGGACAGGGCTGACGACACGCACCACAGACCTGGTGCGGGGAGCAGGAACGGGCCGGACAGGGCCGACGAAACGCACCCTAGGCTTGATGCGTGGAGCCGGAACGGGCCTCCCCAGGCTGACGACTCGCATCCCTGGCTTGGTGCGAGTAGCAGGAGTGGGCTGGACCAGGCTGACGACTCGCACCCTTGGCTTGGTGCGAGTGGCAGGAACAGGCCGGACCAGGCTGGCGACGCGCACCGTAGGTTTGGTGCGAGTGGCAGGAACAGGCCGGGTCGGGCTGGCGACGCGCACCGTAGACTTGGTGCGGGTGGCAGGAACAGGCCGGACCGGGCTGGCGACGCGCACCGTAGGTTTGGTGCGAGTGGCAGGAACAGGCCGGGTCGGGCTGGCGACGCGCACCGTAGACTTGGTGCGGGTGGCAGGAACAGGCCGGACCGGGCTGGCGACGCGCACCGTAGGTTTGGTGCGGGTGGCAGGAACAGGCCGGGCTGGGCTGGCGACGCACACCGTAGGTTTAGTGCGTGGAGCAGGAACAGGCCGGGCTGGGCTGGCGACGCACACCGTAGGTTTAGTGCGTGGAGCAGGAACAGGCCGGGCTGGGCTGGCGACGCACACCGTAGGTCTGGTACGTGGATCAGGAACAGGCCGGGCTGGGCTGGCGACGCACACCGTAGGTCTGGTACGTGGAGCAGGAACAGGCCGGACAGGGCTGGCGACGCACACCGTAGGTCTGGTACGTGGATCAGGAACAGGCCGGGCTGGGCTGGCGACGCACACCGTAGGTCTGGTACGTGGAGCAGGAACAGGCCGGACAGGGCTGTCGACGCACACCGTAGGCTTTGTGCGTGGAGCAGGAACAGGCCGGGCTGGGCTGGCGACGCACACCGTGGACTTGGTGCGTGGAGTAGGAACAGGCCGGTCCATACTGGGAACACACACCACTGGCCTTAACCGGGGATCAGGAACGGGCCGGACCGGACTGGTAACACACCTCAGTCTCTCACGCCGTGCCTCCACTACTTCCCTCCCTCTACTCGCCAATGGCTCCCGTAATCCGGTAGCCTTCTCTCCACGTCTCCCTGTGGCAGCCTCCTGCTGCCCAGCCGCCCAAGCCATGTGCCCCCCCCAAAAAAACTTTTTGGGGTTGCCTCTCGTCCTTCCGACGATGGCCCTGCTGACGCCGTTGCTCCTCTCTCGCCAGGGCCTTGATCCTCCCCCAAGGTCCCTTGCCCCCGAGCATGTCCTCCCAGGACCACGATTTGCCCACCTGGGCCATCGCCAGCCTCTCGATCTCCTTACCCGGCACTTCCTCCCATGTCCAGTCTCCTTGCTCCTGGACACGCTGCTTGGTCCTTTTTTGGTGGGTTTTTCTGTCACGGCCGTCTACGGAAGGAGTGGACCAAAGCGCAGCGTTTGTAGCGAACATGACTTTATTAAAGTTAAAGTGCACGAACGAGAAAACAATGACGGATAGTGAAGTCCTCAGTACACAGACTGAAACATGGAACAAAAACCCACACCCTAAGGTGAACACTGACAGTATAAATATGGCTCCCAATCAGAGATAACGAGCCGACAGCTGACACTCGTTACCTCCGATTGGGAGTCACATGACGAGACAAGACACTACAACCAAAACCAAACACAACCAAATAAACACACCCTATACCCAACACAACCAAATGAATACACCCTGGCTCAAACTACACAGTCCCGGAGCCAGAGCGTGACAAAGCCCAACTCCAGTATTTACATGCTGCTACAGCCCAGCCAACAGTCAAGTCCTTTGCTGCCCTGGGAGGGTGTTGATCAAGTCTTCAATCATCAACATTGTGCTCTGTCCTGTACTGTAGTTCAAACAACTCAGCCAAGATACTATGCTCCAATACACTCAAGATAATTAATTATTCAGACCAGTAATGTAATTAATGCCACTTAACAGATGCTTTTATCCAGTCCCGTGTAGCTCAGTTGGTAGAGCATGGCGTTTGCAACGCCAGGGTTGTGGGTTCGATTCCCACAGGGGGCCAGTATGAAAATGTATGCACTCACTAAAACTGTAAGTCGCTCTGGATAAGAGTGTCTGCTAAATGACTAAAATGTAAATGTAATCCAAAGTGACTTACAGTAGAGCGTGCATGTATTTTCGTATGGGTGGCCCCAGCGGGAATCAAGTAAGAGCCAACCCTGACTGAGGGCCACTGAACCAGTGACTTCATCATTGTGAGACGAGATGATGGACGGTGTCACGGTGCTGTAGCAGCAGCTCCTCATGGTCTGCATCTTTACTATCACTACAAACCATGACGTGCTGCTACGACAGCTGGCTGAAATACGTGCTCACTGGTTCAAAGGCAACTTTAAAAAGATGAAGTGTACATAGTAAAATGTGTTGCATTAAATAGGAAGTTGGTTGGGATACCTTTGAGGATCAACTGTTATGGAAAGAGATTAATGTGATCTCCAGCCAGCTATTTCACAGGAGATTACTTTAACGTAGGTCCTACTAGGCAGTGAGTACTCAAAGAAGCAAAATAATGTTTAGTAGTATGTATTGAAAAGCCTGTAAGACTAGATATTTTTCATGCATAATAAACGTATACAATTCTGGTAAGAACAGTACATTTCTTGATATAAGTTAATGGTGGTAAAACATTGGCCCTAACAAAAACACGTTGGGTATAGATGGCTCCCCCGGATGGACACTAGAGCATCAGCAGAGGCCCAGACCCCTTTCCCTCTGTCTCCATAAGGGATGGTTAAAAAAGAAAATGTTTTCATTGATTGATCTAATAATATCATATCAGTGGCCATTTTGAGAAAGTAAGGAAGGCAAGTGCACATTATTAAAGTATTATTTCAAGTCCATTTGTCAAGGGCTCCTTACTTCCAGTACATGCATGTAAATGCCAAGCTCTACACCTCCAGGGCACATACAGGACTCCTTGACTTTTAATAGATTAGGGTGGGTTAGTGACTATTCCTGCTTTATAAAAAAAAAAGAACAGTTAGGCTACTCATGTATGACAATGTTAAAATGCAGTACATGAAGAGCAGGCCGATATTGTGTCAAACTTTAAAATAATTGTTTAGAAAATGTGTATAATCTGAAAATAATAGCTTTTTCAAATTTGAAATGAGCAGTGAATTGAGCATGAGCAACAACTGATGACGCGTAACAGAAGCCTAGAACATGACCTAGAACATCCTTTGCAACATGTCCATTCTTATCTCCCTTGTCTGTCAAAGGCAGTGGCGTGTCGCACTGTCATTCACTAATGCTGATTGATCATCACATAAAATGGTAATAATACTCTTGCTTTTTTAATTAATGTGGGTCTGTTTACTAGACTAAATTTGTATGGTTTAAAGCAGTTCAACATGTGTACAAAATAGCCTATTCATAAAAAGACCCATAATTTCAACAAAATTGTATTACATTTACATTTACATTTTAGTCATTTAGCAGACGCTCTTATCCAGAGCGACTTACATGAGTATTATTGTTATTATAGGCTACTATGTATAATATTGTTATGTAGGCTAATATATATGTTGTACTAATAGTCTATCAGCCTATTCAGAGAATGTTTCCCCATCTTTTGCAACAACAAAAAACTAACACATTTTGAAATGCAGTTATATTCATAATGTTGTTACAGGAACAGCATGCTCACTTTACGTGCATCGATGTAGCCAATTGTATCTTTTCAGCGAAGGTTTGTTATTCGCAACAAAGTAGCCTAACCTTTTGCGCGCTACATGTAATTAAACAATCCCGTGTTCATCATAAACCAATCGATGCACCGCCACTGATTTATGTAATGGTTGAAATCACGCATATTCAGCATAAACCTCTACCTTATTATAAAGTATGGGGCAATAAGTAAGACATTGCGCAAAATGGTGGAAGTCGTATATTACAAACTCGAAAAGTATAGTTTATTGTAATTAAACCTACGGATTTACTAAATTACTGAATGGGTTGAACAGATGTGAATACGAGAAAAATAGACGAAAAATAATCCCCCAAAATATCAAAATCTACCTCCAACCCAATCGAAAATGGCGCCGAAACGTGAAAAAAAAAGTCCTACATTTCATTGTATGATCTCCAGCAAGGCTGCAGTGACGGCTACATCAGCCCCCGTGGCGTAGTCGGTGGAGGAGAGTATTTCAGTCTGTCGTGGCACTCTATTTTTATTTTTTTTACGAAGAATAATGTTCATGATATCAAATAATTTTACTTTGCAGGAAAAATGTATAAGAGTCATGGAACGCTATATCAATTCCCTGAAATAAAAAAACTATTCTTTCATTATGAATGAAGTACAGACAAACATTAGAGCCACACCTACCTACAGAAACTATTTACTCCCCCTACCACCACCACCAGCCTTATGTAGGCCTAGTTTTCAACCATTAGAATTAGTGGATCAACAAAACAGCACTTTTATTCTCATACAAAAAATGTGTTTGCTTTCATCAATAAATGGTCAATAACAATGTATCAATTAATGTTGTGAGTTTTTAAATGAATGAGAGACGTTTCCTTGTTCTTCCCTGGATGATGTATTTTCTATATGACAAACATCTTACAAACAAACAGGTTTTCTGGCCGATGTCCCTTTCAGTCATTAGTCACTGCTGTGAGATAAACACAAATGAATGTAAACTATCTGTGGTATAAATGTTTTTCTTGATATGGAGTATGTGGATATTCAAGTACAAAACACTAAGCAGAGGTTTTTCCAATTCATGGAATTATATTTTGAACCATGAAAAATCTTCGTAAAGGACTACCCAAGTCTAGCCTACTCAGACTCCCTCAGACTTCAGCACTTTTGCCCATGTTGGTATCACCTGACCCTAATAATGGCCATATAGTCTGCTGGCCCAACAGCTAATGACCTCCTAGTCCCCATAAAAAAAAAAAAAAAGTGGTTGTCCCACTGGCTATCATATGTTGAATGCACCAATTTGTAAGTCGCTCTGGATAAGAGCGTCTGCTAAATGATGTAAATGTAAATGTAGTCTCCTGGCCTAACAGCTAATGGCCTCCTAGTCTCCTGGCCCAACAGCTTGTGTCTGTTATTAAAAAGAGAGACAAGACACATTGTCTGTTTCACTGCAAGACAGAGAGCCAAGCAAAGAGCTGTAGTGAACATGTGACCCTTGCGGAAGCATATTCCTGGGCTATGTGTGTCCCAAATAGTACCCTAACCCTATATGCTATAGTGCACTACTTTTGACCAGAGCCCAATGGGTAGTGCACTACATATGGAATAGGTGCCATTTGGGACGCAACATGGTCTGGTCTTGGTAGAGAGAGATGCAACTATGTGAAGCTGAGGGGTTTGGTAAAGGGGTCATGGATGGTGATGCCAAGAGGTTGAGAGCAGCGCCTATTCAAAATCAAATCAAATTGTATTTGTCATATGCGCCGAATACAACCTTGCAGAGTTTTTAAAAAGTAAGTGAGACAAATATGCTAAATAAACTAATGGAAAAAGAGTAAAACAATAAATGTGCTAAATAAACTAATGGGAAAATAGTAAAACTATAAACATAACAATAACGAGGCTATATACAGGGGATACAGGTACCGAGTCAATGTGCAGGGTTACACGGTAGTCGAAGTAATTGAGGTAATATGTTCATGTAGGTAGGGGTATGACTATGCATAGATAATAAACAAAGAGTAGCAGCAGCTTATGTGAAGAGTGTGAAGGAATGTGAATGTGTGTGTGTGTGGCGTCAATATGCATGTGTGTGTGTGTGTGTCCATGTGTGTGTCCATGTGTGAGTGTGTGGTTAGGGTCCAGTGAGTGTACATCAAGCCAGTGCAAGAGAGTCAGTGCAAAAAAATAATTAAAAATAATAAAAATAAAATAAGGGGGTCAATGCAAATAGTCCAGGTAGCCATTTGATTAACTGTTCAGCAGTCTTATGGCTTGGGGGTAGAAGCTGTTAAGGAGCCTTTTGGTCCCAGACATGGCGCTCCGGGACCGCTTGCCACGCGGTAGCAAAGAGAACAGTCTATGACTTTGGTGGCTGGAGTTTTTGAAAAAAATATAGGGCCTTCCTCTGACACCGCCTTGTATAGAGGTCCTAGATGGCAAGGAGCTCGGACCCAGTGATGTACTGGGCTGTACACACTACCCTCTGTAGCCCATTGCGGTCGGATGCAGAGCAGTTGCCATACCAAGCGGTGATGCAACCAGTCAGGATGCTCTCGATGGTGCAGCTCACAGGCGGCTGGTGGCACCTTAATTGGGGAGGACGGGCTCATAGTAATTTCTGGAACGGAATAGATGGAATGGTATCAAACACATCAAACATATGGTTTCCATGTGTTTGATACCATTCCATTTACTCCATTCCAGCCATTATTATGAGCCGTCCTCCCCTCAGCAGCCTCCTGGGGTGTAGCTGTATAACTTTTTGAGGATCTGAGGGCCCATGCCAAATCTTTTCAGCTTCCTGAGAGGGAAGGGGCGTTGTGTTTGGACCATGGTAGGTCCTTAGTGATGTGGACACCAAGGAACTCGAAGCTCTTGACCTTCTCCACTACAGCCCCGTCGATGTGAATGGGGGCGTGCTCGGCCCACCTTTTCCTGTAGTCCACGATCAGCTCCTTTGTCTTGCTCACGTTGAGGGAGAGGTTGTTGTCCTGGCACCACACTGCCAGGTCTCTGACTATAGGCTGTCTCATCGTCGTCGGTGATCAGGCCTACCACCGCCGTGTCGTCGGCAAACTTAATGATGGTGTTGTAGTCGTGCATGGCCACGCAGTCGTGGGTGAAACAGGGAGTACAGGAGGGGACTAATCACACACCCGAGGGGCCCCCGTGTTGAGGATCAGCGTTTTTTTGTGTACGGGTGGTCCCGGGGATCGAACCCACTACCTTGGCGTTAAAAGCGCCGTGCTCTACCAGCTGAGCTACAGAGGACCACCTAGGGGCAGCCCATCAGGAAGTCCAGGATCCAGTTGCAGAGGGAGTTGTTCAGAAGGTTATTACATACTACTAGAGCCACACACACACACACACACATACACACGCACACACACACAAGTCTATTTCAGTTTATTTTATTTTATTGTCCAGCAGTTTAAAAATGATTTCACAGAATAGGATTTCGGGGTGCATTATGTTCCATAAAGGTTGTTATAGTGATTTTTCATTTCACAAGTAGTAGTTATTACATATTTTTAGAATGGAATTGATTGATGAACATTTATGTTAAATTTGATCCACTGTATGTTTATTACACAGTATATGCCTAAGCCTACTCTTCCAGAAGACATTTACATTACATTTTAGTCATTTAGCAGACGCTCTTATCCAGAGCGACTTACAGTTAGTGAGTGCATACATTATTTTATTTTTATATTTTCATACTGGCCCCCCATGGGAATCAAACCCACAACCCTGGCGTTGCAAACGCCATGCTCTACCAACTGAGCTACATCCCTACTAGCTACAAGACTATGCAGTAAGGCCATGGCTGCCCTCCTATCGTCAACAATATGTAACAAACAAACGTTTGAAGTTGACATGTTGCACACATTACATATATCAAGTGTCTGGAGGTGACCCGTCATATAACAACTGATCAAAACTGTAAATTCAGATAAGTAGAAAATTGGGCTGTAGGACTGTATGACGTCTCCAGGAAATAGCTCACAATCGCTGCAGCCATTGGTCAATTGTCTGCCTTTCAAACGAGCACATTGAGGAGTTTTTATTGGATCCGTCTGCTGTCGGTCAGCCTGAAAGCATCAAAAGGGGCGGGAAGTTTGGTACTGGTGTAGCTTTCTCGGCGGTTCCAGTAGCAGATTGATTAACAAAATTGGTCACGGGCTATTACAGGGGCTAGCGACACTTCTTAATTTTTTTTAAGAGTATTGTGAAGAAGGGAGATGCTCGATATATGGCTGAGGGAGAACTATACAAGTTATGTAGGGTGATGAACCTCTGAACATGGTAAGGTAATTTTCAAACTAGCATAGCTTCATCATCACATCACCATTTGATTTAGCTAACGACGTTACCGTTAACTAACGTTAGCCAGTTGGCTTGATATCCCATTATCTTCGAGCTAACTCACGTTAAATAGTTTATGCCGTTCTAATACAAGCTAACGAGACATTAATACAAATACGAAGTTCTGTTGGATTGTATTGTTTCAATTGTCGACATGGATTAATTTGGCTAATGTTAACCTGTCTTGTTAAACAGTTGGCTACATATCACTTGTTTGCTCGAGACTAGCTAACTGGGAAAAATACTATTTTCACGCACTTCGGTCCCGAAATGCAGATTAGGAGACTGAGGTTACGGTTAGCTAGCGAAAATGCTCTAATTTACTACGAAAATGACTTTGTATCTTAGTGCCGTGAAGAGGGTTTCCCAAACTCTGTTAATTGGGGGGGGGGGGGGGGGGGGTACACGTTTTGGTTTTTGCCCTAGCACTACACAGCTGATTCAAATAATCCAAGTTTGATGAGTTGGTTATTTGGAATCCGCTGTGTGGTGCTAGGGCAAAAACCAAAACGTGCACCCAGGGAGGAGCCAAGGACCCAGTTTGGGAAACCATGCCCTAGCTAACGTTAACTCACTAGGTAGTTTAATTAGCATGTACCATAGCTAGCTAACAACTGGGTATTGTCTGTAAATAGCTAGGCTAACTAGCACAGTCCAGGTCTCTGGGTGAGCTGTGATTCGCTTGCTAGCTAGCAGCAAACACACTAGAAGTCGCCTTAGACAAAGATAACCGGAAAAATCTTCACGTGCGTCACTTGCTGGAATTTAAACCAATATAAAATTGCACGAGCCTAAACAAATATGAAAATTGTTGCAGGTTAACTCCACATGTGGGCTATCTTGAGGGAACGTAACTAGCTCTATACATGTCGGTATTTTTCAGATCCATCAATCAGCATTGGTGTAGTTGCCTACATAGAACGTTGATTTGCATCATCATGTAGCTTCGCATGGGTGGCCTGGAACTTTGCAGGCGTTTCTGAAGACATCTCGAATCAGCTAAACGAGAAGACACCAGGATGACCAATCAAGAGAAGATGGAATTGGACATCGAAATCCCATCTTCACTAGTTCAGAGTGAAGGACAACTGAGACGTTCCAACAGCGCCCCAATGATAAATGGCTTAAGGTTTTTAGAAAAAGTCTTTATTCTCACTTGTATCACTCTGCACCTCGCATACGTTCTGACTTGAGATCTAGTCATTCAAACTGCATGGCTGTTGCAACTACCTTCTCTGCTGTGAGGAGTGTGGACAATTCAGTCATGCAACAGCAAACCAGCAGAGTTAACAGGGCCACCAGTCTCTCGAGATCAGGCTGCGTCGGTAGTATAATACTCTGACACCCAGAGCATTGTAGTCAAAGTGTGTCCCAAATGGCATCCTATTCCCTATATAGTGCACTTATTTTGACCAGAGCCCTATGGCACCCTATTCCTTACATTGCACTACTTTGGTCAAAAGTAGTGCACTATATAGGGTGCCATTTGGGACACCAAAGTGGTGGTGTTAATTTGTCTGTCCTTTTCTAGTGACAATTCCCTGGTGTTCCAGAGCGAGTTTCTATGCAGCAGGAGAAACAGCACCGCTGTTGGCAACCGCCCTAATATAGTATGGAAATGAAGAGTATAATCAAAATAATATGCATTGTACTCTTACTAAGTAGTATCTTATAGACTGGGTGATTAATTGAAGTCCATCTCTTTCTCTCTCACACACACGCAGGTCCCTTCATCGCCCATTCGCGTCCCCAGCACGAGGCTTCATCAGCTCAAACAGGTAAGTACGACTGCAGCGCACACTCGTTAGCCCAAGCTATTATTTTAGCTGCTCGGCATGTCAGACCCTTATCCATAGGGAGTGTCTGTGACTGCGAAACCTGTCAAACTAATTTCCCCCCGCAAGGCCGCATTCAGTCTTCACCAAGGTCCGGAGGGCCGCACTTAAAATGTGCGAAAAATTGACCTCTAACCATCTAGTTTTTGTTTTAATTACTGTTAGCAAGCTGGACAGAGAAGAGACTATATAACTGACTGCTGGACAGAGAAGAGACTATAAATGCAGGTCCATTATCATTTCTATAGTTTAGATTTGGTTTTAGTAATTTCAATGTCTAAATGGCACCTTATTCCCGATATAGTGCACTATTTCAGAGCTCACGGTCTCAGCGCAGTCTGATTTTGTAATAGTCTCCAACTCTTGACTAGACTAAGACACCATAATATCAGACTCACCAACATCATGTCTATGCTTCCTACAGGAGGAAGGTGTGGATGTGATGAACAGAGAAACTGCCCATGAACGGTAAGACTCATGCATTGAGGCCAGCTAGTGGGTGATGAAATTCAGTTTATTGGCCTTCAAGACGTTAAGGCATTTATTTATGAACCACTCTCTCTGTCATATGATATTGTATACTTTGTCAATAACTGTGATTGTCATTGGCTCGACCCTTTCAGGAAAAAAGCTTGTGGTTTGTTTAGATGTATTTCTTGTCCACCACAGGGAGGTTCAAGCAGCCATGCAGATTAGCCAGTCCTGGGAGGAGAGTCTGAGCCTGGTGAGGAATGATGACGCTCCCATGGTAACAAGGAGAGTTCCTCTCCCACAAACAGTAGGCCTACGCGCTCCACCATTTGAGGCTCTCACCACTTCAGCATTCATGTAATTGGGCAGTGCATTAGCATGTAAGATTACTTTGGCTTCATCCCAAATGGCACCCTATTGCCTACATAGTTCACTGCTTTTGACCAGAACCCTGTGGGCCCTGGTCAAAACTAAAGTAGTGCACTAAATGAAGAAGAGTGCCATTTGTGACGCAGACTTTCAGTTTGTGCATTTGGTTTGATGGGCTACCTCCCCATTGTGGCCATGGCCAGTGAGAGCTCCTCTCTTTTGTAGGGGGTGTGGCCCAATAACATGCTAGAGCCAACATTCTCTGAAGAACAGAATCAGTTGGTAGTATAGTACTCATCCAACCACCCTATAGTAGAATGAATGGTGTTACGTTTATGCTGATTACAATTTTGCTTGTGCTACCCCAACCCCACAGAGCGACAATGACTTTGAGAAATCTGCATCATCGTCTCCAAAGCGGATCGACTTTGTGCCCGTGTCCCCAGCTCCATCCCCTACTAGAGGGATAGGGAAGAAGGTATATATTGTGCATCCACTGCAACTCTTTTACTGATGCCTGGTAGATGGAACCAGAACTGTATCTCTGGCAGAGAGTCCTGGCTAATCATATTTTCCTCTCCAATGAGCAGCAGTGCTTCTCCCCTTCATTGCAAATCCTGGTGAGCAGCAACGGCCTATCCCCCAGCCCTATACCTAGCCCAACTCGACGCTTCGGGTGAGTGCACTGACTAGGGCTAGCTCTGATCACTGACAACTCCCATTCATAGTCATACACCACATTGCCATTACACTATTGATCAGGTTGATTAGTGAGTCACCTATAAATGTAACCTCACGTTGTCTGTCGTCTCTAGCCGGCGGAGCCAAAGCCCCATTAACTGCATCAGGCCCAGCATCCTGGGATCCATCAAACGTAAAGGTGGGTCAACCCTTATGTATTCTTTCACAGGTCAAAAGGCTTTGTTAATGCCACATGCGTACACAGCGTGTACAACACATTAACAACACCTGACACATTAAGAACACCTGCTCCTGTTCTAGATCAGCTTTAATATTGCATATTGTGGCTTCTAGCAATGAAATTGTCTGCATCATTTCCAATCCACCATATATATTTATGTAAATATATTTATTTTAAATATATTTCCCCCTAACCCTACCACCCCTCTAATTGGAGTAAACTAATGGACAACAATACTTCGGCTCCTACTTCCAGCTTATACAGAACACCTGCTCTTTCCGTGGCATAGACTGACCAGGTGAAAGCTATGATCCCTTATTGGTGTACTTGTTAAATCCACTTCAATCAGAGTAGATGAAGGGGAGGAGGCAGTTCTAAAGAAGGATTTTAAAGTCTTGAGACATGATTTGTGTATGTGTGCAATTCAGAGGGTGAATGGGCAAGAAAATATTAACAGTAAGTGCCTTTGAATGGGGTATGGTATTAGGTGCCAGGTGCACTGGTTTGTGTCAAGAACTGCAACGCTGCTGGGTTTTTTATGCTCAACATTTTCCCATGTGTATCAAGAATAATCCACCACCCAGCCAACTTGACACAACTGTGGGAAGCATTGGAGTCAGCATGGGCCAGCATCCCTGTGGAACGCTTTCGACACCTTTTTAGAGTCCATGCCCTGACGAATTGGGGCTGTTTTGAGGTCAAAGGGGAGGGTGCGCAACTCCGTATTAGGAAGGTGTTCTTAATGTTTTGTATACTTGTTGTGTCCCTCATGCATGCATAGAGTGAATTCGGACAGTATTCAGACCCCTTCCCCTTTTCCACCTTTTTGTTACGTTACAGCTTTATTCTAAAATTAAATAAAATTTTTCCCTCAATCTACACGCAATACCCCATAATGATAAAAACAGAAATACCTAATTTACATAAGTACTCAGACCACTTGCTATGATACTCGAAATTGAGCTCAGGTGCATCCTGTTTCCATTGATTGTCCTTGAGACGTTTCTACAACTTCATTGGAGTCCACCTGTGGTAAATTCAATTGATTGGACATGACTTGGAAAGGCACATACCTGTCTATATAAGGTCCCACAGTTGACAGTGCATGTCAGAGCAAAAACCAAGCCATGAGGTTAAGGGAATTGTCCGTAGAGCTCCAAGACAGGATTGTGTTGAGGCACAGATCTGGGGAAGGGTACCATAAAATGTCTGCAGCATTGAATGTCTCCAAGAACACAATGGCTTCCATCATTCTTAAATGGAAGAAGTTTGGAGCCACCAACTTTTCCTAGAGCTGGCCGCCTGGCCAAACTGAGACTCAGACCATGACTAACAAGATTCTCTGGTCTAATAAAACCAAGATTGAACTCTTTGGCCTGAATGCCAAGCATCATCTGGAGGAAACCTTGCACCATCCCTACGGTGAAGCATGGTGGCAGCAGCATGTTGTGGGGATTTTTTTCAGCGGCATGGATTGGGAGACTGCTCCGTTCATCTTTCCCTTGATCCTGACTAAAGTACAGAGATCCTTGATGAAAACCTGCTCCAGAGCGCTCAGGACCTCAGACTGGGAGCGAAGGTTCACCTTCCAACAGAACAGTGACCCTAAGCACACAGCCAAGACAACGCAGGAGTGGCTTTGGGACAAGTGTCTGAATGTCCTTGCGTGGCCCAGCCAGATCCCGGACTTGAACCCAATCGAACATCTCTGGCGAGACCTGAAAATAGCTGTGCAGCGACGCTCCCCATCCAACCTGACAGAGCTTGAGAGGATCTGCAGAGAAGAATGGGAGAATCTCCCCAAATACAGGTGTGCCAAGCTTGTAGCGTCATACCCAAGAAGACTCGAGGCTGTAATCGCTGCCAAAGGTGCTTCAACAAAGTACTGAATAAAGGTCTGAATACTTATGTAAATGAGATTGAGATATATATCTCAATCACACACACTACCGTTGAAAGTTTGGGGTCACTTAGAAATGTCCTTGTTTTCAAAAGAAAAGCAATTTTTTGGTCCATTTAAAATAACATCAAATTGATCAGAAATACAGTGTAGACATTATTAATGTTGTAAATGGCTATTGTTTTTTTTAAAATGGAATATCTACATAGGCGTACAGAGGCCCATTATCAGCAACCATCAGTCCTGTGTTCCAATGGCACGTTGTTTGCTAATCCAAGTTTCTCATTTTAAAAGGCTAATTGATCATTAGAAAACCCTTTTGCAATTATGTTAGCACAGCTGGAAACTGTTGTGCTGATTTTAAAGAAGCAATAAAACTGGTGTTTCTTGAGACTAGTTGAGTATCTGGAGCATCAGCAATTGTGGGTTCGATTACAGGCTAAAAATGGCCAGAAACAAAGAACTTACTTCTGAAACTCATCAGTCTATTCTTGTTCTGAGAAATGAAGGCTATTCCATGCGAGAAATAGCCAAGAAACTGAAGATCTTGTACAACGCTGTGTACTACTCTCGTCACAGAACAGCGCAAACTGAGAGAATGCCAAGAGTGTGCAAAGCTGTCATCAAGGCAAAGGGTGGCTATTTGAAGAATCTCAACTATTAAATATATTTTGATTTGTTGAACCCTTTTTTTTTTTTTTTTTTTTTTTTTGGTTACTACATGATTCCATGTTTCATAGTTTTGATGTCTTCACTATTGTACAATGTAAAAATAAAAACCCTTGAATGAGGTGTTAAAACTTTTTACTGGTAGCGTATGTGTGTGCATATTATGTTTTTGCTTTGTCATTATGGGGTATTGTATGTAGATTGGGGGGGGAACAATTTAATCCATTTTAGAATACGGCTAACTTAACAATGTGGAAAAAGTCAAGGGGTCTGAATTTTTTCCGAATGCACTGTACATAAATGCATCAGCCCCTTTAACTGTTGGAAGTTTGGAGCTTAAGGTGAAAGAGGGCATTTTGTGAGTTGGTGTTTTATGTCCTATGGATGTTGGTTCTCTATTGATGACCTGTCTGCCTTGTCTTCTGTAGGGGAGATGATGGAGACGGAGAGCCAGCCAAAGAGGCTCTTCCAGGGGACCACTACCATTCTGTCCTCTGACGTGCTCGTGCCCCAAGTCCAACTGCCAGACTTCACCTCCTGGTGAGTGTTCCTCAGACTTGATCAAAGCTACCACTGCATGTTTAGCATTGTCTGCCAATGGTCTCTTGCCAAGACTACTTGTTTCACAAGTTGAACATTTTCAGTTCCCTCTCTGCCACTAGGCTAAACCTTGCACCTCCATAAAATGAGCAGAATCCCAATGCGACCCACTGTCATTGAATATCTAACAGTTTGCTTGCTGAAATGGGTCTTCTCCTCTCACCAGTCTCTCTCCGCTGGACGGCAGCCTCAGCAGTGTGGGTTCTTCCACTGGCTCGCCATCCAAGATGGAGGGAATTTCTGAGTCTCCTTCCTCCAGCAACTCTCCCTTCAACCCCCTCCAGGACCACTCCCCAAAATGAACAAGGGAACGTGAGACTAAACAAGAGTGAAGGCACAAAATCCACCAACTGTATGACCCCCCCCCCCCCCCCCCCATCCCATCACTTTGCTTTTGTTAATGTGGGAATCCCTTCCCGTGCTGTTTGCTTTCGCTACGCTGTTTGCTAGGGGAGGAGAGTCTAGGTGTGTTTGCATTGAAAGGAAACCAAAGCCCTGGATGTGAGCTGTGGACACACCATGCTGTAGTAGACTAGTGAGATGCTAAGAGAACAGCAGCTAGATATGGATCCTTTACATGGTGCTGCTTAGCCCCACAGTGATCAGAACAGCCACGTTGTCTACCCTGCATCACATCACTGTCAGCTTCCAGCCCCATCCCCTACATCCCTTCCAGCAACACACTGGGGGGACTGAGCACTGGATGGAGAATGACTGCTGAGATGTGGAGAAAGATGCTCACTAAGTCAGTTTTCCTGTTTTTCTTTTTGAAAACACATTCTCCAAGCATTTTTGGTGTATGTGCACAAAATTGTCTGCAGGTCTTGTATGAATGAAAGGATTTAACTTATTGTTTTTCCCGCTTAGTTTTGTAAGTATGTACATTTTTCATGTCAATGTATCATTATTAGTTTTATAGGTTTGTGATTGGCTGAGAGATGAAGGCGGACACAGGGCTTCAACAGCGAACTGACAATTCTCTCAAGGGAGTGGAGTGGAAATGCTATGATCTTACTACTCTTCCAGGGGTGTGAATATGGCGATCTACTAATAATATGGTGGCTATCTACTTGTACTGAAAGAGGAATAGTTTTCAGTATATATCCTCAGTAGTAACCTAGATGTGGGGTATCGTTCTGGTTAATTTTCTGCTTTTGGATTGTATGTCCCCCCTCTGGCATGATGTAACTATATATAGTTGCCAGTGGGTTGGGTCATGGCCACCCATCATCCCTTCAGATTTCACTAGGAAGGGAACAGGGTAAGGGGGGGGGGGGGGGCACTGTCAGGATTGGAACACTACAGACTGGGATCTCTGAATACTGTGTCTGCCTGGATATTTCTGTAGACATGCAGGATGTGCAACCAAATTAGTTTTGACTTCTTTAGCTTTTAGGAGAAAATATTTGTTTTCATGTTTTGAAGCCACTTTATGTAAATTAAATGGAGTTTTTTTTTCTTTCTAGCTCACCCTATTCTCCCTGTATACTCTGCTTTAGGATGAGCACAATGCGGTAGTGGACAGAACAACATGGTGCCATTCAGTGAGTGGTGTTATGTTCGTCTACTGTGGTCAACATTTGGCATAAAATATTTTAGTGCAAATTGTCACTGGATTGGTTGGTTATGAATAACATTGGCAATGAACATTTCATAAGTAATACCAAAGATTCAGGGAACTGTAAAGGCAAACTTCAGTTTTACACTGACAAATGCATTTTAAGGCCACTGTAAAACATTTGGCTAAGTAATTTCAGTTCAACTTGTTAAAATGATCTCTTAAATTGATGTTTTAAATTGATGTTTTCCCCTCGTACAGTGTATGGCGTCTTACAAAGGGAGTGGGAGACTCGTGCAAGAGTGATTGTAATCCTTGATATATTTTTAAATGGTAAATGAAACTGTGTTAGAAATACTGAATGTATTTTTCTTTAAGAAAAAGTGCAAGCTGGTCGATCAGGTGTGCTTGCACTGCTGTCAACATAATTGGTGTGTTGTGATTAGTTTGTCAAATGTTTTTATCCTGTACATTTGAATTAGTCTGGGGCACGAGATGGGCAAAGTAAATGAAGTGTATATGTACGTGATGGGAGGATTGTAGACTTAGACCGCTTGCCAAAGCCTTTTCATTTCAACAGGAGGGTAAATAAATAGTCTATTTCCATTCAATGACTGATGTTCTAGTTTTGTGTTGGCAATGTTTCACATCTTTTGTTTTTTTGGCCTCTTCATAATGCTTTGAATTTACAATTTGTCAGAACAGTGAAGTTTTTATTGAACCTTTTAACAGGGAGTCAAGCAGAGAAGTCTATTTTGCAGATGAGCCTTGTGGAATGATGCAAATATTGATGTGTACACAATCATAGAAAAACATTATTCAGTAAAAAGGTCCTCAGACTTGAGTTGCCCGAGCACAGGGTTCCCCAGCCGAATTTGGCCCACAAGTGGTTTTATTTGGTCCCCCAAGTTGAGGGGGAAAAAGTGTTAGTTTAGACAGACTAAACACCCGGAAATCAGCTCCATGTGATTAAGTGAAATCTGTTCCCAAGTATTCCCATGCATAATGGAGATAAACTTGATTGTATACAAATGTACGCAAGGTTTGAAATGATTGTTTTAGTCAAACATCTGTTTGGGCTTCTTGTGGTCAATTTGCCAACTACAAATAATTTGTAATTATGTTCCGGTCCCCCCCGACCATCCGCTCAAGAAAATAAATCTGTCCGCGGCTGAATCAAGTTGATGATCCCTATCCTAGAGGCACCAATTCATCAATTTTTTTTGCCTTGGAGATTATTCCACAAGTAAGGTGCAAAAAAACTAAAAGCTGATTTAAAACTCCGGGGTGGCTCTCGTATGTCTGCAAGTTAACAATGAAGCAGGTACGTCAAAGTCTATGTAGGAGGGAGTTGTTGCTGCCCATTTTCCCAAGCTTCCAGTCACTTGTGGACCCCTCATCACTGGCTCACAAGTGCTGAGTAGGTGAACTGATCAAACTAGGATAAAGAGATCGGCTGACTACTGATCTTGTGCTGATTCAAGACTTTATTAGGCATTTGATGGAACATTGACATTGTACAGCAAGTAAACCGATGTCTTTCATAAGATGACATTTCCTTTGGTCACATTTTAAACCTTTTTGTATTGTATATTGTGGCTGGAAAAGTAACACTTCCATTCAGATAAGTATCCACACATGCATGTAACTGCATTTAGTCAGCGATTCAGTCAATACAAGCTACAAAAGAGTACATTGTTTTATTCTAAGTGGACAACAATAATATTAAGATGTGGTTACAGGTGAAGACCATAACAAAAGCTTTTCAATTACTTAAAGCTGCAATATGTAACTTTTGGGTGACCTGACCAAATTCACAAATGTGAGTTATAGCTCTGTCACTCATTGAAATGAAGTGGTAGATCTGTTCTGTGTGCTATTTCTATGCTTCCCATTCTTAAGTTTAGTTTGAGTCTTAATTTAGGTTTTGTATACCAGCTTCAAACAGCTGAAAATATATTTCACAGCGGTTTCGATGGAACAATGATTCTCTACACATTGCTTTTGTCAAAAACAAATTAGGCGAACTATTCAGATTTTTGCAACCAGGAAATGGCGGAGCGATTTCTGCATATTGCACCTTTAATATGTACAGTGGGGAAAACAAGTATTTGATACACTGCAGATTTTGCAGGTTTTCCTACTTAAAGCATGTAGAGGTCTGTAATTTTTATCATAGGTACACTTCAACTGTGAGAGACGGAATCTAAAACAAAAATCCAGAAAATCACATTGTATGATTTTTAAGTAATTCATTTGCATTTTATTGCATGACATTAGCATTTGATACATCAGAAAAGCAGAACTTAATATTTGGTACAGAAACCTTTGTTTGCAATTACAGAGATCATACGTTTCCTGTAGGTCTTGACCAGGTTTGCACACACTGCAGCAGGGATTTTGGCCCACTCCTCCATACAGACCTTCTCCAGATCCTTCAGGTTTCGGGGCTGTTGCTGGGCAATACGGACTTTCAGCTCCCTCAAAATATTTTCTATTGGGTTCAGGTCTGGAGACTGGCTAGGCCACTCCAGGACCTTGAGATGCTTCTTACGGAGCCACTCCTTAGTTGCCCTGGCTGTGTGTTTCGGGTCGTTGTCATGCTGGAAGACCCAGCCATGACCCATCTTCAATGCTCTTACTGAGGGAATGAGGTTGTTGGCCAAGATCTCACGATACATGGCCCCATCCATCCTCCCCTCAATACGGTGCAGTAGTCCTGTCTCCTTTGCAGAAAAGCATCCCCAAAGAATGATGTTTCCACCTCCATGCTTTACGGTTGGGATGGTGTTCTTGGGGTTATACTCATCCTTCTTCTTCCTCCAAACACGGCGAGTGGAGTTTAGACCAAAAAGCTCTATTTTTGTCTCATCAGACCACATGACCTTCTCCCATTCCTCCTCTGGATCATCCAGATGGTCATTGGCAAACTTCAGACGGGCCTGGACATGCACTGGCTTGAGCAGGGGGACCTTGCGTGCGCTGCAGGATTTTAATCCATGACGGCGTAGTGTGTTACTAATGGTTTTCTTTGAGACTGTGGTCCCAGCTCTCTTCAGGTCATTGACCAGGTCCTGCCGTGTAGTTCTGGGCTGATCCCTCACCTTCCTCATGATCATTGATGCCCCACGAGGTGAGATCTTGCATGGAGCCCCAGACCGAGGGTGATTGACCGTCATCTTGAACTTCCATTTTCTAATAATTGCGCCAACACTTGTTGCCTTCTCACCAAGCTGCTTGCCTATTGTCCTGTAGCCCATCCCAGCCTTGTGCAGGTCTACAATTTTATCCCTGATGTCTTTACACAGCTCTCTGGTCTTGGCCATTGTGGAGAGGTTGGAGTCTGTTTGATTGAGTGTGTGGACAGGTGTCTTTTATACAGGTAACGAGTTCAAACAGGTGCAGTTAATACAGGTAATGAGTGGAGAACAGAAGGGCTTCTTAAAGAAAAACTAACAGGTCTGTGAGAGCCGGAATTCTTACTGGTTGGTAGGTGATCAAATACTTATGTCATGCAATAAAATGCAAATTAATTACTTAAAAATCATACAATGTGATTTTCTGGATTTTTGTTTTAGATTCCGTCTCTCACAGTTGAAGTGTACCTATGATAAAAATTACAGACCTCTACATGCTTTGTAAGTAGGAACACCTGCAAAATCGGCAGTGTATCAAATACTTGTTCTCCCCACTGTACATGAAATCACATTTAACTTCAAGTTGCCCTAATGTGTAACAGCAAATCGCCAACTTTCAACTCAACTTTACCATTGTCTGTTACATAATGGCCATGGAACTCCACACAGACAGACGCGGGATATGAAGTCAAACACTTAATTTAATGACCCCCATGTTTTTATACAAACCCTTCCTCCCATGGCAGCAGACCCACACAATGCCCTCCTCCAGAATGTTATTTATGTGCCCATTGCATCAGAGGTCTCTTGCATTGTATCAGGTCAGTATTATGTTTTTATTTCAAAACAATTAAATGTATGTTTTTGGGGCAGAGGGAGGGGGAATTGACCAGATACCCCATCCCCCACCCCCTAAACACTACCCTTTCAAGCATGTAGTTGCCTTGGGTGACAATGTTCTCTTCTCTTCTGTATCTTCTCCACATTCTCTTACCAGCCCCCATAGCACTTCATGTACGCAGGATAACCATTGTAAGAAGACCTGTAACACAGGCAAACTGAATCAATTCCCAGCAGGAGTATGCTCCAGCAGTATCGCACATGGAATGGATAGAACAAGAGTAATCGAAGCAAACCCAGTAGTCTAGTTTAGAGTGTACTACTTTTGACCAGGGCCTATCGGCCTCTGGTCAAATGTAGTGCACTATATAGGGAATAGGGTGCCATTTGGGACGCTGATCACAACAACATGTGGATCCCATGAAGTATTATCAATTCATATCCATTGAAATTGGTGATAAAATGAAACACTGCGAGCATGCAATTGTTCATCAAGGGTTTGCTCTTTCCCCTTGGCTCACCTAGAACGTAAGCAGCTACAAGTTTCTTGGTAACACTTAAGTGGAGGTAGACAGGCACGGTGGATTCTTGCTCCCCCAGGGTTGGCAGCATGAGGGCAGCCATACACACCAGCCCCAACAGCACCGTCAGCAGGCTGGGCCCCCCAGACTGAGAGCGGCTCTCTGTACAACACACACACACACCATAACAATCCACTGCTCTCACTTGATCACTCCTCACTTGTATTGGTGTCTGGCGCCATCTAGTGTCAGGACAATATAATGGCATGTGGTGCTTCCACCATTTCAGTTACTTCACCTAAACAACAAATGTAGCCTACATAATGTTGGCTAATATATTTTGGGTCTCAGCATACATAACGTATTTAACAGGTATCGATAGCTAAGTTTGGGCGAGATATCCCTTTTCAGCGGCCACTCATACTCCTACCTGTCTGGAAGGTGGTCTGCTCAAAGAACACGCTGTCGGCCAGCTGTTCCTTCATCTGTCGATCCTCCTCCTGGGGCCGGGGGCTGGGGGGCTCCTGGGCAGCCGAGGGCCTCAGAGTGGCCGTCACCTCCTTTCTGCCCAGGGCCTTCCTCTGGCTCTGCTCAGACACCTGCAGCCGGAACTTATCAGACACCCCATAGTGACAGGCCCGCACATCTTTGTGTCGAATCACTCTGAGAACACAGACAGGAAAACACAAGGGAAAGATACAAATATTTGAATGGAATGACTGCATTTACAAAGCAGAAGCTTGCTTCCGATGAAATCATTCTCTATTAATATTGCTTGGTATTTCATAATTTGCACTCATGAATATCATGTCCTTCATTAATATGCCTTAAACGGAGAGTAACTGACAGTCCTAGTTATGACATGTAATAGTAAGCTTATTACTCACATGTCAACACAGCACTGTGGCTTGACGGCTCCGGTGGCATCCACCACAGTATACTTGTTTGGCGCTGTGCATAGCACTGACCGAGAACAGAAACCGTGAATGAGTAGTGTATATGCTACAGTATCAATGTGGCTCTCTTGACTCCTTAATTGATGGCTAAAATGGTTCTTATATCAATACCTTGTTATCTTGAAACCAAATGTTTTATTTACCTTTGAACTTGAGGGCGAACTCATAGGGGTTGTAGAGGGTGAGAACCTGCTTGTGGGAGGTCTGCTCGTCCGCGTAGAAGACAAGCTCTGTGGGGAACACGAACACGGGAAGGCTTCCTTCCACTAGCTCAGGCTGTCCACTCTGCTGCTGCATTGGCTCCAGCTGAGCTCGCTCCCCTGTCCCTTTCTCTCGTCCTCTGTGTCTGGCAGGGTCCTCTCTCTGGAAGCTCTGCAGGTGTGTCTGGCAGGGCCCTCTCTCTGGAAGCTCTGCAGGTGTGTCTGGCAGGGCCCTCTCTCTGGAAGCTCTGCAGGTGTGTCTGGCAGGGCCCTCTCTCTGGAAGCTCTGCAGGTGTGTAACCTCCCCTCAGGTGCAGATGGCCCTTCCCACTCACCCTCAGCTCCTTAGCAGCATAACGCAGTGCTGCACCCTGGTAAACAACAACAGTCTCAGTGGTGAGACTTCATTCCAACCAAGTACACCACAGATGAATGACTAATTGTGTATACAGTTATATATGATGGTAAATATTTATATTTTTTATCCAAATGTCATCCTTTTATTAACTTTTCATGTAATATGATAAGGGAGACTGTAGTAATTGATAGTTTGATGCCAGGACCTGTGTACAATACAATGAGCACACCTCAAGATTAAAGCATTTGTTGTGTGGCCACATAAACGTATTTTCATTTGATTTGAAATGGCAACAATCTGTAAATATTAGTCTGTATGTAAATAGTATCTTAATAATAGCCTATTGATGGGGGTGGGTGTTGGGGCTGATACAGTAGCTTAAAATCTGCAGTAGGCCAATATGGATTCTCTCTTTCAATAACAAAGCTAGTTGGATTCTGCCTCAACGTGGCTAATCACGTGAACATGTTTTGTTTACTTGGACAATTTCAGAACTGGACGAAACCAATCCCGGTGTGAAATTGTTTCACAATATTTTTAAATTTTTGGAATAACGCACCAGAGGACAAAATATCGACTAAGTGATTAATTAAATTATTAACACAGAAAACTTAACTGTAGCTAGGTACTTATTGTTCAAAAATATGTAACTGTTAGCAGAACAGCAACATTTTAAACAATAATCTTAGCTAGCTAACTAGCTAATTTACAAATCCAAAGGTAACGTTACATAGGACATTTTACGAGCTAGCTAAGTAGCTGACACTAAATATATTGCACTCCAGTCAATCCATGCTTGTGACGTGTTGCTGATTAATGCCAAATTATGTTTGTTTTGCTAACTAGAATTGCAAGCTAGTTAGCTAGCAACATAACAAAGTAGTTAGATAGCTGGTTGAGTGGTGAACGCTTTCCAACTTGACAGTACACCAGATGTTTATATAGCTAACGTTACGTAACGTACACCATGATCTGCCAAATAACGTTAGCCATCAAAACAAAGACGCATTAACGTTAGCTAGCAAGCTAACCTCACTGGCAACCGTAGCTATTATTTTGGTGACAGGCTAGCTAGCTAGCTGACAGAAGCCATGTCATTCAAAAAATGACATCTGTATCTGAATAATTCATAGGAATTGTTGCAAATAAAAGCGTTTTACCTTGTTGTCGTTAATTTGTGGGGGTATTGTTTTGGAGAGCCCACCCTGTTTTCTGTCGTTATTTTCTTTGTCAATACTGCAGGTTACGCTGTGAATGCTGGGATATTGGAGGGCGAAGGAAATTCTGCCAGAGTAGATTCACTACGTCATCAGTTCTTCTTCTTCTTCTTCTTCTTCTTCTTCTTCAGTGGGGTTTATCGGCGGTTGGCATCCAACGTTATGGTGCATTACTGCCATCTACCGTACTGGAGTGTGGGCCAGAGACAGGGATAAACTAAATCCTACCTGCCAACCCAGTTTCTCTTAAAAAAGACAACAAAATATGTGATACTATATCTAATGACGTTCTACTCAATATACTATTTAAACTACGTCATCAGTGTTCTTACCATGACATTATGGAGTATGGACTTCCTTCTTCTTCAATGAGGTTTAACGGCGGTTGGCATCCAATTTGTTGCATTACCGCCACCTACTAGACTGGAGTTCAACTCCCTTATCTTCCTACCATCTAGCACTACACTCACACCTTCAACACTACAACTAATAATTATCCCCACCCTTCTCCACTGTTTAAATACACTCACTCCTACCTCATGCCCTCAACCTGAATTGATGGGACATCACTACTTAATACTCCCTGTAACTCTTCTGCTGTCAAGTCTCGCACACCCAAATATCTCTCTGCAGCTGCCACCACCACCTCAATTTTCTTCGATTTGCGTTCCATCCCTGCAGTACAATTAATAACCATTGCTATAAACGCTAAAAATCCAATCTTGCTGAACCATATATCACTTTTTGGTTTACCCCTCTGTACTGGTACATCTCTACTACTCACACCATTTCTCTCAGGATCCCTCCCCCTTGACCCATCTTCCTCTACTTTCTTCACTGCCTCCGCATTTGACAACTTCTTCTCTACTCTTATCCTGGATACCTCAACCTGCTTCTCTCGCACTGGACATGTCTGATCCCCAGGTCCATGGCCACCCCTACAATTAGCACACACCACCACTTTCCCCACTGCTTCACACTCCTTTGTCTCATGCCCTTCTGCACACTTCTCACACCTTGGAATCTCCCTCCTACACACTGCTGCCACATGCCCATAAGTTTGACACCTGTAACATCTTAAGGTATTCGGCACATATGCTCGCACTGGGTAACTTATATATCCTAACCTCACTTTCTCAGGCAAAGACTCAACTTCAAAACTCAAAAGAACAGACAATGACTCTTCAGTTTCCCCACTCTCGCCACCCTTTTACGTCGCACCAAACGACGAGCATCACACACACCGGGAATCTTCTCCTTCAGTTGATCCACTTTTACATTCACTGCTACTCCAGTAATCACTCCTCTCAATGGCGCCCTTTTCTTAAGAGTGAAACAATTCACAATTCTTTCCCCCATTTGTTTAACTCTGAGCGCCTTCTCCCTCTGCCTAACAGAAACACAAACAATTAACACTAGACCACTACTGGTTACCCTCACCGATTCCACTTTACCCAACGCTCTTTTCACCCATCTTGAAACCACAATTGGATCAGCCAAAAGGCAAGGATCCATTTTTTCCACAAACTTCACTCCTACTGTCACAGACTCATCTTTATCCTGAACCACTGTGCAATCCTCAGGCTCCGAGTACTTCACCACACCTTCCACCTCCGATACATCACCCTCATTCACTTCCATTTCTACTCCTGTCTTCAGCTCACTTTGCTTACATTTCCTACCACTCTTCTTTAACAAACCTTCCCTTTTTCCCGCCATTTGTAACTGACTCAAACTCACAATCTTCCTCCATCTCTCTCTTAGACCTCTGCCTCTCTTTTCCCCTCCATTCCTCCTCATTCATCCAAGTATACGTCTCCTTATGATAATACTACATTTCTCCAAACCTATATCTGTTTCTTGCCTTCTATAAGGACTCCATTTCCCCCCTCCTTTCCCTTCCGGCGTCTATTCTATCCTCGGCCTTGACCTCTTCATTGCACTCCTCTTCTGATCCGCTGTCCTCCTCTCCTGAATCAACATCGTCTTCCGATCCCTCATCCGAGCTGTTATCCTCACTATCATCGGGACTTACTCCCTTTCCAACTGCTCGTCTTTTCGCTGAAGACGCCATGCTCCACCCCTCAGTCGGTCCTCAGGCTAGCGTGGTGTTTTTGTCTCTCCCACGACGTTATTCCTCTCTCCTAAAGCGTCCCCTTCCATGGAGTATGGACACTGTACTTACTGTTAAAGCCACTTTAAATAAAATTGGAATGTGTCAACTGGGCAAGACTTGACTCCTTGACTTAATCATGTCAAGCACTATTTTTCTTGATTGAATTAGTTCATTGCATTCTTTTGTTGCATGATGTCATGTGGCTGGACCACATGGTCTACAAAGACCCTCAGAGCAGGCCTAGATTCAGTTAACTCTTGACAAAGTCTGAAAGCTTACTCAGTACTGGTGCAATTATAATACTAATACTATAATATATATATCTTAAAGTCACATTATTTTCTTTAATAGCAACCTTTATATATATTGGTTGTTACACTCTAGAACACTTGTGCAGTGCACAAATTATTCTGAACAGGTGACAGGTCCATGCACCTGTCAATGTGCCTGCATTGATATGTAAATGTTGATTAAATAATAGTTAGGCAAAATAATAAATAGTAGGCTAGTAGTAACATGATAATACCACCATTAACATGTTCTGCTCTACTGTATTATACATGTTTTATAGGCCAGGGGTGAAAACAATCAACATTTGTGTTCAACAATATAGAGAGTAAACAAATATCAAATGTTTTATTAATTGAGACATATTGAAACATCAGGCCTGCATAATGTATTGTAAACTGTTCATAAACTCTGTAGCCTATAAAGCTATCAGTGATTGTTATGCAAGATTGCTCACTTCCTGTAACCAATAAAAGGATCTACCGTAAACCTGCATGTAAATGTACAGGCAGCTATCACAGCAGTTTCTTTTACGCCTGCTTCGTTTAGGTTAATGACAGCAAGACGGCAAACCAACCCTCCCTCTCTGTCATATTCAGCCAAGTACGCTAGTCCCTAGTTAACACAGCCACAAAGTCAGATTCCACAGCCACAAAGTCAAAATTGGCAACAAAAAAAGCTTTTTGGTCTTCATTTAAGGTTAGGGTTAGGCATAAGGGTAGCAGTGTGGTAAGGTTAGGTAAATCAAATTGTAAGAAGATAAATTGTAAAAATGGGCGGGGTTTAGCCATAATTATGACTTTGTGGCTATGTTAACTAGTGACGACCCAAACAGGCAGAGGGTCGGACGCTGCATGATATGTCCCCTTATCAAAAAAAAAAAAAGGTCTAGCCTTGATTGCAAGGTTTTGGTAAACAGTGTGCTCCTACTGTCTTTAAAACGTGTTCAACAGAAATTACACAACGATTCCCAAGTAACAGACCAACATAAGGAGCCATGATGAGGCGCAGCAGAACATTGACTTTCGTGCAAGCAGACATTCGCACTGGACCTTTTGCATTTTGCAATATGGCGCTTCGAGGTGCTGCTTGCACAGACGAGATAAACATGGAGGGGAAAGTGGAAGGGAAGGCACGATTATTATTAAAATCGTACGGTGAGGCGACTCTCTCGCACCCTCCCCCACCAAGACAGCAAAACGGGAACGGGGGGGGGGGGGCCGGTCGTCCTTTATGTTCAGCTAGCCATACCACTAATCCATACTCGCAAATTATGAGGTCATATTGCTTTTTGAGTATATGTTGTATGTATGTGAAGTCATTACAACGTTATACTATGCAGAATAGAATGGCCATATCATCAATATTTGTATTAATGTATCTTCTTGCAACAGTACATGGATCCCCTCTCTGAATGATCCTCTGCTTAGTAGAACAGAAGCGAGAAAACCATCTCGACCTCATTATTACATATTTATGCACGGCAGGGAGTGGCCACTGTGGTCAGGCTCAACCAATACGATCGCAGCGGTGGAAGGAAGGCGTTTCACTCTATTCGGAAGAGAACTTCTCTAACAGCGCTAACCCAGCAGTGCTTAGGAAAGGCAGATAGAGTCAGGCAGCGGCAAGGGGTGGCTGTACGACCCTCTTTTGGGGGGGGGTCTGATTATTACAAAAAAATATACACACATATATGCATGCCCTGGCCGCAAGATAGGTCATATGACGATAATAGGTATTTTAGAAAGCATATAGCTATATATATCTATACATTTAAGATGCCTATTTTACTTTTCCTGATAGACACGTCCGCTTCTATGAATCAGCGCACTTATTTGGGTACGACGTATCTGGACATTGCTAAAGGCGCGGTTGAGATCTTTATGAAGGTAAAGAATAATTTTACCCCGATTTTTTTCAGCTTACTATTTGCCTTGATAGAGTTGAGGGTCCCTTTGACATATTCAGTCGAAATTAACATGTATTGTTTCGTTTTCTTTAACAGCTGCGTGCCCGAGACCCTGCTAGTAGAGGCGACAGGTACATGCTAGTTACATTCGATGATCCACCATACGGAGTTAAGGTAAATAAATACTGTTAAATTGTTTTATATGTGATTAAGGCGCGGATATTTTGCTGACAGTGAGACTTTACTGTCCCTCTGGTTTGTAGCTGCGGGTTGGGCGGCCTCCCGGTGGCGAAAACGGCACATTTTTGTAAAAAATACCCGCAGACCGGTGCAGCGCTGCCTCTGAACATGGCGGACATTTTGCTTTTGTGTTGGGAAAGCTCTCGGGCGCTGAGATGGAGGCGGAGAGTTATATTATCTATCGTGACGTCTCTATTTATGTGGGCTAACTCATCCTGGATTGGTCAACTGGCCTGCACCTCTTCTCGAGCCCTCCTCTTGCATCGGTTCTGTGGCTGAACTCCATGCACTCGCATTGGCCAATGTGGACTGGGCGACTCAAACTTATTTGATTTGATAAAACCCCCTTTATCATAGAAAATGATAATGTTCACACGACACTCAATATTTTCATCTAAATCTGAGTTTACACCATAAGGTGCCCATTCTGTAGTTTACACTATCATAACTTCATAATGATCAAATGCCCTTATAAAGTGCCAACATCAACCTCCCCCAGTCTGTTTACACACCATCCTTTCCCAATGGTCCTAGCTATTCGAGATCCTTGGGACATCCATACCCACCCAATGAAGTTGAGATTTAAAATGGTTAATGTAAAGGTTAAAGTTTAGGGTTAGGGTAGGGTTTAGGGTAGGGACGTCCCAAGGATCCCTATTAGCGCTGGCCATTTCTCAATGCCCCCACCCTCAGCCTTTCACTCGTAGTATAAACAGGACCCCTTTTCGTACTATAAACAGGGCCTTCTCAAATGGAATAAAACATCCCAACCCATGCCAATAATTAAGCAACAGGCAGAGGCAGCAGGCTGTAATGTTTGCATAATCAAATCAAATCAAATTTTATCAAATCAAATTTCATGTAACAATGTGGCATAGACACATAAGCACATAAGACTCCTGCCTTATTGTGGTCATAGACTGTGCTCTCTGCCACCACCGTGCAAGCGGTACCGGTGCACCAAGTCTGGAACCAACAGGACCCTGAACAGCTTCTACCCCCAAGCCATAAGACTGCTAAATAGTTAGTTAAATAGTTAACCAATAGCTATCCGGACTATCTGCATTGACCCTTTTTGCACTAACTATTTTTTACTCATCACATACGCTGCTGTTACTGTTTATTATCTATCCTGTTGCCTAGTTACTTTATTCCTACCTATATGTACATATCTACCTCAATTACCTTGTACCCCTGCACATTGACTCGGCACTGGTAATCTGTGTATATAGCCAAGTTATCGTTACTCATTGTGTATCTATTATTACTTTTATTATTATGTGTTTTACTTTTCTATTATTTCTCTATTTTTTTTCTCTCTGCATTGTTGAGAAGGCCCCGTAAGTTCGCATTTCATTGTTAGACTACACCTGTTGTTTACAAGGCATGTGACAAATACAATTTGATTTTATTTGATATCCCATGCAACTCTGCCCTAAAGCAGGAAAAGATGGAGTGAAATATGTTCTCCATTTTAGAGTATGTGAGAGGCAGCTAGCCCCAAAGCTCTCAAACGTTGAAATAATCTTTCAATGACAAGTTATCTCAGTTTACAAAACAAGTAGGTGTGACTGTTCGAATGAACCGATATGAATCCTGCAGTCACTGCAGCAGCTAGCTTTATCATTGGGATTTCAGTGTAACATTACACCAGACTTAGGAACATGAATAAGCAGTTGGGGCTAACTTGCTGTCAAGTATCTGACAGCATTTTTACATGTACTGTACATTTTAGTCATTTAGCAGACGCTCTTATCCAGAGTGACTTACAGTTTGTGCATTCATCTTAAGATAACCATGTATTCATTCTTTATAAATGCCCTGTCACATGTCTATTCATGCACTCTTGTTGGGGATGGGCACATATTTTGTATAAGAGTCAAATGAGTAGTGCTGAAGTGCATTGCATTTACATTTTTACATTTTAGTCATTTAGCAGTCGCTCTTATCCAGAGTGACTTACAGTTAGAAACATTAACATTTACATTTTAGTCATTTAGCAGACGCTCTTATCCAGAGCGACTTACAGTTAGTGAGTGCATACATTTTTTTCATACTGGCCCCCCGTGGGAATCAAACCCATAACCCTGGCGTTGCAAGCGCCATGCTCTACCAACTGAGCTATACGGGATGTAGCCTATGTTATAATGAATGTGTACAGGCCAACTGCATGAAACTGCATTGTTGCTTCTTCTTCTTCTATGGCTTCTTTGATGTGCAGCGTTGCCGAGGTGTAGAAGGTGTGCCTGCATCAGTGTATGCTGCTGTAGTGTATGCTGTGTGGTTTGACAGTGACAGTACTGTAGAGTGGCTTTATTCCCTGGCACTTCATTAGCTTTGTCTCTCTGGCAGGTGGCCAGACATCCTCCCAGGGCTTTTCTACACCCCACTCCCTCCAATGAATACACACATCCCCTCCTCCTTCTCCAAGTCTTCTTCCTCTCCATCCAAGGATAGGTGGTGGTTCATTAGCTATTCCATTTTACATTCCTTGGTGTCGGAGTTGGTTCAGCTTCTGTTGCTGTATTAAATGACCAGATAGGCCTATAAAGCACTTGTCTTCAGAATTTTCCTTGAGGGCATTGTTCCTGATTTGTTGCATATTAAGGGATCAAGGGACTTTTTATGAAACTGTTCAAAAGCAGAAGTGCTAAGTGATCTGGAATATAAAAATAACTAGCTATCTGCATGGCTACTGAAATGTCACTTGTTTGGTCTAGGTACTTTGGAGAGAAAGCTCCTCCCTGTGTTAGGTGTTGACAACCAGACGAGCAGAGTTTGCCCAACAATAACCCAGCCTGTAATGTCTTGCCTGCCTTGCCTGGTGAGAGATGGAATCTGACTGCTGAACCTCTGCACTTCTTCTACTGAGCAGTGTAGCTTTTTATCTCTGTTTCATTATTCATGAGCTATTCAGCCGCCAATCAGAGAAGAGTTCCATGGAGACGCTGCTGGATAAAGACAATGCTGTCTTTTCCTCCTCGCTCTGAGTTCACTTGTTGTCCCGTTCCTGGACCATCGAGAGGAGCGTCGTTCTTCTCTTCCTCCTCCTGCCCCAGCGCTGACATTTTGTTTTCTCACTTGGATTTTGTTTTTCTCTTTCACACTCCTTTCCTCTCTAGCTTGACATGTTATTAGGCAGAATATGTGTACTGTGTGTACGCTATGTTTGCTGGAGCAGTTCATCCACCTTCTGTCATAAAGAGCACATGTTCAATTTAATAAAAAACTAGTTTTCACATTTCAAGAGGTTCAATAAAAAAATACTATAGTAAGTGCCTAATAAGTGCCAAAAAAAGTAACAGGGTTGGCCATGACAGGGTTGACTGTAAAAGGGTTGACAATTTCATCTTAAATCAGCCATAAATCCCCCTGTGAGGGGGAATGGAATCTTGTTGTGTGCATCAGGGAGTGGCAATTGAATGCATTGTTAAAACAAATCACTCAGTTTTCCACCACAAAATGGCCTTAAAGAGTACCTGCTTTTACACTATGATTTGACTATTAGATGTTCAATGTTTCTTTTGAAAAAACATTTTGTAAAAGGAATAGTTTCACCATATTAAAACGAGAGTTCAGTTCATGTAACAGGGTTGACCTTAAAATGAGGGACAGACGTAAATGAATCACTAATCACATGAAATAAATAATAATCTTCAGGAAAGACTTTGTCAAAGCAACAAAATAACTAGGGCTTTACAATGATGGTGAAAACTTTTGGAAATTGTGGGGTTAAGTGTGTTACAATCTTCCTAGAAGTCACAGAGGGTGCACAGAGGTACATGTCAATATGCTGAATTTTGGCACTTTAGCAAGTCATTATTCATATAAAAAAATCTGATTCATTGAATTATCCATGTGGTCTATATTAAAGGGCACTTCATTTAATATAACAGGCTTTTAAAACTCAATATTGTTGCACAATTTCTACTTAAAATATCAAAGGGACACAAAAGGCAGTCTTTTCGTGGAACGACTCCAAATGTTTAACATTGTGTTCTAATCATTCAGGCTTGTGTTTACTGCCCAAGCTTGGGCTGCCCTGCTCCGCCTGACTGCCTCTATCTTTCTAGGAATCTTGTCCAGGTCTGTCATTCACATGCCTGACCGGTACATCCAGGGCTGTCATTCACATGCCTGACCGGTACATCCAGGGCTGTCATTCACATACCTGACCGGTACTCCCAGGGCTGTCATTCACATGCCTGAGCGGTACATCCAGGGCTGTCATTCACATGCCTGACCGGTACATCCAGGGCTGTCATTCACATGCCTGACCGGTACATCCAGGGCTGTTATTCACATACCTGACCGGTACACCTAGGGCTGTCATTCAAATCATGATGTGGTCCTCTGTAGCTCAATTGGTTGAGCATGGCGCTTGTAACGCCAGGGTAGTGGGTTCGATCCCCGGGACCACCCATACGTAAAAATGTATGCACACATGACTGTAAGTCACTTAGGATAAAAGCATCTGCTAAATGGCATATTATTATAATAATAAATCAAATCAAATCAAATAAAATTGTATTGGCCACATGTGCCGAATACAACAGGTGCAGACATTACAGTGAAATGCTTACTTACAGCCCTTAACCAACAGTGCATTTATTTTTAATAAAAAAAGTAAAATAAAACAACAACAAAAAAGTGTTGAGAAAAAAAAGAGCAGAAGTAAAATAAAATAACAGTAGGGAGGCTATATATACAGGGGGGTACCAGTGCAGAGTCAATGTGCGAGGGCACCGGCTAGTTGAGGTAGTTGAAGTAATATGTACATGTGGGTAGAGTTAAAGTGATTATGCATAAATAATTAACAGAGTAGCAGCAGTGTAAAAAGATGGGGTGGGGGGTGGGGGGCAGTGCAAATAGTCCGGGTAGCCATGATTAGCTGTTCAGGAGTCTTATGGCTTGGGGGTAGAAGCTGTTGAGAAGTCTTTTGGACCTAGACTTGGCACTCCAGTACTGCTTGCCGTGCGGTAGCAGAGAGAACAGTCTATGACTAGGGTGGCTGGAGTCTTTGACAATTTTGAGGGCCTTCCTCTGACACCGCCTGGTATAGAGGTCCTGGATGGCAGGAAGCTTGGCCCCAGTGATGTATTGGGCCGTACGCACTACCCTCTGTAGTGCCTTGCGGTCGGAGGCCAAGTAGTTGCCATACCAGGCGGTGATGCAACCAGTCAGGATGCTCTCGATGGTGCAGCTGTAGAATTTTTTGAGGATCTGAGGACCCATGCCAAATATTTTCTGTCTCCTGAGGGGGAATAGGCTTTGTCGTGCCCTCTTCACGACTGTCTTGGTGTGTTTGGACCATGATAGTTCGTTGGTGATGTGGACACCAAGGAACTTGAAGCTCTCAACCTGTACCGGTCAGGCATGTGAATGACAGCCCTGACCGGTACAGGTTGACATGCCTGACCGGTACATCCAGGGCTGTCATTCACATGCCTGACCGGTACATCCAGGGCTGTCATTCACATGCCTGACCGGTACATCCAGGGCTGTCATTCACATGCCTGACCGGTACATCCAGGGCAGTCTTATGGGATTCTGGTTTAGGGCCACACATCCTAAAAGTAACTGCTTGACCCTGTCTACTAAGGACTTGACTCCCACTGGGGTCTGTAGTGGGGTCTGTACTGTGGTCTGTAGTGGGGTCTGTACTGTGGTCTGTAGTGGGGTCTGTACTGGGGTCTGTAGTGGGGTCTGTAGTGGGGTCTGTACTGTGGTCTGTAGTGGGGTCTGTACTGGGGTCTGTACTGGGGTCTGTAGTGGGGTCTGTACTGTGGTCTATACTGGGGTCTGTAGTGGTGTCTGTACTGTGGTCTATAGAGGGGTCTGTACTGGGGTCTGTAGTGGGATCTTTTCTGTGGTCTATAGAGGGGTCTGTACTGGGCTCTGTAGTGGGGTCTGTACCATGGTCTGTAGTGTCTGTACTGGTGTCTGAAACTGTGGGTCTTGTGGGAAGCCATTCCTGTCACAGATTGAGGGAGAGTCCAACTGCACAACCTGCTCCGCTTCAATGGCTGTGAGTCTGTGACCCCTTCCTTTTCTCTTCCATGTGATCACAGCTCTTTGGGCTTGTTAAGCAGCCTAGCTTTCACTGCAGTGACAGCTCTGATTTCTACCGTGCTCACGGTGCTCTCATGACCAGTTAGTTCATCACCACCCTTCTGAGTCAGAAATGCACAGTGACATGATGCTTTCTTTTTACATTCTACTGAATGGGTGTTGGTGCTTTCTGGCGTGGCTGTCTTGTCTGTTCAATACGTCATCACGTGCCTTCAACCTGGCATATTTTGGTTCTGCTCCTAAACTAAAGGATCATGGGAACTTAATGTTTTTTATTTATAGGAGTCTGCTTCCTCATAACTGGGGCTTTTGCGAGGAACAAGTTGTTATCTGTCTGTTTATGGAAAGCGGTCTCCTGTCCTGCAGTCAGTGTGTGCAGGAACCCAGCATGACTTAGCCTAGCCCCCAGCTGCTGTATCCTGGCTCATAGACTACCACTGTTCTATCGGGGTGGGGGGGCCTAGCTATATTCAGCTGCTGTACCCTGGCTCATAGACTACCACTGTTCTATCGGGGGTGGGGGGGCTTAGCTAGATACAGACACAAGTACATAGAATATTTTTGGATAATAAATAATTCATGATGATGTAATCACTATTTTCATTGTGAATTTGATGTTGTCTTTTTCTTGGCACTCTAACCCGGTGTCTGGGTTGCCGAGAGACATTTGAAGACGATGATGTCAGTGCTACATTCAGGATGTAGGCTAGCTCTATGGCTTTGTGTCATGTTGTAGCCTGTTTCACCACATGGCATGAAGCACAGCCTACAAATAAATAGCCTACCACAATATAATGTTGACAATCCAGTCTCAATATCCTAAACCTTCCCCAAACGTCGCAACATCAGAATAGTGGAGTAAATGTTTTTCTAATGCATACATCCTTGACCCTCTTTCACTCTTTTTCATATCTCCCTCCACCTGTTTTCCCTCCCTTTCCCACCCCACCCACCAGACAAGGTTGTGGTAAAACAAGGGACTCTGATTGCACACTTATACAGCCTGCAATGAGTTGTTGATTTGGAGGGAAAGAAGGTTGGGCAGGGAAATTGAATTACTCTTTCACTTGAATTATTGAGTGTGAGTTAAGAGTTCTACAGCCTGCCAGTAGGGTTTGTCTTCAATTCTACAGCCTGCCAGTAGGGATTTTGTCTTCAGTTCTACAGCCTGCCAGTAGGCTTTTGTCTTCAGTTCTACAGCCTGCCAGTAGGGTTTTGTCTTCAGTTCTACATCCTGCCAGTAGGAGTTTGTCTTCAGTTCTACAGCCTGCCAGTAGGAGTTTGTCTTCAATTCTACAGCCTGCCAGTAGGGTTTTGTCTTCAGTTCTACAGCCTGCCAGTAGGGTTTTGCCTTCAGTTCTACAGCCTGCCAGTAGGGTTTTGTCTTCAGTTCTACAGCCTGCCAGTAGGGTTTTGTCTTCAGTTCTACAGCCTGCCAGTAGGGTTTTGTCTTCAGTTCTACAGCCTGCCAGTAGGGTTTTGTCTTCAGTTCTATAGCCTGCCAGTAAGGATTTGTCTTCAGTTCTATAGCCTGCCAGTAGGGCTTTGTCTTCAGTTCTACAGCCTGCCAGTAGGGGTTTGTCTTCAGTTCTACAGCCTGCCAGTAAGGATTTGTCTTCAGTTCTACAGCCTGCCAGTAGGGGAATGTCTTCTGGGAACGTAACAACACTAGATGGGTCAGGTGTGTGTGTGTGTGTCCATGTGACTGTGTGTGTACGTACTTGAGTGATTCAGTGTGTGTTACTCCTTTGTGTGTAGGTGGGTTGGGCTCATCAGCTGAGTGAAGGAATGCAACATGCTACTTCACATATACAATTGCTTTAGCATTGTTTTATGCTATTTATCACTACTTCATAATTACATTGGAGTAAACACATTCTAGAGGTTAGATAGAATAACCCATGCCTTGTATCCAAGGACTACAAACACTTAAAAGCTACTCTTTCCCGTTGTATTTCCTGCTCAGTGTCTATGTCACCTCCAAACTCCCACCCTCTCTTTCTCTCTCTCTCCCTCCTTCCCCTGCTCTCTTTCTTTAGGAAGCATGGTACCACTTACGGTGGGGCTGGTAAGCCTGCAGGTCATCTGTAGATTAAGCATAATGCTGTAACAGTAAGGTACTTGACCTCAGTGGAGGAAAGAGCGAGAGCAGCCACTCACTCACACTCCCCTACTAGGCTGCTCTCCTACGGGAAAGCCCTGGTCTCATGGGAAAGCCCTGGTCTCATGGGAAAGCCCTGGTCGCATAGGAAAGACCTGGTCTCATGGGATGAGCAGCTTCAGGAAGTGCTTCAGCAAGAGCCAATAGTGGCCATTACTTTGTGTTTTCTGAGATATTGTTTTCTACATTACAAATAGACCTACCATTTTCAAACCAAGCACTCTAAAGGCATAGCCTGAGGAAGATGTAATCTCCTAGCTTCATGGTATCATAAACATATTATTTAAAGGGATAGTTTACCTAAAGTACAAAATTACACATTGGTTTCCTTATCGTGTAAGCAGTCTATGGACAAGGTATGACAGCAATACATGCTTTGGTTTAGTTTCCCTGGCACTGTTTCCACATGCTAACGTTTTAGCATTTTTGGCACAAATCCCATTCAAGTCATGGGACTGATATTAGCATTTTTTGCACATGATGTCCAAATCAGCCAAAAGTATCTAAAATTGATTGTTTTTTACCCCCTTTTCGATCTTGTCTCATCACTGCAACTCCCCAACGGGCTCGGGAGGTGAAGGTCGAGTCATGCGTCCTCCGAAACATGACCCGCCAAACCGCGCTTCTTAACAACCGTCTGCTTAACCCGGAAGCCAGCCACACCAATGTGTCGGAGGAAACACTGTTCACCTGACGACCGAGGTCAGCCTGCAGGTGCCTGGCCCGCCACAAGGAGTCGCTAGAGCGCGATGAGCCAAGTAAAGCCCCTCCGGACAAACTCATCCCTAACCCGGACGACGCAGGGCCAATTGTGCCGCCCTATGGGACTCCCGAACACGGCCGGTTGTGATACAGCCCGGGATCAAACCCGGGTCTGTAGTGACACCTCTAGCACTGCAATGCAGTGCCTTAGACCGCTGCGCCACTCGGGAGGCCCCACTTATAGATGATTTAAACATGATACGCGACAAATGCTAATTTCAGTCCCATGACTTGAATGGGATTTGTGCGACAAAAATGCTTAAACGTTCGCATGTAGAAACCGTGCCAGCGAAACTAAACCAAAGCATGTATTGCTGTCATACCTTGTCAATAGACTGCTTACAGGGTAAGGAAACCAATGTATCATTTTGTAATTTGGGTGAACCATCCCTTTAATATAGAGCCTAATGTATGATAAATATCTGTCACGTGATGTGATAATACATATTTTCTTTAGCCTATATGAGTATGGAGCTTTTACTGTATGTCTTTAACCCAGCACTAATATGTTTAATATGAGTCAGTGTGTGGTTGTTTGTGCGTGCAAGCATGTCTCTATCCTCTGGGGTCAATGTCATTTAATACTGTCTGTCTCTGTGTGTGTGTGTGTGTGTGTGTGTGTGTGTGTAAGAGTGAGCGTGTGTGTGTTGTGGCCCCTTTCATGACTGGTGTTTATGCGGGTTGATCATGCAGTGTAGTGTTGTTTATGCGGGTTGATCATGCAGTGTAGTGTTGTTTATGCGGGTTGATCATGCAGTGTAGTGTTGTTTATGCGGGTTGATCATGCAGTGTAGTGTTGTTTATGCGGGTTGATCATGCAGTGTAGTGTTGTTTATGCGGGTTGATCATGCAGTGTAGTGTTGTTCATGCGGGTTGATCATGCAGTGTAGTGTTGTTTATGCGGGTTGATCATGCAGTGTAGTGTTGTTTATGTGGGTTGATCATGCAGTGTAGTGTTGTTTATGCGGGTTGATCATGCAGTGTAGTGTTGTTTATGCGGGTTGATCATGCAGTATAGTGTGATGACGCAAGACTCCCTCTGTAATGTATTGCATTCCCTCCATGTGGTGTGTGTGTGTGACACACTATCCCTGTGTGTATTTCAGGCGGGCTGGAAGGAGAACCATGCCACGTTTATGAGTGAACTGAAGAACCTGCAGGCGTCTGGACTGACCACTCTGGGTCACGCTCTCCGCGCGGCCTTTGACCTCCTCAACCTGAACCGCCTCGTCTCCGGCATCGACAACTATGGACAGGTATACCTGACCCCTCTACACCTTTTAATATAACATACTTTAGTATAAAGTACGTCACCCAGACGTACTTTATTTTTTCCCCAAAAAAAATCTTATGGAATATCAGGCAATAGTTAACGTATTATTATGCACAAGCATTCTGTACAATAGCATGCAATACAGTGCATATAGATTTAAGGAATATTCCGTTTGTATATATATTTGTGTATAGTACAGTCGTGGTCAAAAGTATTGGTCTTCACAAAGTTCGCTGCTTCAGTGTTATGAGATATTTTTGTCAGATGTTACTATGGTATACTGAAGTATAATTACAAGCATTCCATAAGTGTCAAAGGCTTTTATTGACAATTACATTAAGTTTATGCAAAGAGTCAATATTTGCAGTGTTGACCCTTCTTTTTCAAGACCTCTGCAATCCGCCCTGGCATGCTGTCAATTAACTTCTTGGCCACATCCTGACTGATGGCAGCCCATTCTTGCATAATCAATGCTTGGAGTTTGTCAGAATTTGTGGGTTTTTGTTTGTCCACCCGCCTCTTGAGGATCGACCACAAGTTCTCAATGGGATTAAGGTCTGGGGAGTTTCCTGGCCATGCACCCAAAATGTTGATGTTTTGTTCCCCGAGCCACTTAGTTATCACTTTTGCCTTATGGCAAGGTGCTCCATCATGCTGGAAAAGGCATTGGTCGTCACCAAACTGTTCTTGGATGGTTGGGAGAAGTTGCTCTCGGAGGATGTGTTGGTACCATTCTTTATTCATGGCTGTGTTCTTAGGCAAAATTGTGAGTGAGCCCACTCCCTTGGCTGAGAAGCAACCCCACACATGAATGGTCTTAGGATGCTTTACTGTTGGCATGACACAGGACTGATGGTAGCGCTCACCTTGTCTTCTCCGGACAAGGTGTTTTCCGGATGCCCCAAACAATCGGAAAGGGGATTCATCAGAGAAAATGACTTTACCCCAGTCCTCAGCAGTCCAATCCCTGTACCTTTTGCAGAATATCAGTCTGTCCCTGATGTTTTTCCTGGAGAGAAGTGGCTTCTTTGCTGCCCTTCTTGACACCAGGCCATCCTCCAAAAGTCTTCGCCTCACTGTGCGTGCAGATGCACTCACACCTGCCTGCTGCCATTCCTGAGCAAGCTCTGCACTGGTGGTGCCCCGATCCCGCAGCTGGACTTTCTTGGGCGCCCTGACGCCTTCTTCACAACAATGGAACCTCTCTCCTTGAAGTTCTTGATGATCCGAATAATTGTTGATTTAGCAGCAATATCCTTGCCTGTGAAGCCCTTTTTGTGCAAAGCAATGATGACGGCATGTGTTTCCTTGCAGGTAACCATGGTTAACAGAGGAAGAACAATGATTTCAAGCACCACCCTCCTTTTAAAGCTTCCAGTCTGTTATTCTAACTCAATCAGCATGACAGAGTGATCTCCAGCCTTGTCCTCATCAACACTCTCACCTGTGTTAACGAGAGAATCACTGACATGATGGCAGCTGGTCCTTTTGTGGCAGGGCTGAAATGCAGTGGAAATATTTTTTGGGGATTAAGTTCATTTTCATGGCAAAGAGGGACTTTGCAATTAATTGCAATTCATCTGATCACTCTTCATGACATTCTGGAGTATATGCAAATTGCCATCATCAAAACTGAGGCAGCAGACTTTGTGAAAATTAGTATTTGTGTCATTCTCAAAATATCAGCCAATATGAGCAGCATTAGACCATTAAGGATAGCGGTGAGCATCGGGAGTGTGTAAATCTCCTTAGCCTTTCTCCCTGTTAGTGTGTGTTTGTGTGTGAATAAGAGAACGCTGGCGGTAGGAAGCCCAGCAGCTAAGGAGTTGGATCTGTAGCCGAAAGGTGTCTGGTTCGATTCCCGGGCCAGGCGCTAGGAAAAGGGTGGAATTGATCTGGCAACTGGAGGGCTAATGGGTTCACACCCTCAAGACATTCCCCTACCGTTGGGCCCTTGAGCAAGGCCCTTAACCCCACAACCCTGTGCTCATGTCTGATGTCTGGCGGTGGGGGGCTGAGAACAGAACAGAAGGAACATCTGGACAATAAAGTTTTATTGTATATCACAGGTGGTTGGTGGCACCTTAATTGGGGAGGACGGGCTCGTGGTAATGGCTGGAGCGGAATAGGTGGAATGGTATGAAATACATCAAACACATGGTTTCCATGTTGATGCCATTCCATTGGCTCTATTCCAGCCATTAGTATGAGCCGTCCTCCCTTCAGCAGCATCCACTGTTGTAGATAGTCCAGGGGAGGAGTTAGCCTCTGTCCTCACAGAGTACGAGTCCCAGAGTACCACAATGACAATCATCGCTCAGCCGGACCAACAGCAAACAGTGTTTTAACCCATGAACTTCCCTGTCTACCCTCAGGGCCGTAACCCGTTCTTTCTGGAGCCGTCTGTGATCATCACCATCACGGATGGGAACAAGCTGACTCACATCTCTGGGGTACCGGATGAGGTGAGCGAGGACACTGGCCGTTCCTCTGACTGGTTACCTAGAAGTCAGAGGCCGTGTTCATAAAGCGTCTCAAAGTAAAAGTGCTGATCTAGGATCAGGTCCCCCCGTCCATGTAATCTTATTAAGGCAAAACTGATCCTAAATCAGCACTTCTACTCTTGAGAAGCTTGATACATATGGCCCCAGGTTCTACTGTGGTCCTGGCTAGGTCTAATGAAGAAGGAATAGTTTCACTCTCCAGCCAGTAGAGTTCTACTGTGGTCCTGGCTAGTGAGTGAGGCTGTTAAAGAGAGCCCACATTTGAAGCAGACAGAGAATTCCAGGACATATGATTATTCATGAGCAGCATGTTATTCAGATGACTCAAACTGTCTAAATTGTTATTACACTATATAAGAAGAATACAACTCCTCTGGGCCCAATTAAGATGTCCAGCCAGAGTTCAGTAACAAGACAAATGCTAGTCCAATTTTCACATTTTCCCCACCTCTACATTCAACATTTTAGTCATTTAGCAGACATGCTTATCCAGAGCGACTTACAGGAGCAATTAGGGTTAAGTGCCTTGCTCAAGGGCATATCGACAGATGTTTTGCCTACTGTAGTCAGCTCAGGGATTTGAACCAGCAACCTTTATGTTACTGGCCCAATGCTAGGCTACTTGCCGCCCACCTCTACCACTCCCCTCTCCCTCCTTTGTGCCCCTCTCTCCCTGTCTCCAGCTCCACCTGCCCCTGACCTCTCCCCTGCCAGGCAGTGAGCTGACCAAGGAGCCATTTCGGTGGGACCAGCGTCTCTTCGCCCTGGTGCTGCGTCTCCCTGGGGCGGCCACGCCCGACAGCGAGCAGCTGGGCAGCGTCCCCACTGACGAGTCTGCCATCACCCAGATGTGTGAGGTCACTGGAGGTAGGATGCCCCCATAGAAATAGTTAACTTCCTGCTTTTACTTCCTGCCCTACTCCTATGGGTACACTGACACATGTCTGCCAGTTCACCCATTATGGCATCATTGTCTTCAATGGGGACGCCCATTCTACTCATTCTAGCACTGGCTCTGGGGTGGGACTGTGTCTGTTGGGATGTCAAAATGTGTAATATATAAAAACACAGACAGAAAGTCACAGTCTATATATGCTCTCAACAATTTAATGGGTCAGGCAACATTTGGGCACAGAGTGCCTTCTTCAGGGTCCAGGCTGTGTATAAATTAACATTTACAAGGTTCTCAGAGACTGGAAATTAAATCTGCAGCTATCTATCAACTGTCAATGCTTTCTGAAAGATATACATGCATAAAAACACTAATGTCGGGACGATACCAGTATCACCATGCTCCTTAGTAGCATGGCAAGGAAACAAAAGTGGATTTAACTTCTTTAGGAAAACAGCCCTAATGTTGGAAACAAATATCATTAGGTCGTCATCTAGAGTCACACAATATTTTACATACAGCAATTTTTTTAAAGGACAAAAGAGTTTAAACTGCTTCCTGTTTTCATTTTTGCCATGGAAAAGATATTGCGATACTGGTATCATCATAGGCCTTAATAACAGGTCCTCTCCATCCCTCTCTCTTTGGGCTTCTTCCCTCCAACTGTTTCTTTCTTTCTCCAGGACGATCATACTGTGTGCGGACTCAGAGGATGCTGAACCAGTGTCTGGACTCTCTGGTCCAGAAGGTTCTGAGTGGTGTCGTCATTAACTTTGAAAAAACAGGGCCAGATCCGCCTCTGGTAGGCGAAGGTATGTCCCAACAGGAAATGCGCTCTAAGTTGTTGTGTATGACTGTGCGTGTCACTGATGAAGTGTCCTCTGATGGTCTCAAGGTGACTCTCTCCGACAGCGCTTGACTGATGTGTTCCGCACAGCTGCTTCCTGCCTGTGGCTGTTCTTCTGTTTGTGTTCGGTTGAGAAATTGACACCTCATGTTGTTGTTGTTTGGTTCTACAGATGGTATGGTTGACCCGAGCCGGCCCGTGTTGTCCTTCAGCCCACAGCCCTGGCACAGCTGCCACAAACTCATCTACGTGCGACCCAACCCCAAGACAGGGGTGCCCGTAGGCCACTGGCCCATCCCTGAGTCCTTCTGGCCGGACCAGAACTCCCCCGCTCTGGTGAGAGGATGCCATTAACCCCATAGTTACTGATGCAGTAACACTAATGCAAGCTCATTAGTCCCTCCATTTTGAATTACTAAGAATTGTTTGTGATTATTAAGCAATCAGTTAAGTGTTTAATGGGTCAAGTGAAAGAGGATGAGAGTTAAGCATTATGCTCCTCTTAAATCCAGTAGTTGGTGTTAACGTGGCTCTGCACTGTTGCCCCCTGGGACATGTAGTTGTCCTGCCCTCTGAGACCTGTAGTTGTTCTGGCCTCTGAGACCTGTAGTTGTCCTGGCCTCTGGGACCTGTAGTTGTCCTGGCCTCTGGGCCCTGTAGTTGTCCTGGCCTCTGGGACATGTAGTTGTCCTGCCCTCTGAGACCTGTAGTTGTCCTGGCCTCTGGGACCTGTAGTTGTTCTGGCCTCTGAGACCTGTAGTTGTCCTGGCCTCTGAGACCTGTAGTTGTCCTGGCCTCTGGGACCTGTAGTTGTCCTGGCCTCTGAGACCTGTAGTTGTCCTGGCCTCTGGGACCTGTAGTTGTCCTGGCCTCTGGGACCTGTAGTTGTCCTGGCCTCTGAGACCTGTAGTTGTCCTGGCCTCTGGGACCTGTAGTTGTCCTGGCCTCTGAGACCTGTAGTTGTCCTGGCCTCTGGGACCTGTAGTTGTCCTGGCCTCTGGGACCTGTAGTTGTCCTGGCCTCTGAGACCTGTAGTTGTCCTGGCCTCTGAGACCTGTAGTTGTCCTGGCCTCTGGGACCTGTAGTTGTCCTGGCCTCTGGGACCTGTAGTTGTCCTGGCCTCTGGGACCTGTAGTTGTCCTGGCCTCTGGGACCTGTAGTTGTGCTGGCCTCTGGGACCTGTAGTTGTCCTGGCCTCTGGGACCTGTAGTTGTCCTGGCCTCTGGGACCTGTAGTTGTCCTGGCTCCTGGCATCCTGTGAATGATTGCTCCTCACTGTGTCTTTACTGCCAAGAACTGGGGGTGAAGTTTGCCTAGGACTCTCTCTGTTTTTCTTTCTCTCTGTCTCTCTTTATATTGACTATCTGTAGTGTTACTGGGGCAGTGCCAAGGACAGAGGGTCAGGGTGGATGCTGACTGACTAGAGTCTGCCAGCTCCATCCTACTGTTTAATGTTCTGCCTCTCTTTTCTTGTTTTTTGCACCCCTCCCCCCCACACACTAGTTCCTGTGGTGTCAGCATGGCATGGGTAGAGTTTCAGGATGTTTATTTCTCCTCAACAGGGACAACGTTGTATGAAATGCTCTAAATCAGGGGTGTCAAACTCATTTTAGCTCAGGGGCCACATGGAGGAAAATCTATTCCCAAGTGGGCCGGACCGGAAAAATCATGGTATATTTAACTTAAAAACAACAACTTCAGATTGTTTTCTTTGTTTTAATACGATCAACATACAACAAAAAGCTGGAGCCTGAGGACAGTGTGTCCAAAATAGTACAAGCACAACATCACTATTAATCATAAAACACGTCAAGTTTATTTGAAAATTCTAAAGAAAAAGAACACACAAACACACAATGCCTCAGTGATTAACAGAACTGTTTCACAGATCACAGAACTATATCAGGGTGTCATTTCTCAGGCAGAAATGTAGATAAAAATAATGAAATCCTGTTCCCCAAACAAGTGCACGAACCACTGAGTCAAGAATAGGTTAAATATACAAATAAAATAAAATCAATTAAAAACAATAGCACATCAACATAAAAACATATAAACATAAATCTGAAAGCGTTGCTCAAACTCCCGTAACAGTCCCGTTATTTTATCTTTGAACCGCTTCATGTCTGCCACATGTTGGGTCGCGCACACATTTTTCAGACAGGGGAAGTGAGCTGCATCACCACCGGCAAGTTGCGTCTCCCACAATGACAGCTTCAACTTGAAAGAACGTATGCTGTCATAATACTGCGTGACAACTTTGTTGCGCCCTTGCAGCTGTTTGTTCAAGTTATTCAGGTGCTCTGTAACATCCACCATAAATGCAAGGTCCGGCATCCATTCTGCGGAATGAAATTCTAACACTGGTTTGCCCTTTTCTTCCATGAACTGTTCAATTTCTTCTCGTAAATCAAAGAAACGCCTCAGCACAGCACCTCGGCTTAACCATCTTACCTCAGTGTGGTATGGCAGGCCATAGATGTGGTCTTTCTCTCTGAGAAGGCTGTCAAACTGACGGTGATTCAGGCTTCTGGATCGGATTAAATTAACAGTTTGGATGACCACCTTCATGACATTATCCATCTTTAATGACTTGCAACACAAAGCCTCCTGGTGCAAAATACAGTGAAAAGTCAAAAAATCACGTCCTCCATTTGCAGATTGCACTTTCTCTCTGAACTTTGTCACAACGCCTGCTTTTTCCCGATCATTGAGGGCGCACCATCTGTAGCCAGGCTGATAGCGCGGGACCAGTCCACTCCGACCCTGTCCAGCGCGCCGACGAGTGCGGTAAAAATATCAGCTGCTGTTGTTGTATCTGTCATCGGCACCAACTCCACGAACTCCTCGTGACGGTCAATGTGTCATCAACTCCGCGGATGAAAAAATTGCCAGTTGTGCAACATCTGTAATGTCCGTGCTTTCATCAATTGCAACCGAAAACGCAATAAATGACTTTACTTTTTGCTTCAACTGGCTGTCCAAATCCACTGAAAGATTGGAAATCCTGTCTGCAACTGTGTTTCTTGTCAGGCTGATATTTGCAAAAGCCTGCCGCTTTTCAGGGCACACAATCTCCGCTGCCTTCATCATGCATGTTTTTACAAATTCACCCTCACTAAATGGTTTTGAAGCCACTGCGATTTCATTAGCAATGAGGTAGCTAGCTTTCACTGCAGCGTCACTGATGTCTCGGCTGTGAGTAAACACAGACTGCTGTTTCTTCAGACCCGCCAACAGTTCATTCACCTTCTCTCATCTCCGCTGTCCTTGAAAGTTGTCATATTTGTCGGCATGAAGACTCACATAGTGGCGACGAAGGTTATATTCTTTCAGCACTGCAACATGCTCTGAACACACCAAACATACAGCTTTCCCATTCAATTCCGTGATTAAATAGGATGACCATTTTTCTTGGAACACTCTGCACTCTGCGTCCACTTTTCTCTTTTTTGACAGAGACATATTGGGGCAATGAGGGTGCCAAAGCACATAATGTTAAAAGTAGAAGCCGTAATAAATATCGCGGGCAAAACAAAGTAGCTCATTGGCTGCACGTGCTTGACCTACTTGCTCTGCCCCGGTATAAACAGTTTGCTTGCTTAACCCAATTGCTATTGCGCCATCCAGTGGACGCAATTGGAACAGCAGTTTATTTTATTGAAAAATTGCATTTATACTTTACACATTTTTTTCATTTTTTCATTTTTTTTCATTTTTTTATCATCTCGCGGGCCGGATTAAACCCGTTTGCGGGCCTGATCCGGCCCGCGGGCCGTATGTTTGACACCCCTGCTCTAAATGTTCTCTGTCATTCTCTCCCTTTGCCCACCACTAGCCTCCTCGCTCTGCCCACCCCATGGTGCGTTTCACCTGTGTGGACTGTGAGCCCATGGTGATTGACAAGCTGCCCTTTGACAAGTACGAACTGGAGCCCTCACCACTCACCCAGTACATTCTGGAGAGGAAGTCTCCACACATGTGCTGGCAGGTAGGATAAATGCTCCCACACACAACCTCAAGGAGTTATGGTGTTTGTATTTCTAGTGATGCTGTGGGATGTTCTTTGTGCTGAGCCCTCTCGCTCTCTCTCTCTCTCTCTCTCTCTCTTTCTTTCTTTCTTTCTCTGTTTCTCTCTCTCTCTCTCTCTCTCTCTCTCTCTCTCTCTCTCTCTCTCTCTCTCTCTCTCTCTCTCTCTATCTCTCTTGCTCTCTCTCTACCCTCCTCACTGTCTCCCCCCTCTCTCTGTCTCTCTCTTTCTTTCTCTGTTTCTCTTCTCTCTCTCTTTCTCGCTGTCTCCCCCCCTCTCTGTTTCTCTCGCTCTCTCTCGCCTCTCTCTCGCTGTCCCCCCCCTCTCTCTCGCTGTCCACACCCTCTCTCTCACCCCTCTCTCTCGCCCCTCTCTCTCGCTGTCTCTCTCTCTCTGTCTCTCTCTCTCTCTCTCTCTCTCTCTCTCTCTCTCTCTCTCTCGCTGTCTCTTTCCCTGCAGGTGTTTGTGAACAGTAGTGGAAAGCACAGTGACCTAGCCCAGCCCTTTGGCTACCTGAAGGCCAGCACTACTCTCACCTGTGTCAACCTCTTCGTCATGCCTTACAACTACCCAGTTGTTTTGCCACTCCTTGGTAAGTCAGATTGTGGATGTCTTCTATGGGGTGGCAGGTAGCTTAGTGGGGCGACAGGTAGCTTAGTGGTTAAGAGCGTTGTGCCAGTCCCCGAGCCGACTAGGTGAAAAATCTGTCGATGTGCCTTTGAGCAAGGCACTTAATCCTAATTGCTCTGGATAAGAGCGTCTGCTAAATGACTAAAATGTAAAATGTAAAAATGCTGAAGCTGTAACAGTATACAGCCATACATTAGCGACATTTGTGGGGTGTTCTGTTACATGTATTTCAATTACTTTTTAGTATTTTGTCATTTGTGTTTGGAAGGCCTGAGTACATGACTAAAATCACCATGTATTTGGAAGGCCTGAGTACCTTATTAAATCACCATGTATTTGGAAGGCCTGAGTATGTGGTGGAAAATAACCACTATACTTTATTACAAATAAGGTCTTACAGAGTTTTTGTTGCATCAAGAAATGACTTTATTAAAGTTTTCAACAAAGCCGATACCAGTCTGCAGAGTGGCACCCCCCTTACGGTCTCTCTCCTCCTATATAGTCCTCTTCCGTTTTCCCGCTCTTTTATTGCTCTGCCCACTTCCTTTGTCTCTGAGAGCGGCTAAACTCAACTTTCATTAAGTTCAGAGTACTACAATCAATCAAACCTTATCTTGCAAAAACACTCATGTTTAGTTTAAACTCTTTTCAACCCTGGCTCTTTTCACTGTGTTTGAAGACAAAAACAAATGGCCCAAGCCAGTTTCAGTCTTTGATATGATAAGACAACCATGGATCTAAGTAAGAGAAAGCAATCTGACCCTAGGGCAGATCACCCTCTCTACTCACCCAATACAATTCCTGGCCCAGTAACAAAGAATTCTAACTTTATGCTCTTGATTAACCCAGTTCTACCTCATAGTCCATTAAACTCTACAGTTCATTAATAATAATTCACCACAAGTACCTGACTATAATCACTATGAATTTGGAAGGCCTGAGTACCTGACTAAAATCACCATGTATTTGGAAGGCCTGAGTACCTGACTAAAATCACTATGTATTTGGAAGGCCTGAGTACCTGACTAAAATCACAATGTATTTGTAACAACATCTTTCGGAGAATGGTATTTTGTATTTTCAAAATACTCAAAATACTATTAAAAAATATATATTATAGCGCTTCACAATTTTGAGGCCCCATATCACTCCAAATGTGCTGCATTGGTATCAGAAATCATATGTCACTATCGTGTGAGGCCTTGAGAGGTGTTGGTGGAGGAGGAGCCTGAGAGAACGTTGAAGCACAGGGATACACTTCCAGAGCGAGGATAATGCCGTGAATATGGTCCAAAAGGTGGAAGTGAACTCAATGTTTTATGTTATTGCCATACTGTCACTACACTCACTGTCATTTGGGAAGTGAGTCATGTACCTCAACTTTATTTCAAACCCCTTTATGCCCTCATCTGCACCTCTGATTACATCATACTCATGGTATGGCATGGTATCTCATTTCTGACACCAATGCAGTGTATTTTGAGTAATAGGGGCCACAAAGCTCTGAAGACTAACAATATATGAACTGGGCTATTGGTACTATTCATAGCGTGTAAGCCGAGGGTCACAGGTTGTTTCATAACTTATTTAAGGCTGCTACGTGCAAATGTATGTAATTCAATTAAATAAATAAAAAATACCAATTTTTTGGTCGATTATTTTGATACATTGGTCTTTAGGGTATTTTGTAACAAGCTACTTTTTGATTGGCGATCTCTGGGATGATTATGCTTCTCTCATGTCTTTCTCCTCCCAACCCCCAACCCTGCTGTCTTCACAGATGACCTGTTCAAAGTGCACAAACTGAAGCCAAACCTAAAGTGGCGGCAGGCCTTTGAGATCTACCTGAAGACCATGCCTCCTTACTTTCTCTTGGTAATGTACTGTTCTTGGTCAATGTCATATATGTAAATATATATTTGTATCCATATGTGCTATATGTATTTCATGTTTGTTTGATGGTGATGCCCTTTCTCTATGGGCTCTCTCTGTCTTTCCATACAGCCATTGAAGAAGGCACTGAGAATGATGGGAGCGCCCAACCTCATCTCCGACAACATGGACTGTGGCCTCAGCTACAGTGTCATCTCCTACCTAAAGAAGCTTAGCCAGCAGGTGGGGCTTCCCTTCACCTGGGCTGCATCCCAAATGTTACCCTATTCTCTATGTAGTGCACTACTTTGACCAGGGCCCAAAGTAGTACACTATGTAGGGAATAGGGTGCAATTTGGGACACACACAGCTAGACTTAGTATATATCAATAGCTTTCAAAGTTTGTACAACGTGATACGTATTTAACTTACAAGGGTTACTTAAGTAGATCTGAATACACTTTAGGAGTACACCCAGCTGGTGTGAATGAGTGAATAAAGAACCTGTCTTTGTCTCGTTCTCTGTCTGCAGGCGAAGATGGAGTCGGATCGCCTGATCGTGTCTGTAGGGAAGAAGGCTCCCCAGGAGACTGGTATAAAGGTGAAGAACCACTCCAACACCCTGTCCCTGGCCCACCGCAAAGACTTCAAGCAGCTGCTGCAGGGCATCACCGGAGAGATGTCCCTCCGCCTCGCAGACATCAACTTCAAGGAGTTTGCCGGTTTTCAGATTGCACTGCTCAACAAGGTACAGGACCGGCAGGGTCAAACTCTGGGATGCCTGAGGGGATAGCTGTGTCCCAAATGGTACCCTATGCCATATATAGTGCACTACTTTTGACCAGAGCCCAGGGAATAGGGTTCCATTTGGGACGCAGATGATGTTTCTAGATTGATGTGCCAGACAGGGTTGAAGAAAGGGTTTCTGTATCTCACTACTTCCTATCTCCTCAGGATCTAAAGCCTCAGGCGTATCGGAACGCCTATGACATCCCCAGGCGGAACCTTCTGGATCAGCTGACACGGATGCGCTCCAACCTTCTGAGGACTACTCAGAAACTCATCAGAGGACAAGATGAAGGTAGGCAGGCTTGAAAGCTGCTTAACCCCCAAGCTAAGTTACATAACAAAAAAATCCCCATCAAAATGTAAATCGTCTTTCCCCTGTAGCTCAGTTGGTAGAGCATGGTGCTTGCAACGCCAGGGTTGTGGGTTCGTTTCCCAAAGTATGGAAAATGTATGCACTCACTAACTGTAAGTCGCTCTGGATAGGAGCGTCTGCTAAATGACAAAAATGTAATGTAAATGTAAAATCTGTCAGTTTAAGCTAGAGATATCTGTTTTTTTGCATTGGCTGCTTCTCAATCCACCACATCCGCCTGCCAGTGTCGCACCGCATCTGCGGTGAAAGGTGACAGAGCTAGAGCGGTGTTTGTCAGACCATGAGACATCCAGAAAATCGGTCTTCTCACGTAAACGTCTGTAGTGTCCGAACGGTTTGACCTATAAACCGGTACAGTTTTTTAAAAAAAACGAATGGAAGTATGAAAGTAGTTTTGTGCCTACCCCAAAAAAGGGGTTAAATATGTGTAAAAAAGATATACAGTGCCTTCCAAAAGTATTCAGACCCCTTGACTTTTTCCACATTTTGTTACGTTACTGCCTTATTCTAAAATTGATAAAATTGTTTGTTTTTCTCATCAATCTACACACAATACCCCATAATGACAAAGCAAAAACAAGTTTAGACATTTTTGCAAATGTATTAAAAATTAAAACTGAAATAACACATTTACATAAGTATTCAGACCCTTTACTCAGTACTTTGTTGAAGAACCTTTGGCAGGAACTACAGCCTCTTCTTGGGTATGATGCTACAAGCTAGGGACACCTGTATTTGGGGAGTTTCTCCCATTCTTCTCTGCAGATCCTCTCAAGCTCTGTCAGGTTGGATGGGGAGCGTCGCTGCACAGCTATTTTCAGGTCTCTCCAGAGATGTTCATCTTTGCCTCGATCCTGACTAGTCTCCCAGTCCCTGCCACTGAAAAACATCCCCACAGCATGATGCTGCCACCACCATGCTTCACCGTAGGGATGGTGCCAAGTTTCCTCCAGACGTGACGCTTGGCATCCAGGCCAAAGAGTTCGATCTTGGTTTCATCAGACCAGAGAATCTTGTTTCTCATGGTCTGAGAGTCTTTAGGTGCCTTTTGGCAAACTCCAAGCGGGCTGTCATGTGCCTTTTACTGAGGAGTGACTTCCGTCTGGCCACTCTACCATAAAGGCCTGATTGGTGGAGTGCTGCAGAGATGGTTGTCCTTCTGGAAGGTTCTCCCATCTCCACAGAGGAACTCTAGACCTCTGTCAGAGTGACCATCAGGTTCTTGGTCACCTCCCTGACCAAGGCCCTTCCCCCCCGATTGCTCAGTTTGTCCGGGCGGCCAGCTCTAGGAAGAGTCTTGGTGGTTCCAAACTTCTTCCATTTAAGAATGATGGAGGCCACAGTGTTCTTGGGGACCTTCAATGCTGCAGAAATGTTTTGGTACCCTCCCCCAGATCTGTGCCTCGACACAATCCTGTCTCGGAGCTCTACGGACAATTCCTTCAACCTCATGGCTTGGTTTTTGCTGTGACATGCACTGTCAACTGTGGGAACTTTTATAGACAGTTGTGTGCCTTTCCAAATCATGTCCAAACAATTTAATCTACCACAGGTGGACTTCAATCAAGTTGTAGAAACATCTCAAGGATGATCAATGGAAACAGGATGCACCTGAGCTCAATTTTGAGTCTCATAGCAAACGGTCTGAATACTTATGTAAATAAGGTATTTCTGTTTTTTATTTTTATACATTTGCAAAAATTTCTAAAAACCTTTATTTTTATTTTTGTGGGGGTGGGGTAGGGGGGGGGGGGGTAGAAGGATTACTTTTATACTATCCCAGGTATTCCTTAAAGAGGTAGGGTTTCAAGTGTCTCCGGAAGGTGGTCAGTGACTCCGCTGTCCTGGCGTCGTGAGCTTTATGTCAGCTTAATGCCCCCCCCCCCCCCCCCCCCCCAACGGCTTAGACTCTAAAGAATTAATCATCATTTAGATTATTCTTGTCAGTCTATTGACTACAGTATAAGAAGATTATGTAAGAAGTGGAAAAATGTCACATGAACTGTTGATACTAGCCATCCTAAGAATGTATTTAAATGTGATGAATACAACAGTGGGCTTATGCTGATTTAAATTAAATGAATTTGCTTTGACATTGACTATGTGCTGGTTGTTAGACTACCTTCACAGTATACCAATGGTTCAGATGGGCAACTATCAGGAGTATCTAAAGATGATGCCGTCTCCTCTGAGAGAGATCGACCCTGACCAACCCAAACGCCTGCACACCTTCGGCAACCCCTTCAAACAGGACAAGAAGGTACAAATATACACACACACACACAAACACACAAACACACACACACGGCAGAGATCAGCAAAAACAACAGTGATAATAGTATGACATCATCATTATTGTTTGCAAGTCTTTTACCTACAACCACTTGGTTTCTTTTTTCCTGATCCAAGGGGATGATGATTGATGAGGCAGATGAGTTTGTAACTGGTCCCCAAAGCAAGAAGAGAGGCGTTACGGGGGACCCCACCTCGGGGGCTGCTCTGAAGAGAAGGCGGAGCATGTCCCCTTTATTGCGTCGGCCCCAGACTCCACCAATCATCACCAACCATGTAGTGGGGAAGGGGCCCATTGGGAATGGGGCCCAGGGCCAGCCTGGTCTCATCAAGCCCATCCCACTGCACAAAGGTAGGGGTGCATTGCTGAGGCTTTGGACCTGACTGTCTCTCTGACGCTGACTGACTGGATCCCTCCGAGACCATCAATGCTTCCTCTGCTCTCGATACCATCTGAACTGCTTCGACTCCCAGAGAAATGACCTTCCATCCTGACTGACACTTAAACATTTGTTTTTGTTTAAATACTTTTTTAATGATATGTTTAATGCTCATGGATTTCAGTTTGTATTGACTGCTATATGAGTGTAATAAAACGTTAACTGGACACATACAGAATGAAAATGGAAGATCTCAGTCTACTGAAAGTGTTAAATAGTGCTCATAAAAATGTACATGCAGACATAATACTTTAACCTCAATATAGAATGGATCTTAATTTAAAACATTTTCCCTGTTGTTGGTGTTCATCATCTTGATAATGTCATGAAATGTGCTCTTCTGCCCCCCACAGGAGCAGAGGGGAACAGTGTGCTGGGCAGAGAGAGTAACGGGGAGGGGGGTGTGGGGCCTGAATCAGGGGATGGCTGGCCTGGAGGGGTGGTGGACGGTGTGGGAGGGGGCACAAATGCACTCATCCTGGAGGAGAGAGAGCGGGAGAGGCCTGGGATGTGTGCAGGGGACAGCAGGGAGGACAGTGGCGTGGAGGAGGACAGGTTAGGGGAGGGCGGCCTGGATGAGCGGCCCTCCTCAGAGAGACAGCAGCAAAACTGTGAGGGGGACCAGGAGGGAGAGCTGGAGGGAGAGCTGGAGGGAGAGGAAAATGGAGCAGACCAAGCTGAGCCCCAGGCGGTCACCATAGCCCCACTAGATGGCAGCAATGCTGAGCTGCGCACACGGGTCATCAAGGAGGTCCGCAAACCAGGCCGCAGTGAGTAGTGATACACATACTACTGTCCCAACTCTGTAGTGTGCAGTGCATTTCTATCCAGATTACACTTAGAAGAGTACTGAGCCATGTCCCAAACAGCATCCTATTCCCGTTATAGTGTAGGGCTCTGGACAAAACTAGAGAAGTCCCTTATCTTCCATCTGCTGGACCACCTCCACTGACCCCCGACTGTGCCTGTGCTTGTTCCCAGACTATGAGACCATATTCAGGCTGCTGGAGGAGGTGAAGGGGTCTGTGACAGTCCAGAGGTACTTCATCCATCACGCGATCAAGGAGGCTGCCAGGTGAGACCCACTGTCTGTCTGTCTGTCTGTCTGTCCACACCAGACTACCCACAGTACAGACTGATCACCGTCTGTCTGTCCACACCAAACTACCCACAGTACAGACCGACCCACCGTATGTCCACATCAGACCACCCACAGTACAGACTGACCCACCGTCTGTCTGTCCACACCAACCACAATACAGACTGACCCACCGTCTGTCTGTCCACACCAGACTACCCACAGTACAGACTGACCCACCATCTGTCTGTCTGTCCACACCAGACTACCCACAGTACAGACTGACCCACCTTCTGTCTGTCTTTCCACACCAGACTACCCACAGTACAGACTGACCCACCTTCTGTCTGTCTTTCCACACCAGACTACCCACAGTACAGACTGACCCACCTTCTGTCTGTCTTTCCACACCAGACTACCCACAGTACAGACTGACCCACCTTCTGTCTGTCTTTCCACACCAGACTACCCACAGTACAGACTGACCCACCTTCTGTCTGTCTTTCCACACCAGACTACCCACAGTACAGACTGACCCACCTTCTGTCTGTCTTTCCACACCAGACTACCCACAGTACAGACTGAGAACAATGAAAACAACACAGAAGTAACTAAGCTCAACTGTGTAGGAGAATATCGCTGTAATTTTGCTTTCATCATTCATTCATTATATAAATTTTTAGCAAGGGTGGTTACATCAGTCGGTGTGATATTTGGAAATTGGCAGTATCCAACTAAAGATACGGAAACTGTTCTTAATTTAAAAGTATAGTAATTCTTAATTTGAAAGCATGGTGATTTTCTTTTGAAAGCATAGTAACCTACTTAGTTCACTGCTGTTACCCAATGCAGTTGCAAACCTCATGCCCTCTGTTTCCTTCCATTTTTCCTCTGTTCTTATTTCTTTCTATTCCTCTTCCCCCCCTATCTCTCTCTCTCTCTCTTTCTCTCTCTCTCTCGCTCTCATTCTCCTCTACTCCCAGGTTTAAGAAGCGGGTGCTGATCCAGCAGTTGGAGACAGCTCTGGAGTTGATTGAGGAGAAGGAGCTGCAGCTCCCTGCTGTCCGCCTCAACAACGACCACGGTAGATAGTGAAGAAGTGGCCTGCAGGGGTCCCTGCTCAGAAACACAAAGACATGGACAGGAACCGGGTACTCTCCTTCACAAGACATGGACAGGAACCGGGTACTCTCCTTCACAAGACATGGACAGGAACCGGGTACTCTCCTTCACAAGACATGGACAGGAACCGGGTACTCTCCTTCACAAGACATGGACAGGAACCGGGTACTCTCCTTCACAAGACATGGACAGGAACCGGGTACTCTCCTTCACAAGACATGGACAGGAACCGGGTACTCTCCTTCACAAGACATTACTTACACATGATCAAACAACACCCCATAGGATGGAACGTTTGGTGTTGAATGGAGAGAAATAAGGAGGCAATAGAAGAGAAGACAGAGGGCTGAGGTCCCTCCCTATCTATGTGCTGTGACATTGTGCCTCAACTGCACTCACACATGGAGATGGAAGGGTCAGGGGTTATAATTCGGGAGGGAGAAGGAGGGTTGTGCCAGTGCCAGACCAATGTGGGGATGAGTTAAGAGACTCTGGATGTAATCCACTCCATTAGTGACTGATGCCATTGCTGACCATATGGCCAAGTCAGTCTGTCCACAGACATTGATTCATTCACACACACACCATAGACCTAGATAGAAATCGCATCATTGTATCTGTCCCATTATGCCGTCTGTGAGAGCACGGGTAGCACCATTGAGGCCATCTCCATTTTGAAAGTAGTTGATTTTCTTCTACTATTTCTATGAGTTGGCAAACAAACTGAAATGGTGCATACTGCCACCTATAGTGTGTTGTTTAGACAGGTATAAAGCCAAGGTTTTGCTCACAAGTATAATTATTTGGCTTGTCCCTTCATGTGATCCATCCTTAACCCATAGGAAGTCCCACCCAGTTGACTACTTCAAAATGGCGCTGCCCATGCTAAAACTTGCTTTTGAGCCACTAGTTCTCTATCTATCTCTATGACACACACACACACACACACCTTTTGAATTAGGTATTGCACACACTGTAGTGCAGTTCTGATTAGTCACTATAGGACAGGAAGGATTTTTCATGTGAGGCATGTAATAATGGAACTCTTATTACAGCAATTTTACATGTAGTGTAATTACTAGTAATACTGGTAATGACTATTGACAATACAGCTGTAGGACAACTGTGCTCACATTACAGTTCAGAGCAATAAGGATATCTGCCAACTGATCAGAAGGTTTAACATTAGCCTATTTATGTGTGGCCTAAAAAAATACATTTGATGTAAGAAACACACTGTGTACTGACTACATAGGCGTTGTGGCTCACATGAGAAGTCTGATCTACCTCAAGTCTTCTAGGTGTTGGAGTGTTGTGGGTATTTTGTGTTGCATGGGCCTGCAGGACAATAATACAATGTCAAATCAGATACTGACCTAAGATGCCCTCCATGGATCAACTGTCCCAGCATGGGAGCTGTCTTCAAAGCAATAGCACTCTTCATGTAGGTTATGTTCAGTAACATGTGTGGACTTGGTGCAGTAAAACATTGGTGCAGTCATTGAGAGGACGCCAGCTGTTGGGGTCCATCTTGAGGGTCTGGACTGGAGCCTGGCCTGCTGTCCCCTCCCTCCTTCCCTGGAGCCTCGCTCCCTCCCTCCCACCCTCCCTCCCTCCCCCCCCAGCCTGCCTACGTCTCCTCCCTCCCTCCTGGCTGGAGCCTGGCCTACTGTCTCCCTCCCTGACCGCTCCTCTCCCTCCCCCCTGGCTGGAGCCTGGCCTACTGTCTTCACTCCCTGGCTCCCTCCCTCCCTCGGGCCTGGCCCTGTCCCCCTCCCTGGAGCCTCGCTCCCTCCCTCCCCCCCCCTCCCTCCCTGGAGCCTGGTCTACTGTCTTCACTCCTCCCTCCCTCCCTGGAGCTCGCTCCCCCCTACTCCCTGGAGCCCGCCTCCCTCCCCCTCCCCCCTCCCTCCCTGGAGCCTGCTCCCCTCATCCCCCCCCCTCCTGGAGCCTCCTCTCCCTCCCTCCCTCCCCCCCTCCCTGGAGCCTGGCCTACTGTCTTCACTCCCTCCCTCCCTCCCCTGGACTGGAGCCTTCCTCTCGTCTTCCGCTCCTCCCTCCTGACTGGAGGCCTGGCATCCTGTCTTCTCTCCTCCTTCTTGGGACTGGAGCCTGGCCTGCTGTCTTCTCTCCCTCCCTCCCTGGACTGGAGCCTGGCCTGCTGTCTTCTCTCCCTCCCTCCCTGGACTGGAGCCTGGCCTGCTGTCTTCTCTCCCTCCTCCCTGGACTGGAGCCTGGCCTGCTGTCTTCGCTCCTTCCATCCCTGGACTGGAGCCGGGGCCCTGCTGTCTTCGCTCCTTCCCTCCCTGGACTGGAGCCTGGCCTGCTGTCTTCGCTCCTTCCCTCCCTGGACTGGAGCCTGGCCTGCTGTCTTCTCTCCCTCCCTCCCTGGACTGGAGCCTGACCTACTGTCTCCCCCCCCCCCTCCCATCCCGCCCTCCCTGGACTGGAGTCTCCGCTCCCTCTCTCCCTCCCTCCTCCTCAGCACTCTAGTGCACTATATAGGGTGCCATTTGGGACGTGCACCGAGTGTCACAGTCTCCCCATTGATTCTCCCCTGGAAGAACTGTGTGGTCAACCAAAATCTCTGCTCCACGTTCGTCAGTCATCTGTTCCTGGACTAGCACAGCTGGGGAATAACCAACCTTCTGCATTTCAGAGAACAAACACAAGCTACCCATTTTTCTTTTGTCCCCCCCCCCCTCAAGTTTCTTTTTAAAATGAAAGATTGTATTTTATTGTTCATAAATCTAAACTATTTTTGGATAGTGTTCATACCAGAACATAAAAAAAGAGAATATTTTGAAAGTAAAAGTTGTATAAAGGCCATTTTGTTAACTGTTATATATAAAATTGAAAATGTACAATTCTTTTTTAAATAAACAAAAAATAAAAGAAACAAATTACAAAATGTACTATGAAGTGCATTATTAAATATGTTGTGCACTAAGTCAAATTGTGTCATGTCCAATTGCTTGTTGAAAATGTCAAATGAGAAAGCAGTCTAACTGTAGCCCACTGTTTTTTTGTGGAATATACTACAAGTTTATATATACAAGCTCGGTCATCTGGGTTATCGGTCATCTGGGTTATCGGTCATCTGGGTTATCATTGAGCTTTCAGTCTGGAAAGTATCTGATCATGTCAATGTCCCAAACGGCACCCTTTTTGTCAAGGGACCATACGGCTCTGGTCCAAAGTATTGCACTATATAGGGAATATGGTGCCATTTGGGACGTACATGTATTACAGCCTTGACTGATACCCTGATGTATCAATCTGTAATCTAACTACTGCATCCTGACCCACAGATATACATTACATGACCAAAAGTATGTGGGCACCTGCTCGTCAAACATCTCATTCCAAAATCATATGGAGTTGGTCCCCCCTTTGCTGCTATGACAGCCTCCGCTCTTCTGGGAAGGCTTTCCACTAGATGTTGGAACATTGCTGCGGGGATTTGCTTCCATTCAGCCACAAGAGCATTAGTGAGGTCGGGCACTGATGTTGGGCGATTAAACTTGGCTCGCAGTTGGCGTTCCAATTCATCCCAAAGGTGTTCGATGGGGTTGAGGTCAGGGCTCTGTGCAGGCCAGTCAAATGCACGGGGGCATTGTCATGCTGAAACAGGAAAGGGCCTTGCCCAAACTGTTGCCACAAAGTTGGAAGCACAGAATCGTCTAATGTCATTTCCCTTCACTGGAACTAAGGAGCCTGAACCATGAAAAACAGCCCCAGACCATTATTCCTCCTCCACCTAACTTTACAGTTAGCACTATGCATTGGGGCAGGTAGCGTTCTCCTGGCATCCGCCAAACCCAGATTCATCCATCGACTGCCAGATGGTGAAGCGTGATTCATCACTTCAGAGAATGCGTTTCCACTGCTCCAGAGTCCAATGGCGGCGGGCTTTACACAGCTCCAGCCGACGCGTGGCATAGGCTTGTGTGCGGCTGGTCGGCCATGGAAACCCATTTCATGAAGCTCCCGACGCACAGTTATTGTGCTGACGCTGCTTCCAGAGGCAGTTTGGAACTCTGTAGTGGTCCCATTTCATTGTATTTCGCGCTTCAGCACTCGGTGGTCCCGTTCTGTGACCTACCACTTCTCGGCTGAGCCGTTGTTGCTCATAGATGTTTCCACTTCACAATAACAGCACTTAACAGATGACCAGAGCAGCTCTAGCAGGGCAGAAATTTGACAAACTGACTTGTTGGAAAGGTGGCATCCAATGATGGTGCCACGTTGAAAGTCACTGAGCTCTTCAGTAAGGGCATTCTACTGCCAATGTGTGTCAATGGAGATTGCATGGCTGTGTGCTCGATTTTATACACCTGTCAGCAACAGGTGTGGCTGAAATAGCCAAATCCACTAATTTGAAGGGGTGTCCACATACTTTTGTACATATACTGTAGTGCATCTGCGAGACATTAAATGCATTTGGTTACCTTTGACCAATTCATTCAGAAATAAATTGCATCAAAAGAACATGCAGCCTGACATTGGTAAAATCTCAGTATGATTTTATTAAGTTAAAAACAGTTAGTCAATCTTAACTAAAATGTCAAATGAAGAAAAAAGACATTGCCCCCCCCCCAAAAAAAATGTACCATTAGTCTCTAGTTAGTGTTCATAGTATCATTAGCATTTCTGTAACTGCCTTACTCTGCTTTCCATGCGGCACCCTTCAGGCTTGACGTTTGTGACTCCAACGACCGTAATAACTCTTTATTGCATACAGAATAAACTCCAAAGCCTCATTTCAAACTCCAGGAGATCAGGGGTGTAATCATTTAAACAAGTTTGTTTCAAATGGACAAATTCAGATCAGTCCCTCCTCGTTTAGTTTGCTTCCGTTTAAGAAATGTTTTGCAACAGATCGGCATAATGAATATACCCCTGGTCATTAATTCTCTAACAGAAGTGAAGGCTTTTTACTCCATAAAACAAATCTCATATCTGCAGATAAAACATTAAATAAATAGTTCCAGACAGCTGCTCATGATAGACATGTGGCAAACGAAACATAAAACGTTCTATTATGCCCCTTGTCCAACAAAGGGGAACATTTCCCCCATGCTGTTAGGAAGGGGTAGGGGAAGAGGTGGCAAATCCTTAAGACTCCTAAGCAATAACAATTATATACAAACAAATCTGCCTGAAAAACAGAGGGGTTGGTTGGCACAGTCAGGAGTTATATATGGTAACCACATTTATGGAAAGATATGCAAATTTGTACAGCATATTCATATATGTACAAAGACAAATTAAAGTGGGAGAAATTACTTTTCCCTCCATCTAACCAATAAGCTAATCTGCACAGAAATAAAGATGTGGGGAGAGAAGGACCAGTCTCAGTGCAAATGCTCCAGTTTGCGTAGCCGCAGGGGGTTGGGCAGGGCCTGTGGGTTCGGGACGGCGGAAGCCTCTGGGTCGGGGGAGCAGAAGAGCACCCTACCCCGATGATTGAACATGTAGAAAGATGGGTGGTTCCTCAATGTGTCAAATGTCCTGAAAAAACAGGAAGAGGGCAGTGAGTCAAGTTTAAACTATACTCATGTTTTCAGTGAGATGGGTCAATAAAAATATAGGGCTATCCATATAGGCAAGTCTATAACTGATATGAAATGGAGGCTTACTTGTTTTTCAGCTCTGAGGAGGCATCCATTTCTTTAAACTCTCCAGCGATGTGGACTATACCATAAATGGTCAGAACAAACGCTAACAAAGTCTGTAAGACAATCTGCAAAATAAAATGAAAACAATATAGCATTAGCTATACTTTTCTTTTGAAATATTTGTCAAGTATGTTTAGTCAAACAGAACAATGAATACAATAGATAAAATATCAAATAATATAATAAAGAATAGAATGCAACTAGCTATAACAGTATTAAATAACTTACATCTACTGGTAGGTTTTCATTTTCTTTTTCTGTCAGACGCATGTAGGATCGATCTGGTGGTAGAAGAGAATAACATTATCACACTGGAAGCAATGTGGCTACAGTTGAGACCAAAACAAGTGGGTAGCCCCTTTGCTTCCATAGCAGGGGTGTACTCACTCCGCCGATTCTGTTGCAAAACGTTCATTAAACTGAAGAAAACGGAACGAAACGGGGAGAGACCTACCTGAATTTGTCAAATAGTTTTAGTTGTAAAACGGAACTGTTTGGACTAATGATTACACCCAGCAGATGTTGCAAGTTAATTTGCATTACTGTTAAATAGTACTTGGGATTTTGGAGCATAGCTTCCTAGTTTTTATTTTAGCGAAAGCTAAGTTAGTAAGTAAAAAAATTAATACATTTTATGCGAACATTGTATTAACATATCGCGTTGGCAAGCAGACATTGACTGATCCACAAACAATAATGAGTATTTATTTATGATACAAAGTGATTTGTAGATCAGGCAGCAGTCGCCTGCACCGCCGGCTGCAATGTCGAAAAAGCCCATTGTTAGTAATTGTAGCTGCTTGCAGTGACAATAATATGATATGCTAAATAGCTAGCTAACTAAATAGTTAGTTAGTAGTTAGATATGTCTGGCGTATTAATTCATTTTCATTGCTTGCTAAACAGTTTTGGCTGATGTGGAATGGAAATTAGCTAGCTAGCTCGCGCTAGTTTTGACAGGCCGCAGTTCACTGCATGGCTGATATCTATGGGGATTTTGATCTAAACAGCAAAATAAAAGCTCAGATATGTTTATCTTCTTTTTTGATATCGTACTTACGTTGCGCCGCTGAGAAAGCTGCATGAGCCAAGGCAAATAGACCAACACATACAACACCTTTCCAAAAAGACGAAGCCATCTTCTAGAGGAGAGAATTAAAATGAACAGTGTCGCTACAAAATGTCGTAAGCGATGAAAATGAACCCGGAAGTGGGATATTGACGTCTTCTAATGTGGATTTTTTTAAATGGCTGTTGGCAACCAACTTTAAGGTGCATTACCGCCACCAACTGGACTGGAGTGAGGACCAGAGACGGAAGGTCTAAACCTACCCATTATTCTCATCTCCCTAAGGAAACTAAATACATAATTAAATACTACATCCCCTGATAATTTCCCCAGCAGGATATCTCGTCAAAGATTGTCTATTATATTGACAAGATAGTCAAGTGCCCGCTCTAACAATGGAGTTGCCGAAATGCCACGTGGGTTTACTTATACCAGTGCATTCGTAACAACCTAACCATTACGAAACTTGTTTTTGATCAAATAAGCCTCACGTAGAAAATAAGCAATTCCATTTTTTTGTTGACCAAATTCAACACTTTCTCATTGACCTCCATACAAAAATCCTTCACTTCGTGGGTTTATTTTCGTTGATAGATGTTGGGCAGAGTAAAATCTCTACCGTTCGCCTCTTCCGCTCTGACCTCATGGATTATGAAATTAAAAGCCTTTTTAGTCAATTCCAGAGCACACATTGAATATATGTTTGATTTAGGATCGAATTATGCTACCCTCACTTCATATCAGCTTTGTTTCCTTTACGGTTTTCAAACGAGGACTTTTATTCTAAAGTTTCTTTAAAAATTCTAACCCGGAAGTAGTTACTTTATTCTCCAAAAATGGGTTGTTCCACTGCTAACCCAATCACAAAGAAGAAGGAGGAGGAGAAGGGTTGTTTGTTTGAAAAAGTGATGTTAGGATATATAAATGATCATGTACGAGCTTTTGTGCCAAATACATTACATTGTTACAGGTGTCAAGCTTATGGACATGTGGCAGCAGTGTGTAGGAGGGAGGATCCTAGGTGTGAGAAGTGTGCAGAAGGGCAGGAGACAAAGGAATGTGTAGCATTGGGGAAAGTAGTGGTATATGTTAATTGTAGGAGTGGGGTGCCCATGGGGCTGGGGATCAACCTGCGAGAAAGTCAGGTTGAGGTTTCCAGGGTTAGAGTAGTGCAGAAGTTGTCTTATGCTGAGGCAGTGAAGAAAGTAGAGGAAGATGGGTTAAGGTGGAGAGATCCTGAGAGGAGTGGTGTGAGTAGTAGATCTGTACCAGTACAGAAGGATAGTGATATATGCTTCAGAAAGATAGGATGTTTAGCATTTATAGCAATGGTTATCAACTGTACTGCAGGGATGGAACGTAAGTCGCAGAAAATTGAGGTTGTGGTGGCAGCTGCAGAGAGGTATTTGGGTGTATGAGACTTGACATCAGAAGAGTTACAGGGTGTGTTGAGTGGTGGTGTCTAGTCCTTTCAGGCTGTTGGCCTGAGGTAGGACTAGATAGATTTAAACAGTGGAGTAGGGTGATGGGTTTTTAGTGAGTGTACGGTTAGATGGTAGGGTATTTGTTGATGTATTTATATTTTCAAAAGAAAAGTATAAGGGACTTATACTCCAGTCTAGTAGGTGGCGGTAATGCATTTATTGGACCGCCGTTAAATCTCATCGAAGAAGAAGTAGGGTTGTTCCGAGCTAGACACGATATTATTTCTGCTTCTGCCAGATATAGGGAACTGATTTTGTTTCAGTTTATAATAAACAAAGGCTTGATAAGTAAACACCGTAGAAATGGCAGAGGCGATTCAGAAGAAATTACAATCGGAGCTTGAAAAATACCAGCAGATGCAAAAAGGTATGTAGCTAACGTTAGCTCGCTAACTAGCTAGCTTGCTAGTTAACGTTAGCTATAGCTATAATGTTACATGCATGGTCAATCTTTGCTGGCATGGTCATTTCTTGTTACCTCAGCAGCTAACTAGCAAGTTACATTTATCTTGTTATACTGTAACAGCTAGTTATTAGGTAAAGTAACAAGTAACTTGCTAAATGTGCATTATTGTTGACATCTAACGTTAGACAACTGCCCTTTGCCAGCTGATCTTCCATACCCATTTCAAGCTTATCTTTATAAAAACTAAAAAGTTGTTTCAGAATATTCAGGAGTGTTAGCTGGCTAACACCTTGAACCTGCTTTGTAGTATACCCCTCTGATCTTCCATCCCAATAATAGGTCGTCGTAAGATCCATAGTTTGTACAGTTGGCTACACCCTATACAGCACACCCTATATTGCATACTATTACCATAAACATGGATATTAGCTATGTTCCATATACATCACTATCACTTGTCCTCGTGTACCCAAAGTTGTAATTGTTCACATGTGGATGTCAAGACCCACACTGATTTGCTAACGTTGCTTTTATTCCCTGTAGATGTTAGTAAGAGCATGTCAGCCAGGCAGAAACTGGAGGCTCAGGTGACAGAGAATAATATAGTCAAAGAGGTGAGTACACATCTCTATCCTTCTACTGTGGCGTTGAGATTTCACAATGGATGTTCAGTCAAGTATGAATGAATCCCAGTATATTTTCCATTGCTGATACACTTCATTTCCATCTTTCAGGAGTTGGACTTGTTGGACACCCAGAACACAGTTTACAAGCTTATAGGTCCAGTTCTGGTGAAGCAAGACTTGGAGGAAGCCAAAGCCACTGTGGCAAAGAGGCTAGAATACATAAATGGGGAGATGTGAGTCTGAAAGATAATGTGTATTCATTTTAATAACTGCATAACGTTTGCGAAATAACAACAGTTTATCGCCCAAAGTATAAAGTATCTCGTCCAGAGGTGTAACACATTTTTCTGTCTGTTTTGGGCTGTAGTCAAAGATACGAGACTCTACTAAAGGACATGGAGAAGAAGTCTGATCAGCACCGTGAGGTCCTGTCTAGTCTGCAGCAAGAATACCAGAGGGCTCAGGGCCTGGCTGTGGGCAAGGCCTGACCAGCAGGTGGCATGGACGCACACACACACACGCACACACACTGGGAGAAAGAAAAGCACTGAATCCAGCCGCAGAGCTTTGCTACTCACCCAACAATATTGCCATAAATCCAATGACTTATTGTCCTTTGTACTTATTGTATGCAGCTGTGCTGGGTGTTAGTGTGACTTCTGTTGCTGTTATTATTATAAATAAATGGTTTTTCTTTATTTGTGATTAAATGCTTTGTTGTCCACCTTTTTCCTGGTCACTAGTAAAATACAGTGCATGTTCTAGACCAGGGTTGCCCAACCCTGTTCCTGGAGAGCTACCCTCCTGTAGGTTTTCGCTCCAACCCCAGGTGTTACTAACCTGATTCATCCTATCAACCTGCTAATTATTAGAATTAGGTGTGCTAGATTAGGGTTGGAGCAAAAACCTACAGGACGGTAGCTCTCCAGGAACAGGGTTGGGCAGTCCTGTTCTAGACATTATTTGGAACATACAGTACCAGTCAAAAGATTAGACACACCTACTCCTTCAAAGGTTTTTCTTTATTTTTACAATTTTTTACATTGTAGAATAATAGTGAAGACATCAAAACTATGAAATAACACATGGAATCATGTAGTAACCAAACAAGTGTTAAATCTAAATATATTTGAGGTTCTTCAAATAGCCATCCTTTGCCGTGATGACAGCTTTGCACACTCATGGCATTCTCTCAACCAGCTTCACCTGGAATGCTTTTCCAACAGTCTTGAAGGAGTTCCCACGTATGCTGAGCACTTGTTGGCTGCTTTTCCTTCACTCTGCTGTCCGACTCATCCCAAACCATCTCAGTTGGGTTGAGGTCGGGGGATTGTGGAGGCCAGGTCATCTGATGCAGCACTCCATCACTCTCTTTCTTGGTAAAATAGCCCTTACACAGCCTGGAAGTGTGTTGGGTCTTCGGCCTGTTGAAAAACAAAGGATAGTGCCACTAAGCCCAAACCAGATGGGATGGTGTATCGCTGTGGTAGCCTTGCTGGTTAAGTGTGCCTTGAATTCTAAATAAATCAGACAGTGTCACCAGCAAAGCACCCCCACACCATAACACCTCCTCCTCCATGCTTTACGGTGGGAACTATACATGCAGAGATAATCCATTCACCCACACCGCGTCTCACAAAGACATGGCGGTTTGAACCAAAAATCTCAAATTTGGACTCCAGACCAAAGGACAATTTTCCACCGGTCTAATGTCCATTGCTCGTGTTTCTTGGCCCAAGTAGGTCTCTTCTTCTTATTGGTGTCCTTTAGTGGTGGTTTCTTTGCTGAAATTTCGACCATGAAGGCCTGATTCACACAGTCCCTTCTGAACAGTTGATGTTGAGATGTGTCTGTTACTTGAACTCTGGGAAGAATTTATTTGGGCTGCAATTTCGGAGGTTGGTAACTCTAATGAACTTATCCTCTGCAGCAGAGGTAACTCTGGGTCTTCCATTTCTGTGGCGGTCCTCATGAGAGCCAGTTTCATCATAGCGCTTGATGGTTTTTGCGTCTGCACTTGAAGAAACTTTCAAAGTTCTTGACATTTTCCGTATTGACTGACCTTCATGTCTTAAAGTAATGATGGACTGTCGTTTCTCTTTGCTTATTTTAGCTGTTCTTGCCATAATATGGACTTGGTCTTTTACCAAATAGGGCTATCTTCTGTATACCCCCCTACCTTGTCACAATCCAACTGATTGGCTCAAACGCATTAAGAAGGAAAGAAATTACACAAATCAACTTTTAACAAGGCACACCTGTGAATTTAAATGCATTTCAGGTGACTACCTCATGAAGCTGGAGAATGCCAAGAATGTGCAAAGCTGTCACCAAGGCAAAGGGTGGCTATTTGAAGAATCTCAAATGTAAAATTTATTTTGATTTGTTTAACACTTTTTTGGTTACTAAATGATTCCATATGTGTTATTTCATAGTTTTGATGTCTTCACTATTATTCTACAATGTAAGAAATTGTAAAAATAAAATAAAAAATAAAAACCCTTGAATGAGTAGGTGTGTCCAAACTTTTGACTGGTAGTGTATATGCATTGGAGCTGGGGCATGGTGGGGAAGATGGCCAAAGACAGACAGAAGATGGCCAAAGACCGACAGAAGATGGCCAGAGACTGACAGAAGATGGCCAAAGACCGACAGAAGATGGCCAGAGACTGACAGAAGATGGCCAAAGACCGACAGAAGATGGCCAGAGACTGACAGAAGATGGCCAAAGACCGACAGAAGATGGCCAGAGACTGACAGAAGATGGCCAGAGACTGACAGAAGTGGATAGCCTTGTTTGTGCCCCATGAGCCATCCAGCGGGTCAGGGATGAGTGAGTGAAATATGTATTGCTGTCAGGGCCATGGGGGATGATTGATACTTATGTTGAATTTTATGCATAAGCCTAGAATGTTACTTTCCTGGCTAAATTGACAGCTCGAGTTCTGCCACGTGGTCTGGTGTCAACCAAGCTAAAATGTTGCCACAGCAACTCTATTAAATTCCATCAATTATTGAATATGGCTAGTCAAGAAGTTGGGGACAAAAGAGATCAAACTAATGGAGAATGATGCAAATTCACTGAATAAGTCTTAAACAACATATATTTACAGATAGTTTCCCCAGCCTGTTGAGGCACTAAATAATGTAGGCCCATGTAATGTAAGAGTCAGTGTCCTTTTTTGCGTTCTACAACCACCACTTTATACCACAAGATGGCGCCACAGATCCCATTGACTCCCTGACATCCTCAGCTTCATAGTTGCTACAATGATAAACCCAATGTTGGCTTGACAGCTATTGAGCACATCCTTTTTACAAAAGGCTTCAGATTTTTGTCAATTTGAAAGAACGTTACACTGTACTGTTGGACATGTACTGACTGCCATGGTAGCTAAAATCATCATTATGCTGCTGGACTCCATCTCTTAGTCCCTGACAGTTGTTTGTGTTGCAGGTTCATAACAAATTATACGTAAATTGTATTTAATCAGATCATAAAGTAAATGTTATGTTAACTTTAAGCCAGGTAATGCATCATTCAACTATGGGCTATGCACAACACACGTCAGTTTCCCTTCAGAGGATTCTGGGCTAGGCAAGTTACATTCTGATAATATCATCCCAACACCATTTTTGAAGTCATATCTCCCATAACATACTTTTCCAAGTTTTTACCCCACATTGGTTTAAAGATACCCATTTAGCCTTGCTCCCGTTAAAAGGTGTTTTAGGAACCCCGTGGTGGTCCTGCCACGACTTGAATTAACGGGGTGGGGAGTCGTTTGCTGGAGCGAGACATTTGCTCTAATTACAGAGGCAGGCAAGCGGACCAGGCGACCAGATGTTGACCGGAAGAATCTCATTCAAACCGCACTGGTAGCACTGCGCTCGAGCAAAGGGGGCGTGTCCCCGCTCACATAAAGCGCGCACCCCCCGCAGCTCCGGTCTCCATTCCTATTTCAATGAAAAGTGGATAGAGCACAGCGGCGACCGCATTGTGCACCGTCCCCCGCAATTAATATCCAGCGGAGAAAGACCATTGCCCCTTCATTGCCCTCCTGCAGAGGATTTAACCAGCATGAATAATGAGCCTGAAAACGGCGCACAGCAAAGGTCTGCAAACCAATATTCCTCCACCAAACCTCACCCTCTGAAATCCCTCAATTTAAGACGGGCACAGCAAATAAATAAAGTAGCTATTCATAGAATGGAACACAGTTAAGGCGTACGCTACATTAAACGTTAGGCTAAAACATTATAGTACGTCATTTGAATTCAAGGACACTTTTACGCACCAGTTTAGCCAAGTCATTCTTGTAGAAAATTGTGAATAATTATTCTATGATAGCCCACATGAAAATTGTGAATAATTATTCTATGATAGCCCACATGACAGCATATAGGGACCTCGTTCACCAGACACTTCCTCCCAATCCAGCCTGCGGACGAGGTAAACCTATAGACCTACCAATCCTCACTGAAGAATCATCTCTCTGCATTCTTGGCACCGCAGCAGCATATAATATCATTGATGTCATGGCTAAGGATCTCAGACTAACCCATGACCACAAGTAGGCCTAGTAACAACAGGTGAACATCATTCTCGTGCAAGATCCCTCGGTTTGGTTCACTTTACTTTTCCCTTGGCGGTAAATCTGGCAAACCTGCGCCATACGCGCCTTGGATAACATTCGCACTTTAGTTGCAGCAAAGAGACTGTCAAACTACCAGTCGAGAAAATACGAACGATGTCACTTTTACAAGTGCAAATGTAACTCCCGCTATAGAGATTCCCATGGGAAAGGAAAAGAAAGGTGAAACTGTACCACACCAACCATCGAATTACGCATAGCTTAGGCTACTCATTTCAAGAGGTTCAGATGAGAATGAACCCACTGGGCACAAATGTCAGTTCAACGTCTAGTTTTGATTTACATTTGGTTGAGTTGTTAACTAACGTGAATTCAACACAAAATGTCACCATGTCTTTGGATTTAGGTAAAAAGTTGGGTGAAAAAAAGACTAAATTCCCTTACATTGATGCCTTTTTTCAAATCCAATCAGTTTTCCACGTTGTTTCAACGTCAGCACATAGATCTTTCTGACCTGTAAACAACGTTGATTGAACCAGTTTTTGCCCGGTGGGAAGTGTCTCCATGGGGAATTAAAATTCTCAATCTTAGTCTAATTCATTTCATGAAACTTCCACTTCTCCAATAAGACCCATATTGCTTCAATTTATTCTGCTGGTAAAAAATTTGTGTGTGTGTGTGCTACTCACCTTTTTTGCAGTTAAAACTTTTTTTCAAATCAAGAAAGTACAAAAAATTATGAATCAAGACACAGATGCAAATACACAAGACTGAGGTGATTTGACATTTGTATTTTATTTGTAAGACTATAAAAATATTAGAATACATTGGATCTCAGTTGTCAAAGAGAAAAATATTTTCAATAAATAAATTAGGCCTATACATTTCACTGCAAGATATCCATGATTCTTATCATTTTTGTGGATATGGATGAGGGCTCTTGCATTGTGTGGATACTGATAAGGGCTCTTGCATTGTGTGAGTAATTTTAACAATTAAATCAACAACAAAAAATTGTCTTGACAGTCATCTAAATATATATGTTATCTTTCATTCATCTGAAAATATATTATCTTTCATTCATCTGAATATATGTTTTCTTTCAGTCATTTAAT